CTGAACATTTTATTTGCAGAGTTCGCTAAAGGACCCACTTTAAAACCTAAGTGGAATCGGCCGGGTACGTATTTCGGTTATGATTTGAGCTAGGAAGGAGCTCGAGGTATGCCCCAATTTACAGGAAAGCACATGAACTTGATATCGGAATCAGGCAGTTGCAATGGCCGAGCACTTGGGCTTTTTAACGTCAGGAACATCACTAGAACACATTGCACTTGCACGTCACATGGGTATATTCACGTCACATTACGCTCGGATGTACATATTGAACTTGTCTTCATTCCGAGACTACGCGAAAGCTATGGAAAGAACGGGGTCATAATTTTTGATATCATCCACCAAACCCAGTTCGTCATGACTGCCCAAAAAGGCACAACGCCATTTTCTATTAACCCGTGGGAAAGGCGTTTACAACTTGTCGTAGTACTGCAGGTTTTGTTAGCATCAGTGTCGCTATGGGGGATCAAAGGATAGACTCACGTTCTCAACACCAGGAACCTCAACCTTGAGACCCTTGCGCTTACGCATCTCCTGGACGATCTGGCCGACCTTGGAGGTGGCGTCAAGGGGAGAGCCACCGGGCAGAGGCTGCCAGTGGTCAAAGACAAGCTGGGGGAAGGCCTGTCCGGAGGTGGCCTGGCGCAGGTCACTGTTGAAGCCGAAGGACTCCATGACGGGGAGGTAGGCCTTGATAGTGAACAGAGGAGTACCGGGGCGCTGCTCCTCACCGAAGACGTGACCACGTCTGCGGGTAAGGACACCGTAGACACCACCCATGGCCTGCTCGGGAACCTGGATCTCGACCAGGAAGACGGGCTCCATGAGGGCGGGCTCGGCAAGCAGAGCGGCGGCGTACAGGACTCTGCGGGAAGTGGGGATGATCTGGCCACCACCGCGGTGAATGGCATCGGCGTGGAGGGTGACATCCATGATGTTCCAGCGGACGGAACGCATGGGCTCCTCGGCAACGGGACCCTCGCGGGTGGCCCACTGGAAACCAGAGACGACGGAGTCCTTGATTTCGTTGAGGTACTGGACGGCCTTGGTCTGGTCGACGAGCAAGTTGGCGCCAGTGGTGTCGGGACCGAAGGTCCAGATCTTGCGGGCATCGGTGACATCCCAGCCGAAGTCGTCAGCCAGGACACGGGCACGGGCCTTGAAATCGTCACGGGGGCTGATCTTGCCGGCCTCGATCTCCTTGGAGAGCTCCTCGTCGATGGGCTCAGCGATCATGTAGATACGGTTGTGCTTGTTGGGAGACTTGGACAGAGCAGTCATGCTGGACTTGCCAACAACGGTCTCACGGTACTGGACGACGGGGTCGGAGATGATGAGGGGAACACCAGCGTGGTCGTTCTGGAGGTCGTTGAGGCAAATCTCCAAGTGGAGCTCACCGGCACCGGCGACAACGTGCTCACCAGACTCGGTGGTCATGGTCAGAACGCAGGGGTCGGACTTGGAGAGACGCTTGAGACCCTCAACGAGCTTGGGGAGATCCTGGGCGTTCTTGACCTGGACGGAGCGCTGGACGACAGGGGAGACGGAAAACTTCATGACCTTGAGGTTGTGGGCGGTGTCGGAGGTGGTGAGAGTACCAGACTTGAGCAGGAACTGGTCAATACCAACCAGACCGACAATGTTACCGGCAGGCATGTCGTCGATGGCCTCGACCTTACCACCCATCATCAGGACGGTACGCTGGATGGCCTTGATGAAAAGGTCCTCCTTCTTGCCGGGGGTGTAGTTGGGGCCCTGGATGCGGACCTTGATACCAGACTTGACGGTACCGGAGAAGACACGACCGAAAGCGTAGAAGCGGCCCTTGTCGGAGGTGGGAACCATCTTGGAGACGTAAAGCATGAGAGGACCCTTGGGGTCGCAGTCACGGATGGCAATGGCAGCCTCGTCGTCGGGGGGACCCTCGTACAGGGTCTCGGCACGGTACTTCTGGGCCGTGACGGGGGAGGGGAGGTGGAGAATCATCATCTCCAAAAGGGCGTCGGCGGCGGGCAGGAAAGTGCGCATGACAGCCTTGAGGAGCTGCTTGCCCTCCTTCTCGCGGTCCTCAGGACCGAGCTTGAGGTTGAGCTTCTCGAGGAGAGTGGTGACCTCGTCCTTCTTGAAGTTCATGACGGCGGAGAAGATCTTGAAGATGGGGTCCAAGATGAACTGGTTGAAGGCACGCTCGAGCTGCTTGCCCTCGTGGGAGCTCTTGGTGGTCCACTTCTTGGTGTGGGGGTTGAAGTAGTTGTCGCCCCAGAGACGCTCCATCATCTTGTTGCGGTCGACACCAAACTTCTTGGCGTAGCGGACAGCGAACTGGCGGATGGTGAAAGCCCAGCCGTGCAGACCGGAACCGAAGGCGATGGTACCCTTGTCGGGGTAAACCTGGACATCACCGAGGGACTTGTCGAAGTAGGTGGAGATGATGACGTTGACGGACTCGATGGTACGAGAGAAGGACTGGTAGAGGTCCTCCTTGGAGACCTGGAGCTCGAGAAGAGCGCGGTCGACCTTGTTGATGATGACGACGGGCTTGATGCGCTCACCGAGAGCCTGACGCAGGACAGTCTCGGTCTGGACGCACACACCCTCGACGGTGTCGACGACGACGAGAGCACCGTCGGTGACACGGAGAGCGGCAGTGACCTCGGAAGAGAAATCAACGTGACCGGGGGAATCAATCAGGTTGATGAGGAAGTCGGTGCCGTCGGTCTTCTGGCCAGCAATGTCCTTGATGTCCTCGGGGTCGACGTTGTGGTACAGGGAGATGGCAGTAGACTTGATGGTAATGCCACGCTCCTGCTCGTCAGCACGGGTATCCGTGGCTCTCGCGTCTCCGGCCTTGGCGGTGGAGATGATACCGGCCTTGGACAGAAGGGAGTCGGTGAGGGTGGACTTTCCGTGATCGACGTGGGCAATGACGGACATGTTACGGACGTTCGTGGGCTTGTCCATGAGCCCACGGATCTCCTCGATGGTGAAGCTGTGGCGAGGCAGTGGTTAGCATGGTGAGGCCGTGGTGGAAGCTTATCTCCGAAGGGGGTTGAGCGAGGGGCGGGGTAAGGCCTGGCCGCTGAACAGAGCGATCGAAGCTTCGTCGCCCTGTGCTTGCGTCCAGGAGCGACGGAGAGCGACGCCGCAATTGCCCATCGCGAAGACGAGAGGCAGGTGATGGAACGAGGTGGTGCGACGCTGACGGTGAACTTACTTGACCATTTTGGCGGCGGTGGCTCAGCGAGCTCTTTGAAATCTCTGAGTCGGGTGGGATGTAAGGTTGAAGTTGGGCGAAGCGGGGTTGAAGAATCTGCCCCGCGCTCACAGAGTGCTGAATCCTTTTTCTGCTAGAGAAAAAAGGCAGACAGAGAAGAGTGTGAGGTGCCGAAGCGTTGAAAAGTCGACGGTTCCAGGAAACGGACAGGGGAACTCGAGCTCCTCTACCGATTCTTTTATCGTCGAAAAGGTTGAATGAGATGGAGGCGGGAAGGAGGAGGAGGGTGGGAGGGGAGAAGAAAAAAAAAAGAGAAGTGGTGCCTCTTTCTCCCTCGCCGTGTGGCAGTCGTTGCCCCGAGGGAAAAAAAGTTAGTGACTGGCCGAATGAGAAAAATGGGTAGGTGGGGCAGCGCAAAGAATGAGAAAAAAACCCCGCCACTTCTTCCTGTTTTTTTCACTCCCACGGTGCCCCTCTCCCCTCCTGTGTGTGCCTTAACCCCCCTCAAACCACGGCGCCTGCAAAGCATTTTGGTAGCAAATGAAGGGGCCCATCAATGTCGCGCACTGTGAGAACCACATTCGATCTCATCTATCCACTCAGTGAAGGTCTACCAGCCGTGGCGCCACCTGTTGCTGCACCGTACGTACACCAGGCCACAGCCCCCATCACGTACGATACATACTATGTAGTAACTCGCACCGCAACGGCCTTCCTCTCTCGTCAGCTGCTATCTGTCGGCTGCGTGTGTACTGTAGGAGCGTGTGCGGTGTGGGTGTGGATGTGTGTGTGCGCGCCTCACCTCCTTTACACCCTCTGCTACCTTACCTTACCTTAGCCGGTCTGTGCATGGAGGGGCACTGGGCAAGCTCATGCGAGAGAGAGAAAGAAAGGGCAACAACCCTGGCCCCCTCGCACCAGAACATTGGCCGTCTCAAGAGTCTACTGCTAACTGGAAGCCGCTGATCCGGCATGGACTGGCTGATCTGGGCCCAAGGAGCACAGCTCTTGCGGCCCGGCCAGATGCACATTTGATACGCGTCTTGTTTGAATTAGACACAGCTCTAAAAAACAACTGGCCCACGACGTTGGCAGGACACTCTCAAAACTGTGTCGCTAAACGAAGCTTGGTTCCTGTCCTGTGTTGTGGACAGCAAAACGCACTGTGCAGACACGGCCCACCCGTGTTTGTGGGATCAACATCACGATTGCCCAAGGCTGGAACTGGGCCCCCCTCGAGGATCCAATGACGAAGTTGACGTTGACGATGAATGCCACATCTACTACGGCAGGGCCGGATAATCCTCTAACGCTGCCCAACCAACCGCCCACGGTCTGAATTATCCGGGGTGAGCAAGCTGGAGAGCTTGGACCTGACCGAGCTCGACGTTGACTCCAATCCTCCCCCCCCCCTCTTCGTTACTATGTAAGTACCTTACTGGCCTGTGTGTCCACTCAGTGCCGGCCGGAGCTTCGAGTCACCGGCCTCGCCAGCGTTGAACTACCCATGAGGCTGCTTGGTCCCCTTCGTCCAGCGCTTGGAAGCATGTCTGCGAGTACACCGAGACATTCACACACATTGTACAACTGCGGCAGCCGGTGTAGTAGCATTATATTTGATTACTAAGTCGGTAGACCGTCCTCCAGTCGCGGGTATTCGCCTTTGTGTTCTTGTTCCGGTGTGATGCTTACTGATCCCGGGCCCCCAAACCTTAACTCCCTAAACGCCGAAAAGACTCCCCGTCCCAATGCTTATGCCATGCCGAATGAGTCAACGCCGGCCTCCTCATGATCCCAATATCTTGGAGTAAGCATCCTCTACCTCGCCGGCCAGCTCGAGCAGCGCTACAATGACAATCTGGTGCGTCAAGTTGGGCAGTCGGTCCCTGTGAAGCCCGATCCATTCCAGCGGTGGCGTGGCCTCGCCCATGTCCCGCAACTGAGGCGTTTCGATAATGGGCGGTTCGAGCGCCACGTAGTCATACTTGGACTGCGGAACCGTCACCTCTGCTGTGATCTTTTGCTGCGACGACCCGCCGCCCTGTTGCTCCTCGGCGTCCGGCACCCCCGTGACCTTGATGGCTGTAAGCGGGAGCTCTTTGCCCCAAGTCTGCTCCAGTGACTTGGAATGGTTGGCCCACATCCCGCGGATGTAGCTGATGCGTGAGTAGTTCCATCCCACCTCGACTTTGCCCTCGAACGCGCTCTTGAAGATGTAGTCGATCCGGTTGCGATTAGGCGTCTGCCATGTCTGCATGACTGCTCCCACTTTGGGTACTTTGAGGATCGTGCCGCCGCGCGAGCCTGTGGCCCTTTCGACGACATCTTCGACCGATATCTCGCTGAGCGTTTTGGGTGCTTCAATGTTTCTGACACCGGCGAGGCCGATCCGCAGTTGACCGAGGGTGAGTGCCAGGATGCTGTGAACGCGCCTCTGCTCAATGCTGGCTGCGAATCGTGCCTCGGCGCCCAACGCCTCCATCTTGAATACTTGGTGATCAGAAAACGTGCTTGGGAACACACCCAGGTTCAAGGCCTTGAGCGTCACCACGACGTCCGTATCCAGTGAGATCGGAGACTTGGACAGCGAGTCTTCCACTCGGAACTTGGGCGCCGTGGTAAGCTGGGGAGAGGTAGCAGTGTTTTGATACGACCGCCTTCTCATAAACTTCTCGATCTCCTGCAGCGACATCTCAAAATTGGCCCGCCTCTCCTGTATGAGCTTTTGGAAAGCTTGATATAGCGCAACTCCCTGTGCTGCCGACGTCGTAGTGCCAAAGACCTGCACTGCGTCCCCGTCGAAGATGATAACCAGCCGATCTCCAGTACCCTCGAGACTGCGGCGAACATTGTACATGAGGAGTTCGAGGGAGGTGATGTCAGCAACAAGGAAGGCTTGGTAGTCGAATGCTGCCTTCACTCGGAACTGGCTGAAACCAATTGATGCCTGGACGAGGGGCGTCTCGTTGAGCGCCGCCTCTCGCTCTGGCCACTGAATCGATGTCCGCAACTGGAACTTTTGGAGCGCAATGAAACCGCTCAACCTGCCTGTGCAATCTATGCCAATCTTCTCGAACCCAAGACACAGGTTCTGCTCCCAGTCCGATGTTTTCTTTGATGAAACCCAGAACTCCTTGATGGCGAATACCGACTTGCCAATCGCCTGGCCCATGTCTACACTGACGTCGAGGGACGTGATGGATATAGTGGCCGTCCATGGGAACGCCGCTGTTGCGGCGACCTGCTGATATCTCTGCACCAAGTGACCCTGTGAAGTCTCCGTGTTCATCTTGGCGACTGGGGCCGTCGAGGTGTTCCGTAGCTCGGTCGGATACCAGATTTCGCGGAACAGTAAAAAGTCCTGGAGTTGCTTGGCGTTAATCGAGACGGTCATCGGGCTGACCTTGAGTATGGCAGACACGCCGCTCGTTCCACTGACGTGTTTGCTGTTCATCAAAGACAGTACAATGGAGTCGACGTCGAAGCTGCCTGTGGACTCTCGGGAGTAAACGTGCTGTACTGACGCTTGCAGCTTGGAGAAAGCGCCGGAGATGGAAAAGAAGTTTCCTTGTTCTTGTGAGCGCACTGTATTAACAGTGAAGTAGATGTCTTCGAAACATGTCGTCGCCGCAACACGTGCGATGGGCTGACAACTCAGCGAGAACTCTTGACGGCAAATTCGAAGCCCCAGATTCAGCTTCAAACGTCCAATAACGGCGTTCGGGTCAGCCGTGAGGATGTTATCCTCGTTGCCAGGTTTGGTTTTCGTGGCGGCGGGCGTCTGCGGAGCTGTTGCCGTATCCTTATCCTTGCCTACAACTTCTTTGACACTGGTCGTCATGTCCATGATGAGGGGCACAACAGAGGGATACAAAATGTTACTCGACGCATCAATCTTGATCTCGCCGTAAAGCGAAGGGTCCTCGCGCCCGTTGTCTCGGTACTCGAGTTTCCAGGCTAGCCCAGGTGACCTGAGAACAGTGCTGCTGCCAGTATCATCCGTGCTGAACTGGCCGTACTTGCCTGCGAGGGACGGTCGACCAATCCTGGAGCTCCCACGTTGTCCGTCTGTTGGCTTCTTGCCCGAAACATAAACAACAGCACCTGAGAAATCTGCGTCTACCAGTAGAGATTCCAGACGCTTCGTGCCGAATATACTTCGTTGTGGCGGAGCCGGCTCTTCTATCTTGTCAACCTTTTCGACCTTAGCAGGAGCAATCCCTGTGCTCCAATTTTGCGAGGCTCTTTGTACGTTCTGGATCGAGAGGCTAATGGAGTCCTTTAGAATTGCAGCTGGTATAATGAAGCCCGATGTCAAACGCAAATCCAGCGATTTCCCAACGGCCTGGAACGCTAGGCTGCGTGTGTTTGGATTGGACACGTAGGCAATGTTAAAGATGACCTCGGGAAGCAACGCCGAATGAAGAGACCTGAGGCTCTTGTCCTGGCCAGGCGGAACCATCTGTAGTTGGAAATTCTCGATGGTGAGCCTAGCGGACTTGGTTTGGCGTGTTCCAAAACTGACGAGCTGGACCGACAGGATGAGGTCTTCTTTGCTTCCGGCCAATGGTAATAAGTCATCCGAGGGATCACCAACAAGCCAAGCAACCTGCGTGTCGCGCACTTCGAAACGATAGACAATAGACGACAAGAATGAATCGATGATGTCAGGCTCCTCAGCTTCCTCCTGGTCGTTGATGGCGATGCGGGGTCTCGTTTGCCGGATCTTGCGCAGGTATTCGAGCTCGCGTGACGTGTCGAGGTCTTTGATCTTGTCGCCCATGTATCCCAAAGCAGCAACTACGGTCGAAACGGTCTCCGGCGACAAATTGATCTCTAGTCCGTCACTTCTGAAATTGAAGGACCTCTCTTCTTTGCCGTCTTCCGTGTATCGTGTGTTTGCCGAAATGAGAGCACCCAGGGCAAGACTACCGCAGGATCTCATGGCGTTATCTCTGCCCTTCTGCACGTCGATCAAAATCTGGCGCAGGTTGATATGCAACTGCGGCTGCGCCAGAATGGGCCCTTGGCCATCACGGCGATTGGCTACTTCAAGATGCACTCTATCGAGCTTGAATGAGAGGCATGCCGTAGGGTCCTTCTCTGAGACAAGGGGCGTTTTTCCAAAGACCTCTATGCCGGCCAGAGTGAGATGAACCGTATAGACCAGGTTTGACGCCTGTGCTGGCTGCGCTGCTTCCTTGGGGGCTGCTGTCTCGCCGAAGATGTCGCTGATATGACCCTGGATTGCTTTAGTGCCTTCTTGAAGCTCGCTGATGGCACTTGATATTTGTGGTCGGTTTAGAGCCGTCAATAAACTGTATACTGCGGAGGCGTCCAGCTGCATAAGCTCGACGGAGCCGAACACTGAGACCGAGTGCTCCCCTTGACCCATGTGGCTTACGATCCGACCATTGGTCGGCGGGATTCGGAGAAGCGATATGCTACGCGGCTGGTTTCTGACATCCATCCTGATCTCGTGGGAGTTCTCCTTAACATCAAAGTCGAAGATGAGCTCCTTCCCAAAGTTGGCGGCTACCGCTGCTCGCGCTACAACACCCGAGATGTTATAGGTCATTGACTGCAGCAACGGCACGCTGATGCGGTACTCGTCCAGGAACATTGCAACGTTGACACGGAACGATGAGAGACGCTCAGCAATCTTGACGCTGTTCCTACGAGGGGGTGCTGGCGATTCCGGCAACTGTTTCTGGAGCTTGTGTATCTGCGTCAGCTCATCTTTGACCAGGTAGTCAGCAACTTCAACAAGATACAGGGGATCCTGCTTGACGGCTAGGGTCAAAGTGCGACTGCTGGCTGTTGATTTGATCGTGTGACATGATGTCGTCTCCGTCTCGAGGAGCTCATGAGAAACAATGACACTCGGGTCCTTAAGCTGGAACATTCCCAGAAGCTCTGATCGATGGTGCAGACGTGAGGTCACGGCGTCGCAGCTGAGGATGAAATTAATAGATGAGCCAGTCTTCTCATACCCGTCAATCAAGCAAGACGCCTTCATGTTGTGGCCGAGAGACGTGGCGCTGAGATTGATAGTGTCCACCTCCACCGAGCCCCGCCCGACAGCCAGGACAACATGGAAGGTGTCTTGTGACTTTGGTTTGCCGGCTGCAGTGTTCTCTTTCTTGGTCTCTGAAAGATGTTTGCTTGAGAGGCTGGATTTGTTGTAGAGCCGGAGGATGTCTTCCGCAAGCTCGCAAAGTTCCCAGTTGAGCATGACAGCTGCCTCGCCACAGTAGACGTTCAGCACGGTGATATTCTTCGGCTGTGCCTCATTTTCGCTGGACTGCGGTGCCATCTTCTTCTCCAACCTTGTTGTCAAGTCGGCAAAGACGATCCGGTTCTCCTTCGGTCCGGGATCTAAAAGCAGCTGCACTTCCTTCAAACGGAGCGCCGCCAAGATCGGGAGGTCGGGCGATTCAGTATTGCCGTCAACTGTTACTGTCCCAAAGACATTCTTGATCAACGACGAATCAGCCACATCGTACAAATCCCAGCTACGCCATCGTTGAAAAGCCTCAATGACACGCTGAGAGGCATCGGATGGCGCAGTTGCTGATCCAGAAACGCAACTGAGCTGTAGGTCATCTTTGAAACTGGCCGGCATGTGTGTCCATATCTGACGAAGCCTTGCGGCCATCTTCCACGAGTCAAAGGTTCGTAGATGCTCCGTGGCAGACCTCAAGACTGCCGACGGTCTGGTCAAGAAAGAGGGGTCGCCAACCGGATGTCCTTCTGTCATGAGCTTATAGACAAAAAGTTTGATGCGGTCCTCGTGCCGTGACATTGTCTGTCCCAGTATCTCCCCAAGTTCTGAAGCCACAACTCCGGTCCTGTGGATGAGTGACGCGAGGTATTCGATCTTTTCCGATGCTGTGCTGCTCCTGATGCCGCCAATGTCTGCGTCAATGTAGGTTACGTCCTTAGAGCCAAGCGACACCATGACGCGCTCGATCTGCGCCATAAAAGCAGCCTGGTTTTCTTCGGCACCCGAAAGCCGTTCCGATGCCGACACGTCAGCAGATCCGAGTTTCAGCAGAACCGATGTTCGTTTGTTGCTCTTCACTGGCTCCGCTGGATTTTCCCAGGCATCTGTGGACCGGAGACACAGTGATAACTTTGATACTGTCACATCATACTGGTCCTGTTCCTCCCCGCCAGGGTTGAGGCGGTCAACAGTTGGAGCGTTCAAAAACCTGATGTTAGCTTTTGGGACCCTGAGAAGTACGTCCGTAATTTCGCCAGCAATTGTTTTCTTCTTCTGAAGGTCAAAGATATCGGTCATGGAGGAAATTTGCAGGCTGTCAAGAATATTGTCCGGCTCGCTCGGTTGTAGAGCAGCAAGCAACAACGACACACTCTTAACCGCAGAGGGATTCAGGAACGCAGTAACGCCCGTTGGTATCTCGACAATAATGCTGTTGTGAGCACGATCCTCGGCCAAAGATTCAGGATCAATGTCGTCGAGTTCAAACTCTGGGAAGCCGAAGGCGGAGGCCGTATCGTCCTCTTCAATACTGAGCATCACGGCTTCTGACGTATCGGGCCGAATGCTCTCGAGGGGAAACGGCGGAGTGTAGAACTGGCTGGAGAAGGCTACAGACGAGTGATGGCTCGCGTCTCGGAAGTCGCCGATTGCACTGTAAAAGGCGGAGTGGCGACCGGTCGATGTAGAAACATCTCGCTGGTGTTGCGATCCTCGTCTCGTAGCCTCGGGGCTGTCGGGATACAGCAAGTCCGATTGTCTAGATTTTACCCGTGATCTCACAGAACTTCGTGGCCGGACTACACTGCTACTGCTTGAGGTAGTGGTAATGGATAAAAACGAACTTTTGTGACGGAGGGGTTGGGAGCGACCGAGAGTTGATCGACTCTCAGAGGATCGATGGTCTTCTGTAACACCTTCCAAAACAGTCGGGTGAGGAACTGGCGGAAAGCTTTGGGCGGGCGGATCGAGCTGATCCGGAAGCATCTCCTCCAGAATCCCGGGCAGAAGCAGAAACTCGGTGCGCCCAGTCCGTTGGTCCTCGCGACGAATGAGCTCCTGCTGCAGCTTGCGCTCCTCGGAAAAGTGAAATTTTCTTCCGATGATTGCCACGCGGATAGAGGCTTGGAAGAAGGCGTCAGTCTCAACGCCATGCTGGGATTTCCACTTGTGTCTCATGGCTGATTCCGAATTAACACACGAGATCTGGAGTTCTGGGAGTCTGATGTCTGCTCGTCTGGAGTAGTGCGTGCGCGCCCAGTCGTTGAACTTGACATCGAGCGTACCAGTCGAAAAGAGAAAAGCTGCTTCATCCACATGACACCAGACTCGAACAGACTCAACAGCCACCCTCAAAAAGGTCACGTCGTACACAATAATGGACGACAGCGGAATCAAAGCGTTCTCGTCATCATCGAACTCAAAAGCAAATGCTTTGCCTGCGCTCATCAGAGCCGTTAGGAAATCGGTGGAGCATTCTCCCGAAACCGTGCCCACGGAGATATCCCAGTTGCAAAGGTATGTTGGTTCGGCTGGGGGGAGGCCAAAAAGACGGTGACCATAGATCGACAAGCCGTCGATGAACAGCTGCGTGCTAGACACAGCACTAATGGGTGTTTCCATGCCTGACTCTGCGTTCCCGAGGGAGAGGTTGAGAGGGTTAAGGTTAACCTGCAAGTCCATGTAGTAATTGGTGAATCTGAGGTCTAAGGAGAGACCGGCAGTTTCGATCTGAACGTGTCGCTGGCAGGAGTACAGGTTTGCAGGCAGCAGGAGACGGAGGTCATCAATCTTGATGCCCAGAATCACGTCCAAGTCGTTGGTCTTCTTTGGGGGCGGGCGATTTGCCAGTTCTGCATCAGGGTTGTGTTCTTTGAGTCGTAAAAGGTCCTGATACTCCTCGAGCGTCTTGAAGTGGATATCGTCACCAAGGTAGTTATCCTTCAGTTTCATAACGTAGCGTATGATAAAGCCGTAGAGGGTTGCCGTAGGCGACTGCAGACTGAGGTTCAGCTCCAAGGTGTCAGTGTTCGACGGTGCCGTCGTCGCGTTGTAGTGATATTTTCCATTGGCCTCAAAGTTTTCGCCATGTCCAATCTCTTTTGAGGTTATGAATGTGCCTTGGGTGTTCCAAGGTGGAACATGGAGCCACAAAGAGAAAGTCTCGGCTCCAAGCGCGAATGAGACAGCATTCATGTTCGGGCGATACTTGTCGATTGGAACGCAGACGTTTGCTACGAGAGACGGGCTTTTGGCAACGATATAGGCGTTGTCTTCGAGGTCAGTAGGATTGTTGATTATGTTTCCATCGTTAACGTTCAGGTACAACGTTACGTTACGCAGGTCGAGGTTGAGATAGTATCTGAAGGGTGTGAAGACCAAATACTCGGCTGGCGGCCCCGAGGCCCAATCGTCGACCAAGTCTATCATGAGGAAGACGTGGTCTCTCAGTATGAACAGTTCCATGTCCTCGGAGACAATGTTGAAGTACCATGACCTTAGCGAGTTCCATTTGAGAGGAGTTGACAAGTCACAAGATATGCGTTGTGGTCCAGACCGCCAGAGAAGCTCGTGGTTGACGCTGGTCGCGAGTTCCGTGCTAGGCAGGTCGACATCAAGCTTCATCTGGTATCCCGTTGCGCTCGCAAGCATATCCATGGTGAAGGAAATTGTGGCATTGCCGGGCACGATCAGGTCAAGCCAGCCTCCCGGACGGATGGGTGCAGCGTCGGTCTTGCTGTTCTTCTTCGCGCGGTTCCTCTGCTTCCGCTTCAGTGGCGGCGGCGCCGCCTTCATCGGGGGCTCTTTGCCCTTCCATTTCCAGTTTTTGGAGTCTTCCCGGATGGGTATTCGGAGCGTCACCTCGTCATCCAACTCGACATACAACTTGAACTGAGTGGGAACTCGATATTCACCCTCGGCCAGGGGGGTGGCGGGAACTGCGTCCTTGCACAAGCTGGGAACGAAGACGCGCTGGAGATCCGCCCTTTGACGATCGGCCCAGGGTCCGTAGTTTACCACTCCGCCCTTTATAGTTAGAATCATGCCCCATGCGGGAGCTTCGTCGCCGTTGATGTACGTCGTTGCATTCTCCTTGGAGCGTCTACTGGCGGCTTCGGCTGTCACTTTGCCCACAACATCCCAGTAGATAGTCAATGTTGCCTCTGGGCTGTCCACCACGGTGGACTCGGCAGCGTATTCAACACCCGCCCATCGTAGCCTCGAATCTTGCTCATCCTCGTCCAAGTAGCGCGCCAGACCTTGCCAGTGGCTGGAGCCTGGTATTTGTGACACAGCGGTGGTAAGTGGACTTCGTGAGCCTATAGAAAACGATTCCACGGATTTTCTCCAGTACGGCACGAGATTTCGCAGCGTTCCAAGTGCGCGGCGTCGGTGTCGCCGGAAAAAAGAAGTCTTGTACGTCGGGCTGGGTTCCTGCGCAACCATCTTCTCGCGGTTTGCCCTCGTCGCCTGATCTTCCTTGAAGTCCTCGTTCTCTCTCATTTCTACGATTGGGTGCTGAAACTTGATTTTGAAGGTCTGCTTGTATGGATCGGGGGTGGATGTCTTCGAGGCATCTATTTCTCCCGACAGACCATCAGCTTTGACAATCAGGATGGCCTTGGTGTTGTCATTCCCCATGACCACAGCCGCCTTCTGGCATGTCACAAAGATCGGGAAGAGCTGCAAAAGAAATGGTAGATCGGAATCCGACTGAACAGCATCGTCGCTCTCTGCTGGCACATCGGATGGTGTGCTTGGCTGGCTGGCCGATGATCCCCGACGGCCAAGGGTGTTCCCTAGTCTTGACAACAGGGCGGCACCGGAACTCTCCTTTTCATGTGTTGCAGAGTCTTGAGACGGATCTGATTTCTCAGAGGTCCTTTGTCCTCGATTTCTTAGAGAGGCATTCTCATCTTTTGACTCAAAGCCCGTCGTCACATTCTCGGCAGTCGCCGTAGGTTCCCTCAGCCCAGCTAAAACACTGTCGTAGGCCGGGCTTCTGTTGTATATGAACCATTCCAAACCAACCAGGGACATCGTCACCCGGCATGGCAAGTTTGAATGCCTCCCGTTCGTAGCCGCTGACGTTTGCTCAGCTTGCTGTTGTGTCGAGGCTTTGATGTCCACCTCCCGTACCCGTCGCAACCAATATCGCCATGTAACGTAGCCATGCTGAATAAGGAAAGTTTCGTTGTTTCCGTGATATCGTAGGCCCGTGAAGAATATACGTCCGCCGAGAAGGGACACCTGTAGCGCCTGTATGTCGATGTAAACGCGGTATCGGTGCCATGTGTACGTTCGTATGCCCCACGACAACAGCGACCCGAAGACTCTGTTGAAGTATAGAAGGAAGAAGACGGCACTACAGAAGGTAAGCTGAGTGTCCAGGCATTTTGAGATAGGATTACCCACAGAGCACCGCAGACAATGAGGAATGCCAGGAAGGTACTACAAGACAGGCGGTCAGCAAATGTAAGGTACACCGACCTCAGACAGCGCAAACTACCCGTTGAAATTCGGCGTCTCCGTCGGCGTTGGGTTCGGTGCCCCGTCGGTCGGCATGGTGTCGGTCGTGATTGTCGTGCGATGCTTCAACTACGGCAGGCCGAAGCTGCTAACATCAAGGTCGGAGCTGTGCCAGTCCACCCACTTCCATGTCTCGAGGATTCTTGCTCGTCGCTCGGTATCCCGGGTAGGAGGTGATGGGTAGGATGTGTAGGGGGCGCGCGAAGCTAGCAATCCAGGATGTATGTCATTGGAGGTGTTGAGTCGTTGGAATTGAGAAAAGGTGTTGCTGTCGGGGAAACTGGGCTCGGGCGAGTTTGTGTGTTGTTGAATTGGGCGGGATGCAGATGCAGTTGGGGATGGATCACAGGCCAACAGCAATTACCTTAACTAACAGTCGCATTCGAAGTCGCGCCGAGCGTCGCTAACGACGGGGCCGGGTGTCTCGCGCTAATGACAACCCGCGCCCCATCCAGCCTGTCCCGGAGCTGATCGTAGCTTCCACGCCCCCAGCCTGTTTGGCACGCGCAGCACGCCAACCCAGGTGGACCGCGGACGGTGGGTGGGAGGTCACTGTGGTGCTACCCCACATGCTCAAGCACGCTGTGAAACTGAGCTTCAGGGGAGCTGCCGGCAAGGTCCTCACTAACAATTAATGCACACTCATTGGACGGAACGCAACCCGCGGGACATGATGCGCAGCTGATTGCTTGTCTTAATTACGAGCTCTGCCTACGCCGCACATACGTACCGAACTTACGCACCTCCAGTCACGAGCAGCTCATTGCAACCTGCAGCACGGGCATCGTCATCCCTCGATCACTTTTCCACGCATGCTCTCGCCCCCCCCGCCCTCCGACACTGACACTTTGATTGAAGCTTGATTTCCCTTTGGACTACTAAGCTGCTTTTTCTCGCGGTGCATTACGATCAACTACCTCTAGAGCCATGATCTAGGCGACATTCCGCGAACACGATTCTATATTATACGCCTGGTACCGGGCCCCAGTCACGATGGCGGGCGGCACTGGCGAGAAGCTCACCACGGCGACCATCATCGTCGCTGGCGTCGCCGCTTTGGTAGCCACGTTTCTATCGGCTGTGTAAGTACTGGCCATGGTTTTAGAGCAAACGCGACTCTGGCTAACGTGCAACTCGCAGCTCCATCTTCCTTCAAGCGTACGCCGTTCTCTCGTTACTCTCGGCCGATTACGATTAACAACGATACAGGAAAAACTATCGAAAGCCACTCCTACAACGATATGTTGTTCGAATCTTGCTCATGTATGTCTGCTATGTTTCGAGCATATAAAAGGGCGGATCTGACTGTTTTAGGGTTCCCATATACTCGATCGCCTCGTGGACAAGCATGATCTCTATCAGAGCTGCTTCGTTCCTTGACCCCATTCGAGACATTTATGAGGTGGCTATCCTGCTCTTGCTTTTTAGGCTGGGTGTTCTAACAAAGCCAGGCTTTTACCATATATACCTTCTTCCAGCTCCTTATCAACTACCTAGGCGGAGAACGAGCCTTAATCATCATGACCCATGGCCGAGAACCAGTTTCCCATCTGTGGCCTATGAACCACGTACTACCGCGTGTCGACATATCTGACCCTCATACGTTCCTGGCAATCAAGCGTGGCATTCTTCAGTACGCGTGGTTAAAGCCTATCTTAGCTCTGGCCGCCGTCGTTATGAAGGCTACCGGAACCTACCAGGAGGGCTACATTGGCGTGGAGTCGGGCTACTTATGGAGCGGTATCATCTACAACATCAGCGTCACAGTGAGCTTGTACTCCCTCGGTCTGTTTTGGGTCTGCATGCACAACGATCTTTTACCCTTCCGCCCGGTACCTAAGTTCTTGTGCATCAAGCTCATCATCTTCGCCTCTTACTGGCAAGGCTTTTTTCTGTCTATTCTCGTCTGGTTGGGAGCCATTCCAGACAGCGTTGAGGGTTACTCTCCCGACAACTTGGCCGCTGCCATACAAGATGCTCTCATTTGTGTCGAAATGCCGGCATTCGCGATCGCTCACTGGTACGCCTTCTCATGGCACGACTTTGCCGACAACAGTATCTCGTCTGCGAGGATGCCTGTCAAGTTCGCCATGCGTGATGCTTTTGGCGTCAGGGATCTCATCGAAGACTCCAAGGAGACGTTTACCGGCGACAAGTACGGTTACCGCTTTTTCGACTCGGGTGACAAAATCATGGCGCACGAGGAGTCGCGTGCTAGACTGGGCAGGCTTGATGAGGGCATGCGATACACGAGGGGCGGCAAAGCGAAGTACTGGATTCCTACACCTGGCCAGGTGGACCGTCAAACGAACCGTGATATGAACGAACGAGATCCCTTGCTTCAGGGAACCGCGGGTGGCCCAAGTGAGGAGTACAACTACGCCAATGGTACCTTCAACGAAGACCTCGCCAACGACCCTCAGATAGACCCTGACGACGAGCGGCTCTTTGACAAGGCACGCGAGCTGGAATTTGGCGATTGGAACGTGAGTCAAAACAGATCTGAGCGTGTTTCGTTGGCTGACAATATCTAGTACCCCGTCATCACCGCTAATGAGCCGCTGAGCAAACGGTACATGTCCTCCCAGGGTAGCTTGGGTTTCCATGCCGAACCACGATCGACGGTCGAGCGTCTGCGGGTGTCACCGCGGAATAGCGAGCCGGCCGTTGTTTCCAGCAAAAAGAAGAAGAAGAAGCAGAAACAAGTTACAGCTGAGACTCCAGGCTCGTCATCGTCTCCCGATCGTTCTGGATCTGGCCCTCCATCCAAGCCGCAGAGCCCGTCGCCTCAACCAGCGGAGGTATCCGCCGAGACCGAGGAAGAACCTGAGCCAAGACCAAGTGCTCAGAAGCAATACAGCCATCCAGAAGATTCTCCTCTTCTGCAAGAGGCCATGACATCCCCATGGGCGGAGAGCGAGCAAGAAGACGACTTCAACAAGAACTTTGGCGTGGGAGAAGATGACGAGTTCAAGAACGTGTGGAGCGGTGGCGAGCCATCTCAGTCCCGTTAGATGGAGTGTGAACAATTCGAACGCTGCTTTGCATATTATGAGTTTGATACCCTTACTCTCATGTTCTATGTTTAAGCAATACTGGCATAGCGAGGAGTTTGCGAGGAATACGAATGCGTCTTGGTGACAACAGTTGACTTGTCAGGGGGTTTCGTTGTGTAGCATGTTAGCCCATAGAAACAAATGAACGGCTTAGACGGACTAGAAATTGTATACTTGATGTTCTTTCGGTTCTGTCTCATCAAAGCTTGTTGACCGTTCTGTTTAGCCGGTCACATACTCACTCGATGGGCCTCGTACGGGCCATCGTATATTGTAAGGTCCAAGAGCCTGGCCCTCTTGTCGTCAACCACTAGCCTATCCGATGATCTTCTGCTCATCCTGACGCATCCGCCGCCGACGTTGCTGCCTCAGCGCCGCCAAATCCTCTTCGTCCTCCGCGGTCGCCGGACTGGGTGGCAGCTCCCCCGTCGCCCACTCCTTTGGTTCAGGCCCCAGGTCAAACTCCAAAGTCCCCCCGTTGGCGAAGATGTACCCCCATGTCACCCACGCCTTGTCCCACTGCTCGCCATTGACGCGCAGACTCTGTACGTAGTACGCATCCTCAGAGCCGCCCGTCGACGACACCTTGAGCTCGCGCCCGCCGCCGAGCGAGATGGTCAGATCCGAAAACCACGGCGACCCGATGAGGAAGGTTGTCTGGCCAGTGAGTGGGTACAGCCCGATCATGTTCCACAGCAGCCAAGACTCCATCGCGCCAGCGTCCGAGTTGCCCGGGAGGCCGTCAGGGGCGGGCTTGTAGTAGGATTTTGCGACGAAGCGGGAGCGCTCCACCGAGAGGTGCTGCTTGTTGACAAAGTTGAACAGGTACGGCGTCCCGAAAGAGGGCTCATTGCCCGGGTTGAAGATCGTGTTGCCGAAGGCGCCGTTGCCCGCGTACTGCCCCGGCTCGAACGTCTTCTCCAGCCTGTCAGAGAAGCGCTGGGCCCCGCCAGTCAGGTTGACGAGATGCGCGACGTCATGATGCGCGTTGAACGAGTACTCCCACGGCGTGGCCTGGTAGTACGCCTCCGCCCAGTAGCAGCCGCCGCAGTCGAGGGGGTCCTGCGGCGGGAAGCTGCCGTCGGCATTGCGTGGGCCCATGAAGCCACTGAAGCCGTGGGCCGTCATGTTCTCGTTCCAGTGGTTACGCCAGTTCCGGGACCGCTGCAAGTACCGCTTGGCGACGTCGGAAACGCCCAGCCCCTTGGCAACCTGATAGATGTTGAAATCATTCACCGAATACTCGACGGCGCGGGTGACGGCGCGGGCGAAGCGGGGCGAGATCCAGCCGAGCTCGAGCCAGTCCGGAAGGGCGCCGCGGCCCTCCTTGGTGGAGCCGGAGAGGTCGCGCGGGTCGTTGTTGGGTGGGGGCGTCACCTCGCCGTTCTTGAGCATGGCTGAAAGGCCGTCGTCCCAGTTGACGGCGCCGCGGACGCCCTTGACGTAGGCGTCGGCGAGGACGTTGTCGCTGTTGGAGCCAGCCTGGACGGCGCCGTTGTAGAAAGACGAGCGGGCGTCTGAGACGTAGCCCTCGTGCCGCCAGATATCAATCATGGAACGAATGAACTCCTCGTAGGCCTCGGGCTGGAGGACGTGGAGTAGAGAGGTGGTGCAACGAAACTGTACGCTGTTAGATTGATGGCGGCAGAAAACACCTCGAAGCCAGGCTCACCGTATCCCAAAATGTGAAGATGTCGTCGTAGTAGGGCTCGGATGACTCCCAGAGCGGATTCTCGCCCGTCTTGTTTGTGGGCAGCAGGTTCATGAAGTACAGCGCCGAGTACAGTTGGTTCAGCTTTGGTGTGTCCGTTTCTGATGTCTTTACTTTGGAGAGAACCTCGGTGTTCCACGCCTCACGGGTGGCTTGTCTAACGGAAGAGAGGCTCCTGTCGGCAGGGATCTCCGAGTTGACATTGCTGCAAGCCTGGGAGGCCGAAATAAATGAGACTCCAACTCTCGATTTTACAGCGGCGTCTTTGAAGCTGAAGATGGCACCCAAGCGCTGCGTTCTCGACTCATAGGTTGTCTCATTACCGTACTCGGAGAGCTCCGTTGACGTGCGGTCTACGCCGAGAAACGTCTTGTACGTTGCTGGACGGTCGAAATATCCGCAGAAGTAGACCTTCCACTCCTCAGCACGGTTCCAACCCTGGTTTGTGTTAGCTAGTGGAGGCTTAGGACAATAATGACCTGCACTCACGTTATCATAGTAGCCATAGCCCTCATAGTGGAAATCATCTCCCTCCACCACTTCAATTTTGCCTCCCAGATAGTTCTGGCCAAGGCCCTGTCCTCTGTATGACGGCAGAACATGAGAGACGTCTACAATGACGTTCCCCAGGGCGCTTCCATTTCCAGGGAACGTGTATTGATACAGTCCCGCCCTCCCTGTAGCTCCGAGCTCAACGACGACCCCGGAGCTGAGGAAAGACTTGTAGTGGCCAACCTCGGTCTGATCTGGCTGCGCTCTAGTGTCGGTGTTCTGACTTAGAGGATTGTCAATGGTGCCCACGACGGGCATTTGGTTGACTACGCCGTATTTGGGCGCGCCGCCGGTGCCGTGTTCGTGAAGCATGGAGAAGCCGATGAAGTGGCCATCAGGCAGGTAGCCGGAATAAGCATCAACTCCATTCTCCAAATCAGGTCCGATCTTCACAATGCCCAACGGTCGTGATACACCCGGAAATGCGTTTCCACCGGCTACAGTGCCAGTCTGAACGATGTCAATTGATAGGAAACAGGAATGGTCTGGGAGCAACTCACGTCCGTCAAAACGTAGCTAGAGAGGTCGGCAGACTGCGCTGCTACGGCCGAGGCCATGTGCAAAAGAGTAACTCGACGCATTTTGATAACAGATGGTATAACCTGCACATTCACAACTCAACACAAAATGACCGCGAAGACTTTATACCTTTGACATGAACGCAGCCAAGTCCCCACATGCACTTCTCTAAAGACGGAGGTTGCACCCGGATGAAGCTGTCCGGTGACTCTTGATTGACAGTCCCAAGTAGGAAGGCAAACAGCCGACACCGGGGTATCTCATGAAAACGAAAGGACTTGGCTCCCAAGGCCAGGCGCGAAGCGTCGTTGCAGGAGTCTCCACGAGGTAGTATTTCCTCGCTGTGAGGATCGCGGGTGGGTAACGAGGGACTGGCAACGTGCGGGAACGAGAGACTATGACTGGACAATGTGTGAAAGAAATGGCATGACGAGCTCGAAGGGCTATCTGCGGTAGATAAAATGGAGATATGAAAAAGAAAGAGACCGCGGAAAGCGATGTTTAAGACATGTGCATCACAAGACGGACAACCGCATATGACAAGCGTTGCAACGCGGACCGGCAAATAAATGCCATGGGCGGCTCCAAGCTTCTTGGTGTTTGCCCATTTCGTCGCTCGAGGGGTTAGGCTCATTTCGCGGCATAACCCACACGCTCGGCCGTTCGTGTAGCCTCCCCGCTCCTATAGGAGCTGGGCTTAAGCGCCTCAGCCCAGGGTACGGAAAATGAAATGCAACCCATAACGGTCTAGCGATATGGTTCTTGTAGTCTGATAAGCGTAAGGTTGCAGCAGGAGAAGCGCGCTCAGCCTGGGGCGTCGTGCTTGGGGCCATCATGGAGTAGAGTTGCCGAGACTTCTGGCCTTAAAGGTGTTATAACGGTGGGAAGCCACGACTGACCAACGCCATTCCAGGCGCATTGGCAGGCTTTGTCTAATAGCTGTGGTTTCCTTGAATCATATGGAGATGAGATGCCGAGACCCAGGTTCATTGGAGAAGGGGACATAAATCCAAGACATTACTGGCCGCGAGCAGTGCGCTTTGGTTTTCGAGACCCGAAGACCCTTCGACTCGGGGATGTCTCATATGGTCCTTTGATTCGGCCCCGTGCCCGGAAGTCACACTGATCAACGACGCTGCCGAACTAAACTGACGTTGCTTAGCCAAGACTCCCTCGAGCGGGTGACCGAGAAACAAAAACAAAAACATTATCGAATTATGATAGAGGTACCTGTGTTGACCTCAAAGTAATTCTACCAGAGGGCTAGAGGCACAGTTGCTGAGGAAGGCCGACGATCGGCTAGATAAATACAGAAGATACTTGAATTTGTATGGTAGGGCCGCGGTTTGGCAAGTATAGCTATCTTTAACTGGCTTCTAAGTGTACCTGGGAAGGGTTTTTTTTTGTCACCCGCTTGGCCCCTCTATCCAGGAACAATCGAACGTGAGCCACTGCCACTTGACTTGAGGTGTGCCCAGATGATGGCGAAGCGGTGCCCATAGAGGTAGGTTTACCAGAAACGCATGCTAAGGCGAATGATGATTTGCTGCTCAGTATATTCGAAGACTGTGGGCATGCCTTATCGTCTACAGAAGAACCAAAAGCCTAGATGTCTCCTGTTTGTGCGATCTCCAATACTATTGAAATCCAAGGAGCTACTGCAGGATGCAGGAGAAGGTCTTACTGCTGGTAAGATAATTTGGCCCTGTTAGACCGACGAGCCAAGCCACGTGCGGAAAGCGCATCTGGCGAGTTCTGGAAGAAGGGAATATGATACGGAAATAAGATGAGGATTACTTACATGATCGGCAAGACGCATTTGTGGCCCCGGACATGCGGAGGCTCTTCATTAAGGTACGGGTTGTCCACCAGCCGCGTTGTAAACGTCTCGATCAAGAATACCAACAACGAGGAGCTTTTCCAAGGCGTCATGGTTGTAGCTTGTTGTCTAATTTGCTCCAGCCTTGACGTTCTTTTAGTTCGTTTGTGATACGATTACCATGGCATCCTAGGCGAATGTTGAGGGTTGCTAAGAAGCGGTACTGCTCTGGAGAAGACAACGGAGCAAGTTTTACTATTAAGTCAAGATAAAGGCCTGTTCTTCCATCTCTAAAGAACAACGTCCTAGATGTCGCATAGTGAAGCTCACTGCTACCATGATGGTATCGTCCTCGTGGCCTAGTGGGTGCCGGAGGACCAAGCTCATACCGGAGCTGTACCCAGAGCCATCCGGTGCCAGGTGTAGCCTGGAACCGCTAGAGGTGGGGGTTTTCACGTGACACACAGGATCTGCTCGGCCCCACCATGAAATTTATCCGACATGGGAAGCGGTGTGAGAATTTTGTCGGTCTCAACGTCGGTGAGCCGTGGCAGAATTTGTGAATCGCATCGCTCTGCCCAAGTCCAGCCAAGGTGATTGTTTTTTGTCGCCCGCTGGTATAAGCCTGGCGAGGCAATTTCTGGCCTATGGTGCCTTCGAACTGCTCCAGATCCACCGGCTCACTTTATGAACCTCCAGAGCGCTGGTCCGTCACCAATTCCTCCATTATCACGCCGAGGGCAGAATTTCTTAGGCGGTCACCGCGACTCTGCAACAAGTATCTCAACTATTGAGCCTTTGGTTGCCAACTAGAGAAGCCCAGCTTCGGAAAGACAGCATCTTTAGGGATCGATCCGAACACCCGGCGGAGAATTCAACAGCAGACTCGCCATGGGTCGAAAACCGAATCCCGTGATTGGGGAGTATTTTACTCGGGGCCCCAAGCTTGCAGACTCCAGCAATCGTTACCCGCATACCTGCAAGTTATGCGGCGAAAACTTCCCTAAAGGCAGAGGTGAAGTCTTACACAAGCACATCACCGAGAAGTGCCCTGCCATTACTCCCGAGGAGCGCATCAACGCCGCTCTTGGATTTGCAGGACTCCACTCTGGTTCTTCAGCACCCCGATCAATGAATCTCACCGTCAACCAACTCGACCCCGCTGCGGCGGAAGTCGCACCCGAGGCCCCTGAGAATTGGTCTGCCCTTCGCACCCTCGCCGAAGCTTCTCGTCAGGTTGGTGAGAATGAGATGGGTGCTCCTTCAGTCCCTGGTCGCGATCTGTCTGAGTCAGCTGTTCGCCAGCTTGGAATCGGCTTTGAGGTTCAGGAGCAGTTCACTTTGGAGAACCCACCTGTGAGCTACGACAACCGACCTGGCCGTGAGCGTAAGGGTGAGTTTTCGTATTGCCTCCTTCTTTTGTTTTGTTCCTCTTCCCAACGACTACTGTAATCTACTTGAATGTCAAAGAGCATTCGATGGTTTCCACACCAAAGGCACAAACAACATGAGTAATGCTGACTTGCATACAGAATCCACTTCCAATGATAGCACCAACCCTTTGAGTTACCTCACCACAGAGGAGAAGATGGAACACCTCCAAGCTGCCACTCAGCAGCAGAACAACACTGCTTTGGATTCATCAGATCTATCGGTCGCCGCCGCCGCAACCGCGCGTCTCACTGACTCCCTTATGGACCCCCAGTTGGCTACTGAGCATCCTGAGCCCCAGGTCTTGAGTCCCGTCATGTCTCCAACCGAAGCTTGCAAGCCAGAGGCTCCTGGCAACAGTGTGCCCGTCACCAACACCCCTGGCCCTGCTATGCCGCAACAACTTCAACAACCTCAGCAACAGCAATCCCAGCAGCCTCAGCAACCCTGGGGTGAGATGACTTACATGACGACCAACCACAACCCCGCAGTCGCGACTCATGTGGCCCCTATTGCACCGCCCAACAGAGGCGGCACTAGAATGCCGATAGGAAACGGGACTCAAAGCGAGCACAAGCGCAAGGCTTACAATCCGGTTCGGCGCAAGGAAGTCCAGGCTGCCCGTAAGAAAGGGGCCTGCATCAGATGCCGCATCCTCCGCAAGACATGCGGTACCAACGACCCCTGCGATCAGTGCCGCAAGATTCAAGGGCCTCGTCATTGGACCTACCCTTGCGTCCGTACCCGCCTTAACCAAGAACTGACTCTCTATTCGGCCGCCTTGATAGTAGTCCTGGCGCAGACTAGAGTGAAACACGCTCGGCAAAACTACCAATTGCTGTCGAACGGCACCTCTCTTGTCGTCTCCTTGTGGGAGGACAGCCCCAGTCTGACGCTTGCCGCGCTCGTCACTCCCCGCCCCCAGCAACCTGTCGCCGAGGAGTCGGAGCAAACTAATGGAGACGCCAAGCCAGTCTATCAGGTTGTCATGATCGACCAGGATAAGGAGGATCTTCCTGCCCGCATGGAGGAGTTTTTAAAGTCCATCTTGCCGACCCTAATACAGCGCGAGCCGTCTCATTTCATGCAGGTTGTTTTGGAGGCTGCCCAGAAGTTCCCTCAAGAAAGGACAACAGGCAAGAACCTGAAGCTGGCCATTGAGCTCTGGGGTCTTATTGAGATCCTCGACCGAGAGCGCGGCTGGTACATCGCCGAAGAGCGTGAAGGAGTTGTATCGCCCCGGGGCCCTGAGGAGTTTGCCGGAAGCGATGACCAGGACATATACAACCTGATCACTTTCCAGCTGTCTGCGGCAACGGAGCGCAAGGCAAACAACGTGTCCAACAAGCTCATAAGCGAGCTCCAGCGCTGCCTGGAGAACGGCAAGGCCAGGATCAACTTTGACGTGTATCTATCGATCCTGATTCTCCTCCACTGCCTCGAAAAGACGACCTGGACTTTCAAGGTGTGGGAGATGGATGATTTCCGTCAACGCTGGCCCCTCGACCGCCCTCCTGCAATGTACGTCAATCAGGGCCGGGAGATCGCCGACCTTCTCAAGATGCTCCTGACTCTCCGAAAGTCCCACCCCAAGACGTTCCGAACCCTCGACGGACGTCTTAGCGTTATCGACGTTGGCGACTCAGACTTTGCCATGATGGCGGAGTTCTTTGAAGCCCTGAACCTGGACTGTAAGCTTCTTTCTTTCCCTCCAGTCTAATTCTTAGTTTCCTTACTAACGGTCATTCCTTCTCTAGATGACGATGTCGTCCAGAAGCTGGAGACGTGCGCCTTTAGTCCCGAGACGTCCCGCTCGCTGGAGCTGCACTTCTGTAGTCAAGTGCTGCTCCCGCCTAAGGAGGGTGACCACGGCCACCACGTCGCCGCTGCCTCAAGCTCTGGTCATAGCACGCCGCCCCCTCCTCCCCCCGGCCCCGGCCCTGACAATGGCCCTACCTCCCTGGCTTCCCCACCCCCTCCCTCTCAGCAGCTGCCGCCCTCCATGTCGTAGAACGACAAGCACATCTCTGTGAATACCTTTTGAACTATTACTGGGATTAGACAGCGGCAGCAGCAGTTAGGCAGCCTGTGAAGGCACGCACCTTCACACTCACATTCACATTCACGATGATGAACGATTGGACGAACAAATAACCGACAAAGGATAATGATGTACGACTACCGCCACTATGGAACAAAAGCAAAACCACAAAAAAGTTAGATACCACAAGGACTACAGAACTTTGGCGTGAGGCACTGGAAAATGGGAACAAAAGTAGACTTCGGATAGAAGGGTTTCCTGTTTATAGATGGGAATATCCCGCGACCCTCGGTTTGAGGATGGCATTCATTGCCCATAGATTTTACTCGTAGATACCCAACGCAAGTACCGACGCAGTTCATCATTGAATTATGTGACTCCACCGGTGTGAACTAGTGAGAAGTCGAGGTCGACACTCACATGATTGTGGCACAGTTTGGGGTTGAATGAGTTTTGGTCCCAACAGTTTCTGGTCTGAATGGCTTCTGCTCTGAACGCGTTCCGGTTTCAGTTACTTCTGGCTAAAGCCATGCCACAAGATAGCCACGTCCGAATTGGGTAGCTCTTCAGTTTCCTATATTTGGATTTGTATTCCAAAACATGATCTATCAGACCTTGAACGTTCATCAGTCATGCGCCTCATTACAGACATGAATCTCTATGTCCCCGCCCAGCGCGTTTGCACATCACTACAGGAATAACGACCCCTAGAAGCTTCGTGGCCATGCCCAAACAACTCTCTTCTCTGCTTCCTTGTCATTCGCTGCCGGACATCCCACTATCTCATCCTGCACTGGGGGGGAGGCCACTAGCCCTTCCCGATACTGGAGATGGAATCTCCCGTGGCCGTCCTCGAAGGTCCCATGCCGGGACGCTTAATCTTCCTGAAGCAGGCAAACTCATTCTTGCTCGCCTCCCGCAGCCGCTTCAGGACGCTGCGCATCTCCGGGAGCTCGCTCTGCAGCCGGGCGCGAGCGTCGTTATCGGTGCGTCCGTCGAGCTCCTGGTAGATCTCGCTTTGAAGTTGTGATGCGCGGTCGGTAGTGTACTGGCTGAGCGTCTGGGCAACGAACTCGACGTCGAGGGTGGCTTGCATCAGCGCCTCAAGGGTATATCTCTGGCGTGTGCGGAATGCCTCGAGAAGCTCGCGGCTGGTTTGCTCGAGGAGGTAGGAGAGTACTTGGGAAGTGAGGGTAGGGGCGGTGGTTGAGACTTGGGTGTGGACAAGGACAAGACTCAGAAGAGCCTCGTAGACATAGGGTCTCGCTTCACGCGGCTTCTGGCCAGTCTCGGGAACCCAATCTGGCGAGGTAACTCCAGCTTGGACAATGTTCCGCAACTGTTCAATGGATGGCCGGGTATAAGACTGGAAGAGCCTGGCATCGATCTGACCCAGGACGTCCTTGATTGTCTTGGACTCGTCACTGAGCTTAACCGAAAATGCGTTCTCAAACTGCGAGTTGAGGCTCGGAACCACCTTGGCCCGGAGGGCCTGAAGGTTGCTAAGAGTAAGGAGCATGCGGACGTTCTGCCTTTTGTAAGCTAACACTCTTGAAATACCCGATGCGCTAACTTACCCTATCCCCAGCATCGAGAGTCGCTCTTCCACCGCTGGGCGCGGGCACGGCGGTGGCGACAATAGTACCGTCCACATCCGTTGTCCAGTCGTCATCAGCCTTCTTGACAGATCGTTCCGCGTTTTCCACCATGCCGCTCAACGCCTTATAGAGCGTCGTGACGTACTGGCTTCTAACCATCTGCAAAAGTTTGCTAGGCGGTGGGAGAACAATATCCCCCGCACCAGGCTTAGACATGGCTTCAGATATGTAGAGAATTTTCTGCATGCCAGCGAGCAATGCGCCTTCGAAAGCCGAAAAGCTCGAGGGCATGCGGGTCAGGTCGCCGAGATCTGGTGACCGGTGCCAATCCTCGACGAATTTGATGTTCTCGGCGTCCTTGTTCCATGCGGCGCAAAGAGCAGTGACGCACCGCTCTCTGGCAACGTTAACAAGTGCCTTGAGTCTGTCCAGGACGCTGGCATCTGGCGCGTTGGCAACCGGGCCGATGCTTGCCAAGTCGGACGCACCGGAACCCACCAGGGCAAGCATCTTGGAGAGGTAGTGAACACCGCTGACCGAGTTCGACCATGGAGGCCAGAAAGCCAGCTTCTCCCACGTCTCGCCGCGCTTGGGTGACGGTGGCGGGATGTTGTTAGGGTCAAGATTAAGACGAGCATCTCTCGGTCCGGTGGGCGAAAGGCCTCCGGCACCGGCGGATAGCGGGCTCTTTGGTGACATTGGAAGAGGCGAGAACAATAGTGAAATATCCTCCGGGGGTGGACCTGCGAAGAAGGCAAACACTGTCTCGCGGATCATATCGACGAGCTCCAGCGTGCCATTTTGTAGATCGTCCGCGCCCTGTTCCGTGAATTGATGATGGTGCTGAGACTCTCCGTTGTACCCCAAGGGAAGCGTGCGCTGGATGTTGCCATCCAGGAAGCCTTGTACGATCTGCCAAAAGTCCACAACCTCTCCGAGGATGCCTTGCGAGGAGAGGATACTCGACAAGAATGCCAACATTTTCTCCCACAGCTCGATGACGTCGGCAGAGTCGGCAGATCCAATCTTATTCTCAACAGTGGCGCGGCCTAAAGAACGGAGATGAGAAGCGACCGTGTGCGGGCCGGGCTTGTCGGCATTGGCAAGGCGTCGTCGCAATACCTCGACCTCGACTTTGGAACGATCAGACGTCGATTGGATCTTTCCCTTGAGATGGTCATACCGACTAAGCAGCCAGACCCAAATCGGATTGTCGTCCACGCCCAGTTCCAGGAGTAGGCTAATTAGCTCCATGTGCTGATCCTGCTGGCCCAGATTGTCGGACTTAGACACTCCATGAAGGGTAACGAGCTTCCGCCAGACGTCGCGCTTGAAAGCCTGAATCTGCTCGTCCACATCGTGCCACATGCGTGCTGCAAGGACAATCTGGTAGATTGTGTCTGACGAGGCCTCGGTAGAAAGGTTCGCTGCCAAAGCCCGGGCATTGTCGGAAAACTTGCGCGCCTTGTTGTACTCCTCCACAAGACTCTCGTAGTCCCTCCGCTTGATGCTGTCGGCAATCGCCGAGCTCAACTCGACATAGTCCTTGAACTGGTCGATGTTCGCAGACACGACCTTAAGATTCTCCTCCTTCTCACGGCCTCCCAGTGCTGGACCCCACACATCTTCCGCCTTGGCGGAAACATCCAGCAGAGGTGCCTTGATTCCCGCCACGCCGTATTCGCTTTCCTTAACCAGCGCATTCTTTTTGCGCGCGTCCGATGTTGGGGATCCTAGGGAGGCAGCGAGGTTCAAGTTGCTGATGCTGCCTCGGAAGCTGCTTCGACTAGCATGGCGGGAGTGAGCACGGGCGCGACCTGTTGTCGGTGGCGGGGGTGGCTCGGCGCCGCGATACTTCATCTCCTTGTAGACATTATCTATGGTGGCCTTGGCCTTGACGAAGCGCTCGAAGTTGGTTTCCACCAGGACCTTGAGTGATGCAGACTTTTGGTCAATCGACTGAGACAGGGTGTCCAAGCCAACCAACAAGCTTTGAGTGTCGGCAGTTGCATGCATCTGTGACAGGAACAGGGCGGGAGAGAAGGTGGTCGAGGACAGTAGGAATCGGTTGCCTGCGCATTGGTCAGTCTTGACATCGTCTTCGCGCTTTGAAACCTACGTACGCAGGCGCGGATCATCTTGGATAGGAACTCCCAACTGGCGGAGAGTCCTGACAACGCTGTCAGTGGTGCCCAATGGGTCGGGTTCGTCCCGCTGGACGATGTTACCGACACCTCCCTTTTCTGACTGGGCTCCAGGTATCATGCTCCGCCGATCACTGACGGCTCTCTCTAGTGCCTGGTACCGCGACTTTCGGCGCTGCATTTTGGCCTTCTTCTCGTCTTTGGCGTCCTCGTCATCGGATGCATCGCTCTGGTTCTTCTCGTCGGGCCACTCATTGGGGTATGGTGTGGGGAGCTGGTAGAAGTCCAGGATCGTTCGCTCGTAGTCGGAAGCCATCTTGGGGTATCTCGGTGTGGTATTTGTCTGAGAAAGCGACCGTTATCCCAACCCACCGGAGACGACTGTGGGTTCTGTGAGGGAGCTCACTGCCACAGGTAGCAGTACGCGTAGCTGTTCGTCTCAAGCGCGGTAGGCGAGCAGTTCCATGGGCCAGAGGGGAGCGAGTGACAATGCCGCTCAAAGACACCGGTCGTGCCAAAGCTGCAAAAAGCACGCAAATGGATGCAGAAAGAAAAGAAGTGGTTATTGGAAGCTTGAATCAGTGATGTTCTGCTTAGGCACTGCAATAGCGGCGAGCAGTTAGTGACACCGATGCAGCCCACTTAGCGCCATAGGACGCAGCTCTCACCGAGACCCCCCCATTCGCACACCAGGCTGGCCTCGAGGTGAGCTCGGTCAGGGCTGCAGGTCTCTACTTCATTGATCGGCTGGGGAACAACTCTGGTCCGTTCCTGACACCCGAGAAAATGGAGCAAAGTGGGGGGGGGGGCCATCTAGCCACTTCTGTGGCTGAACGTTCGGCATCAGTCGGTGCTAGAGGTCGGTCATCGATAATCCCGCGGGATGTTTTCTTCTGCAGGTGAAGAACAGACCGCCGCTTTACTGGGGCTCTGCTGCAGGATCCCACTTTCAGATGATGAACCTCGGATAGCGACAACTCAATAAGGCAGCAAGACAGGCACAGCAGTTGGAGATGCCCAAGATCAACCACGACTGAACTTCAAATGTAAATTCTTGTAACTGAAGTAGCTGCCACGAATATAAATTACAATTCTCGCTGTGAAGGATTTTCCCAGCGACGTTTTTTTATCTATTCCAAAAGACCTTAGCCCGTTGGAACCAACACCCTCAAAGCAGCCAAGACCCGTTCCGGTAAAGCGGCGGCTTATTTTCTCACCTGTCAACCCCGGCCGGGCGCCTCTGCTACGTATTATTTCCTTCTCCCGACCTTAAAATTCCCGTCCCCCGATAATCGACGAAACCTTTCCCCGACCAGCCACTACTCCCCATCTTAACGTATCCTTCAATCCTCAAGGACCGTATCTCCTCACACTTCAGTCACGATGCTGGCCGCCCGTACCTTCGCCGCGCCTCTCCGGCAACAGTGCCTGCGCGCTGCTCCCCGCGCCGCCGCCGTCTCTCAGTTCCAGGTGCGCGCAATTCGCCTTGTTCCTTGCCGTCCCGCGATCCGCCCGTGGCTGTAGAAGCCCGACGACGCCTACGTGCAAAGTCTCGAGGGGCCATGGCAGGACAGCCATTGAAGCAGAACCGCAAGCTGACAAACAAATAGAACTCCAGATTTTACTCGAGCGAGCGTGTCGCCAAGTTCCACGGTGTCAAGGACTCCAACGTATGCCATCCCAATCTTCCTCCGTTACTACCCGCCCCATAAAATTTTACGCGCAAAGTCTCAAGACCTCGGCTGTGTTGTTGCTGGGCACTCGACTTCGACACTGGACTGCTCTCTGCTCTCGCCAGCGATTCGATTGGGAATGTCTCTGTGAAGAAGCCAGGTGCTCTTGCAAGAACTAGTGTCGTCTTCGTAGTCTGGGCGGTGGCTCAAAATCACTCAATTGGCGAAACTCGACTTGCGACACCTAGGCAAGATTAGAATACTGACCCGCCGCGCTATAGGGCAACTACCCGGTCAGCTTGATTGAGGGTGACGGTATCGGTCCCGAGATCTCCCAGGCCGTCAAGGACATCTTCGCCGCAGCCAAGGCCCCGTCACTTGGGAGCCCGTTGATGTCACCCCCATCCTCAAGGACGGCAAGACCGCCATCCCCGATGCCGCCATCGAGAGCATCAAGCGCAACAAGGTCGCTCTCAAGGGACCCCTCGCCGTACGTGGAACAAAACACACCGCCCAGCACGCTCTCCCACTAATCTGGTACATATAGACCCCCATTGGCAAGGGCCACGTCTCCCTGAACCTTACGCTCCGCCGTACCTTCAACCTCTTCGCCAACCTGCGCCCCTGCCGCTCTGTTGCCGGCTACAAGACCCCCTACGACAACGTCGACACCGTCCTGATCCGCGAGAACACCGAGGGTGAATACTCCGGCATTGAGCACGTCGTTGTTGACGGCGTCGTCCAGTCTATCAAGCTCATCACCCGCGAGGCTTCCGAGCGCGTCCTGCGCTTCGCCTTCCAGCAGGCCCAGGAGATTGGCCGCAAGAAGGTCCGCGTCGTCCACAAGGCCACCATCATGAAGATGTCCGACGGTCTCTTCCTCAAGACCGGTCGCGAGGTCGCCAAGGACTACCCTGACATCGAGTTCGACGCCGAGCTGCTCGACAACACTTGCCTGAAGATGGTCACCGACCCCCTCCCCTACAACGACAAGGTCCTTGTCATGCCCAACCTGTACGGTGACATTCTCTCCGACATGTGCGCCGGTTTGATCGGTGGTCTCGGCCTTACCCCCTCCGGCAACATTGGTGACGAGTGCTCCATCTTCGAGGCCGTCCACGGCTCCGCCCCTGATATCGCCGGCAAGGGCCTGGCCAACCCCACTGCTCTGCTTCTCAGCTCCATGATGATGCTGCGCCACATGAGCCTCGGCGAGTACGCCGACAGAATCGAGAAGGCCGCTTTTGATACCCTTGCGGAAGGAAAGGCCCTTACCGGCGACCTGGGTGGCAAGGCCAAGACCCACGAGTTCGCCGGCGCCATCATTTCTAAGTTGTAGATACCTACCTGTAGAACTGTACGATCTTAGACAACGTATTTTTCTTTTTCCTTGCGTTAGCCATAGTCGTTGAATGAGTTGATGAACTCCCAAGCTGGTTTTTATGTGCGTTTGTTTCCCCGCGAGTGATGCAAAAAGGTTGGACAAGAATGGAAACCTGTTTGAGCGACTGGCAGCATTGTAGCGGCGTGGCGGCAACAAGTGTGATTTAATCAAGCGGACTGTGTTAGTCAATAGCAAGACGATCGAACAAGCAGCTTTGCACCCCGTGACTACTGTGAGACCATTCCCTTGGCTCGAGGCCTTGCGGGCGCCTCGTCTTTCGGGTCAGCCACTCAATGTTCGAGAATTCTGTTGCCGGCATCCTCGAAAAACAGGCCAAGAATCTTGAGCTGCACAAGAATCAGGGAACGCGTGACTAAGAAAAACTGCCGGTCGAATGGGAAAGCAACACGGTAAAGGGACGACATGTTCTTGGCACTCGAAAAGGACGCGCCGCGAATGTCCGTGAACACACAAAGGTAAGACGAGCCCGGTGTGTAGAGAGAATGGTTGCCAAGACCACCGCAGATGCGAGCCTAGGGACGAAGTCGTCTTGGCGTCCGTTCGGACAGACGAAGGACGCCTGACAGATGTGACAAGTTTGACGGCCTCAGCCCGGCGGGGCCCGAAAAGCACGCCGGAACGGCAGACGCAGGTCGGAGTGAGGCTTGAGATGTCTTAGTGGTCGAGATCGGCTGGTCCAACTGGGTCTTGACAGCTCAGCGAGTGGGAAGTCACGTTGGTCAAGGCGGACAATGCTGGCCAGAGGGATCTGCGGTGTTGTGTTACGGAGACGGGGTTGCGCCTGGCGGTGTCATCGAGAGGATCACGGAGAGACCACAACAAGCAGCAGAAGCGCTCCCAAGTGTTTAGAGGGCATGCCGCTAATGCAACTTCCTGAGCGGTCTGTGAAAGTCGATAGACATACCAAATATTCGCATGGCACACAACGCCGTGGCTAAGCCCCCACGTTTGTGGTCTAGAGACCGCCAAGGTCAAACGGAAGCTCAAGAAGACGGAAGACAACTGCCCGTCCCTCCTCTCTCCTATCTCGTGTCTTTTCTCGAGTCAATGGCTGGCAGCCAAGCCCGCCAAGCATCGCAGCTAGCAGCCAGCAAATATTCCTTCGCCTCACGTCGGTAACGGGTTCGGAACGAGGAGGCACAATGTATCCTCTCAACAGTCGACCGATGCAGTATACCAAAGTCACACAACCGGGGTCATGGGTGCGCTGGACGACTAACGTCCTGGCAGACAGGCAGGTAGGCTGTCGCCTCGTCATGCTGTGTCGTGTAAGAAGATGATCATGGCCTATGGAGGAGGGGCCAGATGGTCGCGTGGCGCCTCTCCATTGTGTGTTGAGTTGCGAGCCGCTGCATCCTCCTTTTTGCGGTTGTGTTACCACGAGCAGCTCTCCACACCATTGTTGATACATCTACCCGAGAAAAGATGCAAGTCGCGTGGGTAAGTCAGTGGGCACGTCTCGTCCGGACGCAAGCACGGCGGTCGAAGAAGGAAAGGAAAAAAGACATAGCAGCCAGCTACCTACCAATAGGATTTTGCGGAACGCCTAGTTTCCGTCCAGTGATTGTTAAGAGTCCCCGGTCCTATGTCCTCCGAATCGTGATATGCGGCCAAGGCTTGGTATGGCTAGTCTCCTGGGGACATGTTGATTTCGAGAGTTGGGCCTGCCTGGGTTCGGTTTCTCCCCTCGTTCACCGTTTCTTCCTCCTTCTCCCTCGACGAGACTTGAGTGCGAACGTGCCCAACTTGAGACGGAGAGGTTGTCGGGTCCAAGTTAAAGTTGTCGATGCGCACAGCATGCTGCCGGGGGTAGGAGCCGAGATTCTCCTTCGAGGCAGTGTTTCACGAAATGGAAATGGAAAGCACTGGGAATGTCGCCGCCGAGACGAGCAAGCGTGGGTTTTGCAAAACCATCGGCTGCACGACATGGTCATTGGAGGCTCTTTCTCAGCCTGCCCAAGCGCGGCTCTTCGTACGCTGAAACTCTTGCCTGGGGAGAATCTTGCAGTTTTTCAGACCGAAGGAAAAACACCAGGCATTCGGCGCACGGGCGAGGGCGCGGTCGGAGACACTTTTATGATGCAAAACTAACCGTTGACCAAGGCTGGAACATGTCCTGGGAGGGGGCTCAGTAGGACATTGCCATCCCGAAGCAAGGAGTACACGTTGCCTTGCAGGAATGAAGTATCCTTTGAGGCGAGTGTATCCACGTTTCCGTTCTGCAGACGATCACTATCAAGTCATTACGGCAGTCTGGCCGGTAACCCTTGAAATCGAGCCGGCGCCGAAGTTGAGCCCGAAGGTCCCCCCTCCCCCCCAATTCGAAATTCCCAATGACGCCGCCTGCTGACGAAGATCAACGCTGTAAGTTAGAAGCCTGGTGGCACATTTCTCGGGAGACGACCGAAGTGACAGAGCAAGTCTGACAATCAGACAGACACACCCGGGCGGCTGTGAACACCGTCGCGCGAGGTGCGAGTCATTTAGCCAGAATGAACGGCGCCGGTCCTCCAAGCAGCAGCCTGTGTTACCTGTCTAAAGTGCCTATAGCTTGTGGAAGTGTGCTGTCTTCAACGGACATCTTCCCGCATGTTAATTGGGACACCCATTCTCCTGCAACATGGATTTGGGAATCACGATCCTTGGATTTCTGGGTTGGTTGTGATGGGTGAAATTCGACCCCGTGGGGATCGTCGCGGATGATGGGGGAGGGGTGCGGTGCGGTGCGGTGCGGTGCGCCGGTGCACAGGAGCGCTCAAGGCGTGGCTTTCTCGTGTCCCCCGTCCTCTGACCTCCAAACAATGTTTCTTGCTGAAGGTGATCCTCTCGCCTCAGTACGTCCGGAACAGACGGCTTGAAATGCCGTCTGAGTCGTCCCAATCAGGTACTACAACATCACCTGCTCGATGGTTCTGACTGCTGATGCCGGCGTTAAACCTTTCGGTGCTGTCTTGTCAGCCTGTGATTGCACGCTTGTGATTGCGAGGATCTAAGCAGATTGTATTGGCTCAGGTCGTGGCCGATTAAAGCAAGGCTTGCCCTGCTGTCCGGAATGATGTATTGGAGCGCATGAGTGAACGATGGGATGACAGCTTGGTCGATTCAGGCAAGACCAAGCTTTTGCAAATGCTTGGCGAGGGTGGTCGAACGCTTCTAGAAGCATACTCTTTCGCGTGGTTTTCGTCGGCCGCTTGGCATTGTGATTTCTCGCCCTCTTTTCGTTGGTCACAGCCAACCACCGTGGAGTCCCCTCTGCGAGATCGAAAGTTTGTTTAGGCGGTCCCGGTCAAGAGGAAAAGTCAACGCTCCCTGCCATGATCTCGAGTCGATTTCTGACCAGTCAACACCTGCCTTGTATGTAGGCTTCTGCGAAGTATCTCAGTGTCACTTGGGCCTCGCAGGGCACAATTTCCTCTGATCTTGTATTCCATGGTTGAGAGGTCGGGCCCCTGTTGCCGTTGTGAGCAAAGACAGAGACATGGTTGGCGGCAGGGCGGGAGGGAGCGTAGGGTGAGAGCATCTCCCTCTGATGTTAGACTCGCAGGAATCTCGGCGGGCTCGCTCGCCTCACGGCTTCTCGCGCTCGTCCGTGATAGCAAAGCAAGCTAGCAACCGGGATGAAGCCTCCTCCCGTTGAAGGAGAGGACCTTCGAGGAGCCACTTGATTCGCGGTTCGTATCTCACCGCAGGTGCGGAACCCCACGCTAACGGAGAGTGCCAGTGATGGGGCTCTTCGTCTCCTCCTGTTTGTTCGCCAGTGGCAGGAACGGGAATGCAAATGGGCACGAGTGGGAACAGCACACGGAAATGGAGCAGTATCTCTGTACACTAGGAAGGGAAGAGGAGGGGGATGGCGGATGGAAGGGGAGGAGAGGAGGTATCGCTGGTACCAAGAACGTTCCGACGAATTTTCTGTCCCTCTGTGGAGCGCGAAACAGTACTCTGTACGTATTCGGTACGTTGACTAAAGCTAGCCCCAGGTACCGTCCTGCTCTGGTATAGTTTTGGTATCAACCCCCAAGACCACGCCTGGAACTCTGACTTGACAGATACCGCGTGTCGCGTACCTGAGTACCTCGGATCAAGCTTCCCACATCGGCGGCATGGGCCAGGAATTCCAGTCTGGATCCTCCGTTGTCTGTGTGTCCATTCGCTCGCGCGCATCGACGCACACCCAAGCATGAAATCTTGCTGGAACCAGCCCATGAAGTATGGGGTAAGATAAGTAGGATGTACGGATGGATACTTACCTTGGCTCCTGACCTTCGGTTTGGTGTCCAGGTCCAGTCCCAAGTCATTAGAATATCGCTCATGTCGGTTTGCTTTGCCTTGACGGGATTCGGCCTCTGCAGGGGTTACCCGTACCCCTTTCCGTAGCTTGTCCTCATCCTCGAATCCAACAAGCTCCGTCGGCACCGGGGCCCATCCGCCGTGTTCACCACATGTCTCGAGGTTACGTGTGATGTGGCCAACAACCCTGGATAAGTCGGCACGCCGTCTAAGTGTTTCTGCATGTCCTTTGCTATATGTTGAAGCTATTCTCCCCCTTCTAGTTCCAGGATTTTTTGCAACAACCACCTATTTTCCTGTCAAGTCTTACACGCAGTTACACTCTAGTACATCAATCATCTTTTCCTCGGAGACTGTCACTTTAACACCCTCACACCAGCCCCCCACAATCACAATGCCTTCCTCCGACGTTCACAAGGGCCAGCTCCAGTCCGTTCTTCAGAGCAAGGGCATCCGCTTCCACGTCAAGACTGGCGGTGCCAAGTACGAGTGCCACCTCCAGGACCGGTCTTCCTAGTATGTCTCATCAGTCCCCAACACATCGTGATCCGTTACTAACATTGTCTCTCAGCGAGCGCGTCAAGGCCACCAGGACCAACTCTTCCGACTCCCAGGCCAGTTCCTCGTCCGCTTCGACCGCTAGCAGCAACCACTAGACGGCTCCCTCAATGGGAAAGTTGGATAGTTGGTCTGGGAACGGGATAAAAAGGCGGGACTAGGGACGGCGTTGGGGAAAGCGACGCCTACCACATTATTCACGGCGGCGTTACAACAAGCGCTACACGGATGAACAAGCAGAAATGAACCACATCCTCCGGTACCTGATCGGAGTTGACGGCAATCAACGGTCTCCACGCACCAACATCCTTGGAATCCGTTCGTCAATCCTCTTGATGCGCGTAAAGTCCTCAGTCTCGAAAGGCGCGATGAACAGAGAAAGACTGGAGACTTGGACCAGGACCAGGACGCGCCTATCGGATGATATCATCGGTCTGCATTAGAGCGAAGCAGGGTCTGCACGGAGTTTTCATAATTGGGCGTTGTCCAGAGCAGCACGAAGCTGATACCAATCTTGCTATTGTACGGAAATTCAATACATTGTTTCTCAACCTAACTATTTCTGACCAGACGCACTTGAGCCCATCGAGACATTTTCCAAGTGGACCTACTTCCGGTGCTTCCGTGGAGTAATGAATTCCTCCTCGAGGGCGGATGTACTGCGCTGCATGCAATGCATGCATAGCCTTGTTGGGAATGCAAGCTCTTCACAGAGTACAGCTTTGATTCAAAGGGAATCGGTGCTTGCGCACGTTGCCCCAGAAGACTTGAGCCTACAGTCCCTCAATCTGTTGAGTCATGGGCCCTTTACCGAGTCCCTCGACTTGGGCTGTTGCTATCGCTGTCGCCATTACCAATGTTTTTTTGCCTTGCGAACTGCCATGTGACGGCAGCCTTACCGAACGCGCTTCGGGCGATCAAAGCACCTGACGGTGACGCCGGATGATACCACTGCCCTCGAGCCCACTAGGGCATTCAACCCGTCGATGTCGTGGCCCCAGCATGCCGGTGTGCGTCTTGCGTTAGTCCAACGTCTGAGCGGCAAATTCATGATTGGGGAGCCTTCGTTCCTCGCTTTTCAGGTCACCGAGGATCACCGACTCGGTACCGAGGGCTGGCGGAACCCCCGGACGGCGAAGTGGGACCGACTGGGCCGCTGTCGCTGTCGCTTTCGCTCAACCGCCATTAGCCCGTATGCCCATTAGTTTGGGTATGTTGCTCAAGGAGTTCCCACGGACACTGTGTTCGTCCTCGGTAATTCGGGTGGTGACGTCAATGGATGACAATGGCGCTCGGTGACTGTCTGAAGTGCACGCGTCTGTGATTACAAATGATCTGTGTTTCTACCGCATCCTGACATCCAGCCAGCGGAGCGGATGCCAAGAGTAACCAACGAACTGTTATATGCCAAGGTTGCTGTGAAAATGGATGGCATTTCTTCCGAGAAGCAGGGCTAGTCTGATCACATCCTTGCAGGCCACGCGAGACGAGCATCGGCCCTGGAAGTAGCTCGACAAGTCGCAGACCACCCTGATGCCGTACCCCCGGTGAGAAAAAGTAACAATCAGGTAGTGGGGTGAGGTAAGCAACTGACGAAAAAGACAAGTCGAGTGTTGAGTAATATGAACTGGTCTCTAAAAGTCATCTTGCTCTCCCCACCATAGGCGTCATTGCGGTCGGACTCGAAGTATGCCCATATGTCGACAAACAGAGGCTGGGGTTCAAACGGAATCCTCGCACAGCTACGATGTGTTGCCGGGATTCCATCGATACCCCGTACAGATGGCTTAAAGTGACTAGGGCGTGGTGAGGGCTTGACCTTTGCTGAGAAGGCATTGTCTGATGGATAGGCCGACATCGCCCTAGAAGAATCAAGCCAAGCACCACCGCGGGGCATGGCTGGAACCATGTTCAATTTGGGTTTGCTCGGTTGCTACGTGCATACCACTTTGTTCAAGGCTGATTTATGTCTATGATAGAATCAAGCAGCGTGTTCATCTCTAGTAGATGCATCAACTCATCTCGGCCGAGTGTATCCAACAATACCCAAACACTACAGTTGGTTACTTTGTATCGCAAGGGCCCTCTATTTCCTTTAAGAAGTCTCGCCATCAAGTTCTTAGAATATATGAGGCATCTGTACCATCTAGGCCAATCTTCAAATTGCGCTCTTTGCGGGGCGAACCGTAGTTCTTCGTACTAAGATGGCTTTTGGGGCAACACTGGTAGCTGTTCAGGACTAACGTAATTTGCTTTGGATTACAGTTTATCTAGTCTGAAGGCGGCTACATCATGGGACAAGGTCTAGAACGATCAGAGTATTACATTTTGAGCCAACGCTATTATGAAAGCAGTATCGACCGCTTCCCCTGTATTTTGTATAGTCCAGTTTGTAAGTGATGACTGCCGAAAATTGAGTGCTTTAACAGCATAGAAGTGCCATCCGTGGCGGCTAGGCAACATAGGCATGGAGAGCAGCCTGGAACCACGATGATGGCATCTGTCTAGCATTGGAAACATCGAACAAGGCGTATTCATGGCCGGTTTAAAAAAGTGACATTTCTCTCACCTTCGCTGCTTCCATCGTTTCCAACGCTCATGGCACTTTGATCAGGTCGAAAGTCGCACACAATAAGTCCGAACACGTTGTGGGTAGCCTCCCACCAAGATGATCTGACCATTCCGTCGTTGCAGAAATTGGTGGCCTGGAATTGCCATAGGAGGTTGCCGTTCTCACCTCCGCAGCTGTGAGATGACAGATAGATTAGCAAAAAGCCATAGGAAAGCAAACATAGGCTTGTGAATTCTTACTGTGTCTGAGAGGGAGAACAGGGGAACCTTCCAAGGTAGTGCCAAAGGTCACCACAGACTGCGGGAATGTCACCAACTCCATCGGCCTTAACTTTGTAACTACATAAAAGGGATTATGAGTAACTCCGCGACTCAGCCACTCTCTAATACACAGTTTCGTGCTTGGTCTGGGAACAAAAAAGGACAGAGAATAGATGTCTAAGAAGCTAACTGCCTCGGGATCGTTGATGCAAGGGAGAGGGTGGGGGGCCGTGGATGGCAAAGGCATAGGAGTGCTCGAATCACTTACCGACTGGACATCTCAGTGCCGCTTTCAGTACAAGAGGCAGCGAAAACCGCGCCAGTAAGGACGGCTAATCCGCCAGTGGCGATGGTGCTGAACCTCATTTGATGGAGAAGGATGTGCTATTGGGTATATCTGATAAAGGCGAATAGAGATTTTTCGGAAACCGATGACTGTATTCTATGTATCCCGTATACTGCTAGGCAATAGAATAAGGTTTGGGGTAAAGAGAGAATTTTACGCTTGATTCCGTCCCTCACCACTTTGGACTATTTATTAGTTTAGGCCACGTTTGTCTGTGACCATGATACTGCCCAATCTTACCATGCTCGAAACTTTCCGATGTAGCTAGGCTCATACACACGAAAGTATGTGCGCAGTATGTGATTGTAGCTCGAGAAAACCCGAGACAACTCGAATGTTTGCAGTAACTCATAGTTTAGGCGATGTAAGGGGTATTTGTTTGCTTGGTGCTTGTTGTGCCTTTACAGCACTTCCGAACTCCCGGCTATGGAGTGGGGAAACGTTCGGCCCACCCGAGGATACGGTAGTAAACAATACAAAGATTAAGTCCCTCGTCTCCTGTCAAAGAATAGCTGTAATTACGGTGGTACGCGGAAGATGCAGAGAGCGAAAACTGTCACGGTTATAGTACGTTAATTTCCACAAGACATGCAAACTGAATTTACCGCCCAAAAGAATCGATTTGATGTTTGAATACATGTCTTATTCAAGTCTTTGGCTTGCATCTCCAACCATTCAGATATGACCAGGCTCGAGTTTATTGGTTTCTTGAGGCTGACTGCAGTTAACATGTCCCTAGAGAATCCATATACATTAAACGAAATAACAGATAGTCATATGTTAGTCTGAAAACTCTCTCAACCGAGTCATATGTGACTGTAAGCCTGAGAGCGCGGCCACCAGCATTGAAATTTTGTAGCTACAATAGATATGGGATCCTCGGCGAATATCAAAGGTAAGACAAGCAAGTGAGAAAACCAACAGCCGTCAATGGTTTTCGGGCTCATATAGGAAAGAAGCATGATAGAAAGTCACAGGATGACCCGGGTGAATTTATAGTCTTCCTGACAGTCTTGATTGGTCCATACATCGTGTATTACAGATGGCCGATCAGCAGGCCGGTCAGCAAGCCGGTCAACCGGATAAAGTGGGTATTTAATCGGCGCCGGGCCGGAAGAGAGACTGAACGGACGAAGTGGGTCGCGTCATTGGTTGCACGGACCCGCTGGCGGCGGTGAGGTGAAGGCGCTTCCGCAACGAAGGATGCTCCGGGATAAAAGAATGAAAAAGAGGGGGACAAGAGAACAAGTGCTAGATTTTATTTCTGTAAAGTTTACGAGCCGTAAGATACCCTAGCTTTAGTCTTGCTCGCCGCAATATATGGAAACACAAACATCTCCAGCCAAGGACCGGCCGGTTCCGTACCTCTTTGGACGCCAACACGTCATACAAATGATTCATCCAGGACCTCTCTAGGTGAGCAGCGCCGTCAACCAGAACATGAGCACGCTGCCGTTTACATGGTGGATTGAACAGTGAGGTGCTGTAGTTGTTGGGCTGTATTCTATCTACTAAAAGGTCACGCGGGTAGCAAATGTATCTTCCATTTTAAGTGGAACGGCACCAGACGCCGAGGTCCCATGAGCTCCGCATCCCTCACTCCGCGTGTTGTACGAGCTTCGTCTTGACGCTACTACGGACAAAGTCTGGCGGCCGACGCGAGCTAGTTTGATGTCGAGTCTCGCGCTGCCTTGCCACTCATAGAATAATTTCGACCAAGGCCTCGTTGCAATTTGGCCCAGCGGTGTGAGGCAACTATTGAGAGATGGACTGGGTGCGAAGCTTGGGCTCAACTATGCCACAGCTGGGCACTGTGGTACCTAATTATTTTATGCTGTGGCGATAAACCACTATTGTACATATGTAGGCGGTTCGTTATGCTGTTTAGCGCCTAGTGTGCCATGCCGCCCCAAAACACCTTAAGCCAAACCCAGCAAGAACGCAACCACCTTCCCTCTCTCGCCGCGCCGCAGGAGGTGACTCGTCGAACGTTTGACCGCGCCACGGACTCGGACCAAAACGTCCATGCCTGTCTGGCAGCAAGGTGCACCACGAGGCCAACCCTTAAGTGTAATCGATACCAAGCCATTCGGACGCCCCCTACGCAGCCCATGGCCAGGGATCCCCCCAATTCTGCTTAACAGCGGCGGACTATTGGTTAAACGTTCCTGGTACCCCCTCCGCGGCAGCCCTGGATCCGGGCTGTCATGGGAGGAAAGGGTACTCTCTTGCTTGGATAGCGGTACGGATGCACCGAACGAGGTGCCAGGGTACATAGCTGCCTCGTTGACCTCTGAAGCCCATACCGCAGTCGGAGGGTACGCAATCCCCAGAGGTATCTACCGTCGTATGTAAGTCGCACAGCCTCCCACCGCCGTGCCGCACCGCAACCTTTTACTTACACTACCACGCCCGTCCTTCACCTCCGTATGATCCCTTCCTCCTCTTCCTTTCCTCCAACTCCAACCTTGGGTCGTTACCTTGTTTCTGATTGTCGGTTTTTGACCTGTCGATCAGAGGGTCGTTCAAAATGCCCGTGCCAATTGCAGCCAAAGGTGAGTGATGCATGCACAAATCGTCCCTTGTCGCTGCCTATCGCTTGTACCGCCTCCCATGTCCCCTCCCCCATCTCCCCAAACACCGCCCGGCGATCTCCTATTCTGCTCTTTCACCTATGCCTACGCTACCCCGCGTCAGCGCTGTTGCGAATCACGTTGCTTGCCTGAGGTGGTCAGGCCTGTGGCGAATAGCCTCCGGGACCACGCAATCCCAACTTGTTCAGCGCGTGGCCAATTTAGAGCTTGGAATCCTATTTCTCGGGTCGACTTTTCGTTTTCTCCCTTGAGCAGCTTGTGTTCTTCCTTGATACATACTTGCTGTCGCCCCCCAAGCATCTGCATTCACACCGCCTTGCCTACCTGACGATGCCTCCCGTTAACAATGGTGCCCTGGCTTCAGCCGGCGTTATTGCTGTGTCTGTTGCCGTAGCAGCTGCTATTGCCATCTACGAGTCGCCCGAACTTCGACGGTATGCCGACGACATCCGGAGGCGTATTGCAGTCGCACTGCACTCGCTGGGCGAGGGCATCGAGCCCGGCGACCGCCCGCCCATGTTCAACCGCCCCGAGGACGCCCAAGGCTTCCTAGAGTCCCGAGGAGGAGCCGAGTCCGGCGTGGACGCCGACGATGAGACCCGCCGCCGCCAGCGCGAGGAACTCTTGTACTGGAATGCTGTACACCTGGCCAAAACGGAGAAGGAGAGAATCGAGGCCGAGGAGTCCGGTTCCCGGGAACTGCCGCCGCCCGGGCCCACGCGGGGCAGGTCTTTCGACGACTTCATGCAACAGGACCAGAACGGCGAGAAGGGATCTTTTGTTTTCAACACGGGCGCAAATGTCCACAACGATGAGGGTCTTGTCCGTCGCCGCTACGAAGGTGTCCGCGGCCTGAACTCCTCGCTCTACGCCAACCCCTTTGCCGACGAGCACCAAATCGATCAGGATGAGCTGCCGACGGTGGAAGAGCCAAGCCAGCTTTCTCCCGGCCGCGACGAGGCCGTGTCAGACATTTATAGTGCTACTACCCGTGACGCCGACGAGCGCCCCGAGATATCGCCGCCACTCTCGCCCATATGCCCCCACTGATCGACGTTGCTGAGACTTCTTCCGAGTCCGAGAAGTCTGCCACTCTCGATCGCGAGCTCGGCGCCGACGAGTACATGACTGCCGGCCAGGAAAACCGCGAGGAGGCCTACGCCTCTATCCAGGCCTGGGCGCAAGGGTCCACCGCCTCCAACTTCTACTCTCCTCTCCCCATGTCGCCACCCGTTCCTATGTCCGAGCCCGAGCTCGTCAGCGAAGGCGAGCTCACTCCCACGGACTCTGCCTCTCTCGCCGGTTCTGGCGAGGACGTTGCCAACGATGCCGCCTCATCGAGGACCGGCGACAACAGCCGGTACTACGATGTGCTGAGCGAAAGCGAGGGCATGATGACCCCCGCGAGCTGGTCTGAGGTTGGCAGCGTCGTCAGTGAAAACGAGAACCAGGATGCGACCCAAGGCCGTGTCCACGCATAGCCTGTTTTCCTTCTACTCCAGTATGCTCTTTGGTGTATTACGGTCAAGTCAGTCGACTCACTCGAGCGCGGCGACGGGCAAGGTACGGGAACGGCGTAAAGGTTTAACAGGACTAGGAAATAGGGTATAGAGTTTGCTTCTGGGCGGCTAGGCATATGATTTGAATCAAGGTTTCGCTTCTACATGATTTCATGTGTGATTTACGTCGTTTCAGCGCACTTGCCTTAGAGCATGACTACAAAACGCCTTTCGTATACCCAACAGACAGCGATATCTGGGAGGCAGTATGCGAGCACTCGAAAACTAACGACATGTGCGATATCATTCCCGCTGCTTACATGGGAACAAGGTTTTCATCAGCAGCCCTAATCCTGCCCAGTCTGACATCGTCGTCGGAAATGTCATCCTTGTTGACAATGACTGCCTCATCATCCTTCATCTTCTCCCCGTAATCCTTCCAAAGCTGCTCAACAGGCCTACCCAGCAGCTCTGTCCAGAACTCCTTCTCTCTATATTGCTGAGTGCGGAGCTTCTCATTTACTCTCCTCACCGTACCAGCGCCGAAGCGGCCTTCAAGGTAGTCGAGAAAGTAGCCGGTGTGCTGGTACCCGCCGTCCCAGTTACCACTCGCATCACGCTTCCAATGAGGCGGGCTCAGGTGTGCGTTGAGACGGACCCAGTCGGCGATGCCCTCGATGAGCCCGCCGGGGCAGGTGCCGTGGGCGTTGTACTGGAAGCAGTGGACCATCTCATGGGTTAGGACGCCCATGATCTCGTCGGTGCGGCGCTCGGCGGGGATGCCTGCGATGTAGGACATGGAGAAGTGGATCTCCTTGTGGTCGTCGTCGAGGTCCGAGCCCGTAGTGTAGGCGACGCCGCCCATGTGGCGGAGGATGAGGGTGACGGAACGGGTTGAAGGGACGTGGGTGGTGTGGCATGAGGGGGACTCGTAAAGCAGGGTCAAGACGGAGCGGACGGCGGTGGTGAGGGCGTTGCTAGCGTTCACGGCGGAGAGGAAGTGGACCGCTGCCGGGTCGTTGAGGTCCCGGATCTCGAGACGGAGTTTGGGAAGCTTGAAGTCTGGGGAGGGACGAGAGCGATCAGGGGCGGCACCGGCGGGGGTGGCAGGGATCGGGCTTTGGTGTACCGGCGACTTTGGAAGGGCGGGGAGAGGGGTTGCGGCGGGAGGTCCCGGGGCGGGGGTCGAGGCCGGGGTCGAGGCCGGTGCCTCGGATGAGGTTGGTTCTGCGGCTGCGGCGGACATGGCTGGGAGAAAGATGGAGAGGGGATCTGGGTTTGGCGTCGTGTTGGGTGGGAGGACCATCTGTTGGAGGTCTCGCTGGGGTTTTGAGGGGAAGACGGTCGAGATTTGCCTTACGGATGCGGACTGAGGGTTCCTAGTCGAAGCTAGTTTCGTGTGCGTAGCGCCGGTATCTTTACGTAGGTACGTCGTTCGGGGATGAAAGCGTAAGCGGGGAAGTAAATGAGACAATGTGTTCCCGACCTCAGCGACTTCTCGTAATAATAAACGTGATTTGTCTGATGTTCAAACGGATGGGATGGGAGACTTCTGGAGCCTCAAGCCGGTAGCAAAGGAGGAGATTGACGGATGTTTCCCCAGAGGACCCTGTTCCAGGAACCTGCTGCCAGCTGGAGTTCGTCCCCTGGGACTGGGGATGGGAACGTGCCTCCCCTGCGGCTGCAGGGGTGAGGTCCCGGCCCCTAAAGCCCCTCTCGCGATAAAACCGATAAGGATTTAGCGCAGCTTCTCTGGACTAGCGTCCTGCAGCACCGCAGGAGCGGGACCCCAACCAATGGAATCGGGTCGAGCTCGTCGGTGCACGGGACAACCTGCGATAGGGATAGGTTGCCCCTTTGTCTTTTGTTTACTGCATATTGGGGCGCCGATGGGTTTCGACATCATCCGCATCACAACAACCCGCGCCAGCTGCCACATCTGCGCAACCCGGCCTCGAGTCTGTCACATTCTTCGCACTGGGATATTCCTCCGTGCTTTCTCGCATCCGAACCAACTTGCACAGAATCGTAAGCTCTTCTCTGCCCTACCTGTTTCAGCCCACCACACCCCTCCCCTCCCCATTGCGCTAGACGACTCATGCCCTCGTTATTTCTCAACCTCACCGTCGCCCATCTCTCTGGCGTGGTTACGCAGTTGCGCGCACCACCCTATTCGCCCGAGCTTCCTACGTGTCAACAACGGCAGTAACATCGACTAGATAGCCAGTAGCTGACCATCATCTCTCGCTGTCCCAGGCAAAAACCCAACTAGAGCCCAACCCTCGTTCTGCGGGGAATGGCGGAAAAAATCACCGAGGAGCAGGTCAACGACCTGTTGAAGATCCTCCGCACCGATGCCAGCGTCGACCACAAGGTCCAGCACGTCACCGGCATCAAGTCCGGCATCAAGCAGCACAATGTCCCTGATGCCCTCGTTCCGCCAATCTTCGAAGGCCTCCGCACCGCGTCCGTCTCGCCGCACGCCGTCCTTGTCAACGCCGGCTTCACAGCTCTCAACCATCTGTTGACAAGGCTCTCGAGACAGGAGCCCAAGTATATCGCCAAGGAGGCGAAGCACACACTTCCGTTGGTCATTGACAAGCTGGGAGATCCAAAAGACAAGTTCAGAAGCCTTGCGTCGCAGGCGTTGACGACCATGTACGCGGCGGCGCCCATGGATGTTGAGCGCTCAGTGCGCAACGTCGCCATGGTTGGCAAGAACCCGAGGGCCAAGGAAGCCGGCATGCAATGGCTGCTTTACATGCACCAAGAACACGGTGTTCAGTTCCGCGCATACGTGCCGACCCTCATGGAGCTTCTCGAGGATGCCGACGGCATGGTGCGCGACGTTGCTAAGAGCACCGTCATCGAGCTATTCAGGTACGACTTGTGGTCGCTGTCCCTTGACAGGCGCTAATTCTTGCTATACAGACAAGCTCCCAACGCAGCCAAGTCCGATCTCAAAAGACAACTGAAAAACTTCAATGTCCGCCCTGCGATCGAGCAAGCCATCGTCAAGGAGCTGGCGCCCAACACAGCCGAGCGGCCGAAAACGCCAGGCTTGGAGGCTGCCGCCCCCGTCGCCGCCCCCAGACCGAAGCTCGCCGCAAGTGTGTCGTCCGTCTCGAGTGAACGCCCCATCACGCCAGCGCCCGAGGCCCGGAGTGAGGTGGATCCTGCATACGTCAATACCCAACGCGAACTGGACGACATCTTTAGGGAGATGATGACGTACTTCGAGGGGAAGGAGACCGAGCAGAACTGGCTGAAGCGCGAGGAGAGCATGACCAAGCTGCGGAAGCTCATTGCCGGCAACGTTCCGCAAGACTTCCCGGACGCCTTCATGCTCGGCCTCAAGGGACTGCTGGATGGAATTATCAAGGCTATCACCTCTCTGCGAACCAGTCTCTCCAAAGAGGGCTGCAACTTGGTCCAGGACGTTGCCATGACGTTCGGCCCTGGCATGGATCCTTTGGTGGAGCTTCTTATGCAGACCTTTATCAAGCTTGCCGCGGCAACCAAGAAGATTGCCTCCCAACAGGCAAACACCACGGTCGATATCATCATTGGCAAGGTCACATACAGCTCGCGAATCATGCAGCATATCTGGGGCGCATGTCAGGACAAGAATGTTCAGCCTAGGACCTACGCTACCGGGTGGCTCAAGACAATTCTGAACAAGGAGGCTCACCATAAGAGCCACATCGAGCACGGCGGCGGCCTGGAGCTGGTAGAGAAATGCATCAAAAAGGGTCTCAACGACGCGAACCCTGGCGTCAGAGAACGAATGCGTGCTACCTACTGGGTGTTTGCCAAGACCTGGCCGGCAAGGGCGGACATGTGAGTAAAGAAGCATGTCGCAAAGTAAATCTTTTGCTAACATATCTGCAGGCTCCGAGACACTCTCGAACCCACGGCCCAAAAGCTTCTAGACAAGGACCCCAACAACCCCAACGCCCCTAAGAGGGAAGTTGACAGTGGCCGTGCAAGGCCAGGCCTTGGCCTGTCTAAGAGTACGATGGCCAGTAGCAAGCCAAGCTTGCGTGAAACTATGCTGGCGCAGAAGAAGGCGACAATGGCGGCATCCCGAAATCTGCCTCCCCGCCCGGGTTCCGCAATGGCTAATCTATCTCCGGTTCGGCCACAACAACCAGCGCCGAGCTCCTCTTCGACCGGCCCGGCGCCCTCATCGAAGCCAACAGCCTCCGGTGGCATGTCTGTCCGGCCAATGAGACCTACAAAGAAGCGCCCGGAGATGGCCGCAAGACCGGCGACAGCTGGTCCCTACTCCGTGCGGACACACGATGGGCCTTCCGCCGAAGCACCGAGCCCCGAAAGCCTCAAGTCCAAGAGCGTCACACCAAAGTCGAGAACCGAGGCGTCTCCGCGAAGAGCTGCTAGTAGACCGCGCGCCGCAACATCTCACGCTAATGGCCCGAATGTTGCATCGCCTAGTGCTGCCAAGTCAACTCTCTCCAAGTCGGTATCTTCGCCCCGTGCTTCGCCCCGGTCTAGTCCCGCGAAGCCTAAGAGGTCACAAACCACGATACCTTCGAGCAGTCCATCCAAGGACAACGAAGATCTCACATTGGTTGTGCCAAGTCTCGCCAGTTTGAAATCGCCTCCAAGAGATGGCCCCGCGGAATTGCTGCCAGCAGCCGCAGTGGAAGCGGCGCCGGTGAACATTTCTGTAGAGATCCCCTTGCCCGAGGTTGAGCCTGCGCAAGAGCCTGTACCGGAGCATATACCGGAGCCTTCACCGGAACCCACCGAGCAGCCCCTCGCGGAGCCCGAGGCCGAGGCCCCTACTGAAGCACCACAGGACGCGCCAGCAGAAAAGCCTGAGGAGGCACCTGCCGATGTAGCTGTGGAGGCTCCGGCCGAGGAACCGCCAGCTCCCGCGACTCCCGTCAAGGAGGAAGCGGCCGAGTCTGAACCCGCCCCCTCCAACGATCTGAAAGTGTTTGAAGACCCATTCGTGGACGATCAAACAACTGCAAACCCTAGCATCACTGTCCCAGTGTTGGAGGACAAGCCTGTGAACGAGGTTGCTGCGCCCGCAACCAACGGCCACTTTGATATGAACGGCACCCCTGAGACCCCTGAAAAGGCCCGCCAGACTTCGAGGTTGCTCGACAGTGGCGTGACCAGAGTCAAGGCAAAGTCTTTGGACGTGCATGGCTTCAGGAAACTGCAATCCATCATTAGGGACAACAAGGCGGTTTTCACTGATGAGAAGTTCGAAGCCCTTCTCCGCGGGCTCTTCGAGTACCTCGAGGCACCCCTGGAGAACCTCGCGCCGGAGAGGGTGCAGGACGTCAAGGCCCAGATCCTCGCCACGATCAAGCTTCTGCTCAAAAAGGAGCGAGACAACTTCCAGCCCCATGTCTCACGAGGCCTCGAGTCCCTCGTAGCAACGCGCAGCGCCTACGATGCGCGCACCCGCATTGTCAGCGGTCTTGAGCTCCTCGCCGAAGAGCTTGTGGCCCTTGGGGACCCGCCCGAGATTGTCGTGGTCATGGTCAAGCTCCTGCAAAGCAAGCAAGATTCATCGATCGAGGGTAGCCGCTGCCTTGCCACAGGCCTGCACGTGCTGAAGGAGCTACTTGACAAGCGCACTGGGTTCACGCCCTCGGAGAGCGAACTCGCGCAGCTGGGTGGGCTTGCCGGCCGATGCCTCGAGTCGACTGACTCCGGCGTGCGCATGGGTGCTGTACAGCTCTGCGTGGCGCTGCACTCGCGCATTGGCGATGGGGCGTTCTGGGAGCTCATCAAGGGCACCAAGGACGACCCCAAGAACCTCATCACGTACTACATTGCGAAGAAGCAGAGGGAGAGCAGCGCCGTTGCCGCCTAAGTCGCGCAGACGGACCAGGCCGCCTGCACGACACAGAGACGGGGTTTGGAGGCAGCCGAAGTCGGAATTTGGTGTCGGGGCGGTGAGTGGAATGGATAATACCTCGAGGCTTCAAAAAGCAAACGGAGTTTTGTTGTTATTGGCTGGGAAAGGAAGGAAGGGAACGGGGCTAAGCTATACACGGGAAGGCAACGTCTTTTGGGTTTTGCGTACATTTCGGACGCCTTTCTTGTATTGCCTCTTTTTATTTCCAATTGCCCGGCATAGCTGTGCACTGTACCAATATCTATCTAATTCCAAAGGAACCCCTTTTTTACCTTTTGTCTTGTCTATGAGGTCTTGGCGGTGCCCGTCCTTCGGACGGGGATGGGGCCGGGTCCGAGGACTCGATACTGGATCGGGCCCAGTTGGGTAACTCCATGGACCAGGACGGCTGGCCGAGGCCCTGCCACTTGTTGCTACCAGGCGACCTTTTTTCCATCTGACACGAAAAGACATGCCCCGTCAAGGTGTCACTTGCTTGGCCGGAGAATTTTGCTAGGTGCTCATGCCATAGGCTAGCTGGACTGGCTGACAGTCCAGACGTGCCCGCCCGGGCACCTCGTGCCGTGCGCTTTTGGTGTTACACTCACTTTCTCTGGCGCACAGCCGCAGCATCCCATCATTGACCCAAAGGATGCTCCTGCTAGCGCAGCCGCGGCCCAGTGACTCTCAGCCGCGCCCCCCCTTTATTTTACTCATCTGACGCGCTTCTTCGGTTTATTTTTGGCGAGCAAGGAGTGAGGAGCGATGCGAAAGGCGCCGCAGCCGAGCTGGACTTGTCGCGGAACAGGAGGCCAGTTGTAGGATCGGGGCTTATTGGCCTGGAGGTCATGTAGCTTTTTTAGAGAGCTGCGTGTCAGATTGACGAGGGCCGTCACTGAATCGAGCTCGGCAGGCCTAGGCCCTCAGGGAAGCTCTGTTTTGGGAGTCGGTTAGCTGGACCGAAGCCGCAAAGAGGTAGAGAGAGAGAGAGAGAGAGAGAGCATTGACGGCGATGCATGGATGTTGCCGGAGGCGGGATGCGGGCTTCCCCGGACCGTAGGGAATTGGATCATGCCCGGGCTCGGCAGACTGCGGATCTTGAGCCGGGATGTTCCAGGATAGCACTTTTGACGTGTTTTGTCGGTGGAGGGGAACACCTGACGTCTTGTTCAGGCCCTCAAGAGTCAATTGCGTTGACTATGATTTGGGTTGACGATGCATGATGCGCAGCGGCCCCGGCAGTTGAGTGCCCGGCTGCATCACCGGAGCACACGACGGATCTCAGAGGGACGGCGGGCGGGCGAGCGTGCGGCGGCATTTAGTGGATTGGGCCTGCAGTCGTAATCGGGTGGCTGGCCGCATGAGAGATGGCCATGCTAACGCGCGATTGCGGCTCTGGGATCTGCACGCGTTGTGAGCGGGTAGGTAGTTGCTCAAGATCTAGGGGAGGTTGATGGGCGGGTTTCCAAGTATCTGGAATGCCGCCTCCGAGCGGCTTGCTCAGGGCTCGCGAAATACAGTAATCTCGCATACATTGAAGCCAGCGGTCGCCACGTTCCATCCAAATTCCCGCCCGGTCGGAGGTGCTGAACGTGCGTACGCCCTGTGTCTACAGTCTGTCAACTTCATGCAACTTTGGAAATGGTCGAGGCCCTTTAGGGAAAACGGCTCGTTGCTAGCTATGATCGGCACTTTGGCTGCCCGGGATAGACAGCCGGGAGGCCGGGATGTGCCTGGGAGGACGTGCTCTGGAATGCTGAGGTGTCGCCAGGGACAGCAACACGTCTGACGAAGCCGAAGAGCACCGCGGTCTGCGACCACTGAGCGGTTGGAAATGAGGGAAGGGAAGGAGAGCCGGCGACCACAGCGGGTCCATATTGAAAGCTTGTCATCCAAGAGATGCTTGTCTCTGTAGATGAAAGGTCGGATGGGCATCCATGATCGAACGATTGGAACAGCACCGATGGTGATGGACATTGGATACTGCCTTGAAATTAAGTTGGGCTGACAGCATCCCCCCTTAAAGGCTTACTGGCCAAATTGGAAGGTTGCAATCTGCCACTTGGGAAGCGTAGAAAGCGTAGCATCAGGACCAAACCACTGGCCTTCTAGCGAACGGTCATGGGTCGAAGCGAGCGCATCAGTGGACTCCCAATTCAGTCTTCCAGTCGGTTGGTTTTCGTGGCTTGAGGGTCTGTGTACAGGCTTTATATGCCGCGCTCCGATAGCATCATCGTTGAGCAAAAAGGGGTGGCCAACCAACGGTGTCCCATAGCGGCCAAGAGAAAGGGGGATGCCATATTTGATGAGCTGTGAACAGCGCTGCTCGGAGGTCCTTAGGCAGGCGCAGCAAAACTATCAGTCGGGGGTGACCTGGCATAGTGTTTGTCGAAGAGCCCCCTCTCGATTCCCGCCAACGTAGAGTCCCTGTCGAAGCAGCTAGAGAGCATTGCCAGCGAGAAATAGTCGCCAGATGATATTACACAACGCATCAGCCGTAGTCAAGAACGGAGCATCGGGGCTGGACCGGAAAGCCGTTTTTGGTATTTGTTCCAGGAGGGCTCGGGGTTTCATGCTGGAGACCAACGGGAGTGTGATAGATTAGAGAAGTGATCAACGCCGTCCAAAGTTCCCCCTCCAGTTTGAAGTGTGAAGAACAGAGCCCCGTAGGGAAGTGATATGTAATCAGGGCGCTGGTTGGTGCAAGCGAGCGGGAATGCTTCCGATAGCGTCTGGTTTTGCCATGTTCGTACCTGGCCCTCCGTGTCACTAGAGTAAGGCACAGGCGATGAACAGCAAGGGAGCTGGTTGCACGAAGAGCGGTGTAAATCTTTCTCGGCCCCGGCGGTATCAGTGCGACCGTCTGGCCAGATGCCGAAAGGAGCGTTTGAAAACCAGCCGACACTGAGCAGTGTCCCGATAGCGACCCCTGGGAACAGTTCACGAAGGGTGGTTACCACGATGCAACTCGAGCGCGGGCTTGGTGACAACCTGGCGTGACGAGATTTCGTTTTTGAAACCAAGGCGGGGAGCCGACGAAGCACGTTGTCAAGCTGTGCCAAGAATGGCACCCCCCCCCCCCCCCCCCAAGCAGGCGCTTGGAAACCATCGCCGACATAAACGGCTATGTACGTAGTAGCCCACTTGGAGGTCATTCAGGGCAAAACGGGCCCGAAGATCAAGTACACACGTAAGATCTCGGATGCGCAAGCAGATGCCGCAGGATCGGATCTCGCTGATCTCGGTGGTTGCTATGTAAGCAGTGTACATCCAAATCGACAAATTGCCAGTAAACCTTGTCCGCGCATCGAGCCTAGTCTCTCTGGACCTTGGAAGTCGCAACTTGGAAGCCGAGAAGCCCCATCCTGGACATGTGGTAAGAGGAAACCGAAGTACAGTAGTACGTCCCACTCCCAGAAGCCCGACGTCCCGAGATTGGCTGGGCACAGTCATGTGGTATGATGAATATACCTTTTCATGAACATCACGGGTAATCAACGGATCCACGGTCATTTGAAGTTGCTGCTGCGGCGAAAGGACTAGACGTGTCTGCCGCGCTGTTGCACTGCTATGCCCGCAAATTGCAGATTAGAGCACTTGAAGGGCAGTTGGGGGCCCGAAGGATCGACTGCATGGATAGTGACGAGTGGCGGCCGAGTTGTGCGGAAGGCGTTCAGACAGAAACAAGAGGGAGGAATCTGGATCTGCTCTTGTGGCGCTGTTGCGGACTCGCAGCGGGGACCGTTTAGTTGAAACAGTAGCCTGGGATTTCCTCTGGCGTCTCCCACGTCTTGCTTTCTCATTTAGATGAGGTACGTATCGATGCCATCTGCCCAGCAAGAGGAAGGTACGTACCTCTGAAGGTAGGCACTTTCCACGGCCCATTGGTTGAGAAAGGTACGTTGTGTTTTCCCCCCTGGCATTCATCTCTCGTCTTCGTCTCGCTACCCAGTCATCATCACTACCCCCGTCTAGTCTGAACTGCACTCCTCCTCTCTGCACTGCACGCACTGGATTGGTCCCTGCAGGCTTCCTTCTCCCTGTCCCGCTTCAACTTGGGGACCCTGACCGAGAGTGCCCCCTTCTTCCCCCCCCCTTCCCCTTCCACAAGGCGGCGGCGTGTCTGATACCTACACTACTGGCAGGGCATCACACCATCTCAAAAAATCTCCGTGAGACGCTCGATTGACGACAACCGACAGCCGACAACGTTCACCCCCGCAGTGCGTGGTGCAGGCGCTTTGTTCAAGTCGGCGGTGTCTGTCAATGTGCTGACCGCCAGAAGCCTTACCCAACGGCCATCCTTCTCGTTCCGACTTGGGCACACCGTTCGGCGGTCATCGACGTGGTGATCATCCTCTGCTGATGCTTTCTGCTCGTGGCTCAAGCTCTGAACCCGCCTGCATGAGCACCAACAGGGGGTTTGTCACCGAACCTGCTGCAGGGCCAGAGCTTGGCCGCCGATCAGGAGGGCCAGACCAACAGCTCACACGGCCCTGCTAGGCTTTGGGGGACGGTAATGAACGGAAGGCGGGCAGAGACTCGTTTTCGTGAATCTGACTTTCCCCTTGGAAGGGAAGCCATGGCCAGAACCTAGAGATACTCAGTCTGACATCCTAGGCTGTCACGCTGTTCCTGTCTCTACCCCGGAATCGCCTCAATTCGCCTCACCTGGACAAGCGCGACAAGCAACCGGACACGACGTAGACGTGACAGCCATGGCCCGAGCCATGGCCGGCAGAAACATGTTGGTTTCAACCGTCGCGTGTCAATCAGTCCGCGTTAAGCGTTGTCTGATGTTCTGATACAAGTGATACCACGCGCTCTACTGTTAGTTTTACCGGCTGCGTGCCTGTGTTTGCTTCGCCTGTCTACGAAGCCACACAGTTTCTATTTCCAGAGGGGTGTTTTTTCCCCTTCTCTTTCTCTGAAGTTTTTACTTGTTAGTTTTTGACGGCCAAGCGTCGACGCATCAGCACAAGTGCTCCGCGAGAGGAATATCCACGTCTTGCGATAATCTCGATCCGTGGCTATTATTACACTAATCTCAATCTCAACTTCGACAAGCCGTCACCAGCTTACACAAGTCGTCAGAACTAGCTGGCGAGAAGCACGGATGGTTGGTCGGCCAGACCTGACCGGCCTCATAAGCCTCGACCGTGCCCCAGCTGGACCTGCAGCTAACGTCGCCGTCCAGGCACGCACGCACGCCACGCAGCACCTCGACTTTCCATGCAGGCACCTCCAAACGGAATCACGGCCGCAAAGAAAGGACGCAATAAAGGGTTGCTTGCGATGTTGAGGTGGCGGACTCGAGTCACGAGCTGCAGCATAATGCTGCCGCCATGCAGACGAATCCTGATCCATCCCATCCCACGCCATCCCAACCGCAGCTAACTAGGAAGACATACAGCCATCGACTTTTCACTTCGTCTACCGAGTACGGGTCGCCTGGCTCTCGCCAGAAGGCTGCTGCCACGGATGAGCATCACCTCCCGCAGGCATCCCGCAAAAAGCAAATTCCCAATCGCATCCGTTACAAGCGCAATGTCCCTTTCATTACCGGCTTGCGGGCTCCGCCCAGCTTCAACTGCCGTCCATCGCACAGCTTGCTGGAGGCGATTGTGGATGTTTGCGTCGGATGATCAAGCACCAGACACGGTCGAAGGGCCGTGGCGATCGTTGCTGGATAGCTGCATATGCCCGGCAGCCACCACCACTGGGCAAGGGAAAGATTGGCAACTGAGTAGTTGTGATTGTTGCTGCTGCTGCTGCTTTTGTGCTGCCGCAGTACGTGCACCATTGCCGCTGGCATCCTCGCAGATATCGTCGCTCTCCTCCTCCGGTCCTTATTCGATGGGCCCAAGGGCGGCCGCGAGTGTAAGTTTCCCAATGTACCGTCCAAAGTCCCTTGTTCATTGCACTCTGCCCTACCCACCTCATCTCATCAGTCGGGAGATTTAAGACGGTGGGCAATACGAAATTGCAATTTCAGCGTGGTCACCTCGAATCCCAACTTGTGAAAGACACGGGACTGTCCCAAGTGCATTTTGCATCGGCCGTTGCTGAGGATAAATCTCGATGACTGTGCAGGTGTGCATGCCGCGCGGGCCGCAGGCAGTCGGCTCGTCTGGCCTAGGCAGGCCAGCATGACATGCCCTGGCATTACCTGTCCTCATGTTGCCGGCTGGCCGCCTCTTCCCTCTTCCCCTGGGGGCGACGTGGGCGAGCGCGCAGAAGCCCCCATTTCAATGTGCCAGCGCAGCCAGTGAGGAAACTGAGGTGCCTGGCGGCAAGCAGAGCCCACCCACCCCTTCTCGTCGGTCCCTCCACTCCGCTGGGAATCGAAATGACCCCAGTAATTCGACAGAGAGGAGGGGTTGAGTATGAGGGGTTCCACTGTTTGTGCCACAGACAGAGCTCTCGAGCCTTTCTTCATCTCTGCTCTCACGTTCCGTTCCCAGCCGGGCTGTGCGTCAGCCGTATCCGTACCTGACGGACGGGTGCCACAGTTTCTTCTTTGTTTCCCTGGGTGTATTGGAGGAGCAAAACAAGGCAGTTGGTTGCAAGGCAAAGAGCTTAAGGGTCCGCGTTGGGGGGACACGACTGGGAAGCTGGGCCATCTGGGCCACCTGGGCCCTTCTTTGGGTCTGCATACACGATCGGCTGAGCGCAGTGAGCTGTGCAAAGGGTATACGTACTACAGCAGGCACCTTACTTTACACCTGCCCGCATGCCCTGCGCATAGGCACTTCGGGGTCCTGGTACGGGGGTACTTCGTCTACCCTGCATGCCTTGGTAGTAGTACGTCTCCAACACAAATCGATATGATCAACATTGTTTGGGTTTCTGCACACGACGGGACAACCCCGTCGTCTCATGCTTTGCAGCCTAAAAGTCAACAGAAGTGTCTCTTTTGGGCTGTATTGTTCCTGAATACTGGCGAAGGGCAAGTCCTCCAAGGCGACTGAAACCGTGTGGTTTTTGGGTTTATTTTGGGAGGGGGTTTTGTTCTACTATCTGTGGTATAGCCCGCTTACTGTACCATGTGGCAAGGCAATGAATGTGTCCCATCTGCCCTGGCAAAGGAGAGGTACTATGTACCTACGACGAGGCAAGTAGCGATCCATTCATCCCTCCCGCCCCGTTTCCTCCTCCGCACGGCACCCACGCCGCACATCTGCCAGTCCAGCGTGTTCCATTATTCCGTCTACGTCCCGTCCGCCCAGTCCCGTTCCAGCTCCAGTCCCAATCCCAGTCTCAATCCCCGATTGCACCTCCAGTCCCGTCCAGTCCAGAGTCTGCTCCCAAATTCCACGTCGGCTTCAGCCAAGTCGAGTGCCACCACTAGTGTACCACCACCAACTCTTTTCCTCCCTCTTTCCCACGCTCCATCCATCCATCCATCCGTCCATCTGTCAGGTCTGTCTTGATGACTGCCTCTTGTTTCCATTCTCGTGCACGTTAGCAGTACCTCGCCTTCCACGTCCTCCCTCCCGGGCCGTCAGTAAAGGTGCCTCACTGTGACCTCGCAGCCGGGCCCGCGGTCGTCGGCCACTGGCACCACCCCTGCCCTCACTAGACAAGGCCCTCCCATCAAACCACTCTTGTACCTCCTTACGGGCCTGGGCATCCCCCTGAACCCGCCCGCTCCCTCTTGTCCCCTACCCTCGCTGCTAAAAGAGTACAGACTGGTCAAGCCAGGGCTTGCCATAGTCTCGCTCGTCCTCCACGTCGGCCGTCGCACCTCTTCATCGTTTCCGACCAGTCGACCGCCTAGGTCCTGATCAACGTTCCCAAACTCGACAAGTCGACGCCAGCTTTGCTCTCGCCTCGTCTGCGGGTTCAAGGCCTATCCCACCTGCCTCGTCGACTCTGCACCTCACCTCACCTCACCTCGCTCTCACCTAACCCTTCTTCTGCTCGCCGACGCCTTTTCTCCGCCCCCAAAGGCACCGGGGCCCTTGAGCACCACCTCTCCCGTTGATTGACGAATTTCCCTCGAAGCCTCCCAAGCGAAGCCAAACGAGCGCTACCACGACGGCACCATCCAGGCCGGCCGCTACTGTCAGCGCGTTCAATTTTTCTCCCCCCCCCCTTCATCTGTCTGGTTTCGCCGCTATCGCAGCCTCGAGCACACACAGACACACCACCCGAACGCCACCCATTCGACGCTACGCTGCCTCCGACGTACACGCCCATCCTGTCGGGCATCTGGCACGAGACGCACAGCCTGTCGACCCTCTTCCCCCTCGTCGTCCATGATACAGCTCCTTCGAGTCGATTCCCCGAACACCGATCGTCTTGCTGCCGACGTTTCGTTCATGACAGGCGACGAAGTCGTCGTCCTGCTTGCTAGATAATTGTGACAGCGTCCTGCAAAAGAAACAGGACGTCCTGCTCGTCATGGCCACCGTCATGGAGGATTATCTCGAGAGTCCCATGGACCAAGACGACGTCTTCCCTTGCAAAGGCTGCGGAGAGGTAAGATGGTCCACACTGCTGACTTCTGGACTATTTTGCAAGCACGTACTGACGGCGGTGCCCTTACCCGACTAGATCCTAGAAGAGGGCAAAGCGTTCGAACTTGGTACGTTTGTTCATTTACTTCCTTTCCACCTCCCCCTCACCCTCGTTCTCCCTATCCGTTCTCTGCTCTGAGCAGCATCTTCTGGCCTCATTGTGCTGCCATGCTGTCCCCCATGGCTATGCCGTCGGTAGTCTCCAAGTTCAACCATGCTGATGAGTCTCCTTCATCCTCAGCCGGAAACCGATGGCATCTCAACTGCTTCCGCTGCAACACCTGTGGCACACTCCTCGATTCCGATGCGAACCTACTCCTCCTCGGCGATGGCTCGCTCATCTGCAACAATTGCACCTACAGCTGCAGTGCCTGCAACAACAAGATTGAGGACCTCGCTATTCTTACCGGCGACCAGGCCTTTTGCGCGACGTGTTTCCGCTGCCGCAACTGCAAGCGTAAGATTGAGAACCTGCGATATGCGCGGACATCACAAGGCATCTTCTGCATGAGCTGTCATGAGTCGCTCATGGCAAGACGGAGGAAAAAATCAAAAGCGGCAGCCCAGGCCAAGTCAAAGGAGAAGGACGGATCTCCCATGATCACGGACAAGTCGCTCCCTGCTCTTCCTCCCAACGCCATCCCTCCCAATGCCTTCCACGATACACGGGTCGATCCCGACTCCGACAAGGAGACCCCGACCGAGCTGTCTCCTAGACCGCGCCCGGCTTATAGCAGGAACGACTCGGGGTCCAAGAATAGCGGTCGACTGTCGCGCTCGCCCGAGCGTGCCTCGGAATCCACCAAGGACGCTGGCTTGGGTCTGGCCCCATCGAACTACCGCAACAACCGTAACTCGGCCATGTACGCTCCGAGCAGCAACAACAACAGCAGCAGCAACAACGCTGATGCCAACAGCGGCGACGACGGGTTCTTCATTCCTGTTGCCCTGGATTACACGCCGGCCTCGAACGCGACCCCACGATCAACCTCGGAAAACACGTCGAGTGCCTCCAAGAAGCAAGATAAGGAGTATTTCAGTCTGCCTCGGACCAGCACGGACAAGAAGGCCGACTCCCAGTCCTCAACCCCTCACATTGCGTTCCAAGAAAAGGGTCGGCAACCGTCGTCCGATTACGAGTCTGGACCTATCAAGCTGCCTCTGCGCAAGACGTCGAAATCGTCGAGAAATGACAACCGGTCGTCGGTCATGAATGATGAAAAGACGCAAAAAGTAACCACCGGCAAGCTCTCGCCGTCGATTGACGAGTTCAAGCTGCAGGATGCGCCCAAGAGTAAGAAGCTCATCAGCCCGAGAAGCACCTCTCACTCGGCCACCATGACCCCGGAAAGTGGCAGCGCCAAGAGCAGCGAGGGTGTTCTTCGCAAAGACAAGGAGCCTTTTTCGAGCTTGTCTTCGTCCGATTCACCTCCCCGCATGGGCGGTGGAACAGCTCGATCGTCCCAGGATTCGAGACAGCGCGATGAGGGCGAGGTGCGCCCCTCACTGGACTCCATCTCTTCCTCGCGAACAGACACGACGGCTGGCAAATCCATCACCCGAAAGGAGTTGCCATCTTCACGCAGTGGTAGGTCATCCCCGTACTCGTGTTTTACCATGATGCAAGACGCACCGACCTCTAACCTTCTTTTCACAGCAAACGGCAAGCCTGGCGGCTCTCTGAATCGATCCGCTACACACGATGAGACAAGCTCCTCGGGTCTCTCCGCTGCGCGCCCGAGTATGACTGAGCACAAGCTCAGCGATACTTACATGCAGCCTCGAGCGCCCCCGCAACCGCCCGGTGTGCCCGCGAACACTCCCAAACCTCCCGCAAAGGACGCAAAGGATCAGACGAATGTCAACGAGGAAGGCAAGGTCTCCCCCAAGCTACCTAGATGGAGCTCAGGTGGCGATTTCAGTATGGACGAGGACATGGCTAGGATCCTCGGCACCGACGAAGGTTCATCATCTATCCTGCGCCGCGTGTCAAACGCTGTCCGTCACGGACGCACCAACAGCATCGAAGGCAACCATTCTCAGCCTCCCCAGCACCCTCATAGAGTGACTGGCCACTCGCGGAGTATTAGCGAAACCACCCGCGGCACCGCCTCGCCTCGCTGGCCCAAGACGCCCCTCGTTGAGGATCCCAACGGGTACGAGGTCAGCAGTCCCGTTTCCCTTCACTCGAGCGACGACCCGGCCTTCCTCAAGCGGCAGCTGCGTAACTCGGAGAACCGCGTTGCGGAACTAGAGAGACAGTTCACCACGGAGAAGGATCTGAAGCGACTGAACAAGACGCTCATTGAGAAGCGCAAGACGGTCTCGGTGCTGGACACCCAAACTGAGATTATGATTCGTCAGCTCGAAGTCTTGGCCGGATACGTTGAACGCGCAAAAGAGACAAAGACACCTGTCGATCCCCGCGACTTGGAAGATTCCGCCATCAAAGAGTTTGTACAGAAGCTGGACAAGGTCAAACAGGTGATGAGCGCAGCGATTGAGCAGCTCCACGCCGAGCGCGACGAGCTGGTTGACGAGAAGAACCAAGCGATGGCCGACAGGGACCGCGCGCTTTTGGAGTTTGAGCAGCTATCATCCAAGAACGCTCAGCTCGCCGACATGAACAACGAAATGACCCATCAGATCCAGGAGCGGTTCAAGTCTCAGATCGGCGGTGAGCTCAAGTCGCCCAACGGACTGGGTATCTACAGCCAGAGCAAGGTGTTCTCGTCGTCTCAGCTGAACTTGGCCGATTCCGCGAGCTTGTCCACGACTCTCGTTCACGAGACGGACGAGCCGGTGGTTGAGGCTAGGCCGACCGTGGTCGACATAAGGAAGGGCCAGGTCAAGAAGTTCAACTGGAAGAAGGGCTCAAAGGGCCTGGCACAGAACGTGGCCAAGGGTGTCAACCGTGCCGTAGTGGCCTTCCAACAGGAGCGCGAGCGTGGCCCGCATCAGGGCTTGACTGGCGACAACATCGGCATGCCGTACAACATGACGGTCTCCCAAGTGGAGGCCCCCAGTGCCCCGGCCCCTGCGCCTGCGCAAAAGGGCTCGCAGCAGGCAGTCGATCGCCAGGGTTTCGGCTTCTTCAAGAAGGGCAGCAACCAGAAGTCCATGTCCTCGACCAATGTATCGACGCCCGCCATCGCAGAAGCACCCACCACCTTGTTCGGCTCTGATCTTACCGAGAGAGCCGACTACGAACGCCGTACCATTCCCAGCGTCGTGACGCGCTGCATTGAAGAGGTCGAACTCCGTGGTATGGACATTGAGGGCATCTACCGAAAGACGGGCGGCAATTCGCAGGTGAAGATGATACAGGAAGGATTCGATAAGAGCGAGGATTACGACATTTCAGACCCTGGCCTCGACATCACTGCTGTGACGAGCGTGCTCAAGCAATACTTCAGAAAGCTCCCGATGCCGCTACTGACGTACGAGGTGTATGACAGGGTCTTGGAGTCCAACGGTAAGTTTGCCCACATGGATTTGCATCCTCAATTCTAACGCTCTCCAGCCCTCACCGACCAGACCGAGCGCTGCGACCACCTCCGCAAGGTGTTCAGCTCGATGCCCGAGCGCCACCGCGACTGCCTCGAATTCCTCATGTTCCATCTTGCGCGGGTGGCCCAACGAGAGCCTGAGAACTTGGTACGTTGTACAGAATCCATATCATGATGTGCCATAGTGCTAACGATGCGTCAGATGTCGCCCAAGAACTTGGCGGTCGTGTTTGCTCCAACAATCATGCGAGACACAAGCCTGGAACGAGAGATGACAGACATGCACGCCAAGAACCTGGCTGTGCAGTTCGTCATTGAGAACAGTAACACCATCTTTACTGACTGAACACCTCGCTTGGATGGCTCAAGGTGATATTGGAAACCATTGTACATATCGACGCACCCACGACTTTACGCCTTCGACCGCATTTTCCTTCAATGACCCTGGTTCGGAGAAGCTTATCCCATAGCCGATGGCCTATGACTCTGCATTTGGACTCGAATGTGTTCAAACGCCGCTCATGGCCACCAAAAAAAGAGAAGGAGGGGCTTGGTCCGCACCAGAAACTTTAATGATATCCAAATTTCTTGCTTCGGGGCACGAAAGGGAGTTTCTTGGTTCTCGAAGGCGGGTTTAGGAATCAGGACCGGCGGGACGTGTTTACTTTCGTTGCGAGCGCGCTTTTCACCACCCTCACTCGTTGGGATTCGAGTGCTGAGGACGACTTGATTTGTTGCAAGTGTTGTGCTTGAGTAGTAGAAACGGAGAGGAAGTGGGGGGGGGGTTCAAAGCGAACGTATAGTGGACGAGGGACGAGAACGAGGCTGGCTAGTCAGAGGGCATGCATGCATGGTGCTTGCGCATCGAGTCATCAAAGGGGGAAAGGGAAGAAGGGGAGCGGGTTTTCAAGTTTAGTGACGCCGCAAATATCTAGCAAGACGGTCCCGGCCGTCGATTCTCTGTGCACAAAGTCAAACCAAAGCTTTTATTTTCCCTCGTGCCCGCGGCCCTGTGATTTATACATGTGGTATCAAACTATGTGTAAAAGGAGACTGCCAATGTTCCCAGAAATGCTCTTCCGCCACGGTTCTACTGTACTGCCCACGGTTCTAAAACCCCCTCTCACCGACGAAAGACACGCTTCGCGTCCCCGCCCTCACTTGGAGTCCCCCACCATGCGCTTCACCTTTTCGAGCAGCAGCGCGCTCTCCCTGCCGAGGCGGCGCTGGCCGTCCTCGCCGCCCTTGCGGGCCTTGGCCATGGCGCGGCGGTACCGCTCGCGGTCGGCCGTCTTGCGCTCGCGCTCCTCGCGGCGGCGCTGGATCTCGGCGCGGCGGGCCTCGGCCTCGGCGCGCTTCTGCTCGGCGTGGGCGAGCTGCTTCTCGTAGTAGCCCGGCTTGCGGGGGCGCCGGGGCTTGCGGGGTTCGTAGCGGTCCACGGCGGCGGCGTCTTCCGCGTCGTCTGGGGTGGTGGTGGTGGTGGACGTGGTGCGCGTGCCGGGGAGTTCGGCGTTGGAGCCGGTGGCGGTCGCGGCGCCGCGTTTGCGCTTCACGGCGATGGTGTTTGGGTTCGGGGGCTCGCCGTCGTTGGTGATCATCTCGGCGCGGGAGGGGTGGATCTCCCCCTCGAGGGGCGGCGCGGGTGCTGCGCCTGTGTCTGCGGCGTCTGTGGGCGGCGACGGTTCCGATGCCGCTGGTGCCGGTGCCGGTGAGCCGGATGGTGCCTTGGCGGTTTGGGGTTCCTGAACGTCGTCGAGCTCATCGTCGCTTGAGGCCTCCTGTGTGGGCGGGGCGGCGGCGACGGCAGCAGCGGCAAGAGGCTGCTGGGCTTTGGATGAAGCCTGGGAGGCGAGTTCCTTCTCCTTGATCTTGGCGTAGGCCTTCTTGATCTTGGCCTTGTGGATGAGTTCCAGCTTCTTCTTCTCGACTGCGGAATGTGTCAGCACGCGTGAACGGGAGGGCTGGCATAGACGCCGAGGGGGGTGCGGTCACTCACCCTTCCTGCGCCATGGTCCTTCGGGGAGGTTATCGGGGCCAACGCGGAAACCCTTGCGCTTCTTGGCCTGCTGGGCGTCCCTGGGGGACGCCGCTGCTGCGCCCTCGGCGGCGCGTTTGGGGGCCATGTTGATGCGTTTGGCGAGTTTCGTCTTGAGAGGTGAGGGTGAGAGGGCCAAGCTTGAGGTCGGCGATGAGAGGACCGAGGTCCTAGGAAAGCCCTTGGGGGGTGGTATGAGCTGGTTCGGTCTGCCAAAACCCTGGCGTCGTTTTCCGGTGTGGGCCGTATAACGCTTTCCTAAACACAGATGGTCGATGTCGAGCTCGGCCTTTGAGTGAGGTTTGATGGATGTGAGACGTCGAGTGTGTAAATGGGCAGTCGAAGGAGGATGAAATTTTTGGTGGGTCTGGCCGATGAGAGGTTCGAAGGTGAGACGAAATCGGGTTAGCGCTGGTCCCGCTTTTCACCAGGTGGATGGACGGCCCGCTTCGGGTGTTGGCCCCCCCCGGGCTCATGGTTTTTGGACCTCACGACATCGCCAACGCCGACTTGAACATCTTACGTCCTTCCGGGATTGCGTTTCGAAACCTTGCTTCTAATTCATGATTACTTTTCTCGCATTGCAATTTTGCTATTTCGATCATCCCGTCAGCCGGGTATCGTTCTTTAGTGTCCACTTCCCCCTTTTGCTCCTGCTGTCCAACGTCGTCTCTGGGTCTTCCTTACATGGCTTCCAGCGTCTCAGAATCCGCAGCTGACCTAGATTGCATCGTACTCTCTCGGAAGATTGTTTGACGGTACTGTTCCATACTAGCTTGCTACGCGAAACAAACTGCGTCTCTTCATGAAGTGCCTCATGAGGTGATCGACTCACCAGTCGAGACATGCTGCGGGCTACCAAGTATCGTTCATCCTTTGATTCTGGTCCTCCAATTTTGAAAAACACGAGCTTACCCAGAGAAAAGGAACAAGCAAAGAAAAATGGAAAAGCGGGTGTTCGTCATTGGCTTCGCCGGGCCCCTCTACGAGGTGAAGTCAAGATGACTTCTCTCGGGTGCCTCCTAGGCAACCACCTCACCCAACCAACCATTTCCTGCCTTGTCTGTCTGCCTGCCTAGCCACCAACCACCTCCTGCCTTTGCTTCTTCCTATTTACTCTTCTCAGGGCATCGGAGCTCCCATCACAAGTTCAGCTATGATGCAGGCCATCCGGGGACGCCCCCCGTGGTCTAGTTGGTGAAAGCGGGCGAGCCCGTATATAGGGAGTCACAAATATTACCAGACCCTCTGGGTTCGAGTTCCCTATCACCTTGTGATGCAGCAGGCTTGGGTAGCGCGGGGTCTCTCAGAGATTGTGCGTTGAACAATTTTTTAAACTTCCTAAGTGTGTCTTCTTGCAGCAAGTCTCCAAGTGAGATAACGGCGAGGGTGACCTTTTGGTTTCTTGTGCAAGATGCCATATCATGGTGCCTGTGATGATGGCTCCTTTGAGATTATGTAAAGGGATATGTTCTACAGTTCTGTTTCTATGTTCCCATAACCAGAAGATATGTGACATCTATATGAGATAAGCAAGACGCGCAAAATGTGCTTCCTTCCTTCTCATGAACAAAATCCGAACCATGCAATGGACCTCGTACCATCTATCATCACAACCCAGAATCCCATCATGCATCGCAACGAAGCCGCAATCCCATCCTCGCCAGCGTCGCCAGAGACCCGTTAACCTCACAGCTTCTCCTTCAGCCTGACGAACAAACTCTCCGCCTTGGCCAGCACCCTCCCCTCCCGGTCCTCGATCCGTCCTCGGATCCACCACTTCCTCCCTTGCACCCGCACGACCTCGACGACGCACAGCACCGTCTGCGGCGTCTGCACGGGCCGCACGTACGTCACATTGAGGTACGCCGTCATGTACGACTCCTCCTCCGGCATCAGCCCCTCGGTCTTGTTGACGAGGAAGACCATGCCGATGGTCTCGTCCAGCACCGTCGCGACGATGCCCCCGTGCGACACGTTGGGGTACCCGTTGACGCCGGCGCGGAGCGTGAGGAGGGATTTGAGCTCGCGCACAAGGTGGCCGCCGCCGCCGCCGTCGTCCGTTGCAACGGCGGGCGTTGATGATGATGATGATGATGATGATGCCGACGGGGTGGTTGTTGGCGATGGAGACGAAGATGACGGCCGTTTGTAAAACGTCAGGAACGCGGCAATCGTCTCCTCCGTGTGCAGCGTCGTCGAGAACAGCTGGTCCTCCGTGCTGGGCTTCGGGAACCGCGACGCCGCCGTCTCACGGACGGTGCCCGGCTCGCTGAGGAGCGCCGCGCACCATTGGATGCCGAGGAAGTGTTGGACGTCCGGGTTGTCCGCCTCCATGGTTGCCGTTCTCTTGTCTCCCTTTCTTCTATGCCAAGCTGTATTCTGATTTGATTCGACCTCTTGAGATGCCGAGACTCCTGTCGGGCTCGATCAACGCTGTGTAGGGATGTGCGACTTTGAACCCAATGTTTTCCATGGGCCCAATCAATCAGATACGAAATGTGAGAGCTTCAAGTGAGCGGAAAAGAGCCGAGGTCATAATCAGATTTGGTCCGTGCGCCGCTCGCGGTATGTCACCATGTTACCCCCCCCCCCCCCCCCCCCCCCCCCCCCCCCCCCCCCCCTGGCAACTTGGGAAAGACGGGACGAGCCACACCTCACTCGCGGTTCCCCACTGATGGAAGATTGGTACCGATACACGTTGAATCCCGTCTGAGAGCTCAATGAAGAGCTTAAATGGGAGGGGGGAACTGGCTGGGTTGACAAGTTCGTCTCGTGTCGGCATCTGCAGCCGGACTCACAAATCCTCGTCACCTCCGGACCTTCAGATGCTGATACTTAGCGCGCTGTGCTCTTTTCCGAGGTCGCTAAAGCATATATCTAAACCTATTGCTCACTATCGTCGCGCGCACACTGGAACCAACCAGCCCTTCCTCCTCCTCAGCATCACTACTACTAGCTCGAACGGCGTCCATCTTGCGGTTCAGATAGCCGAGGTAGAACCTCAAGAATAGCGTCAAGACGGCCACGGCGAGCATAGCACCCGCGCAGGCCTGCATGCCAGGCGCGTAGAAGGGCGCATCTCTATCTGGATACAACCTCGTGCCCACGAGTGGTCCGCATTGTCCAACGATCTGCATCAGGGCGAAGCCGCCGCCTTGCCTGCTTTCCGAAGCTTGGTTGTTGATGCTCCAAGCCACGGTGAGCGTCACAACGTTGAAAAAGCCTACGGCGGCGGGATACACGGCCAGGTAACGCACCAGCGGCGACAGGCCTAGCGGCTTTGCAAATGCAAGCGCGGAATATCCGCCGGCCGACGCGAGGGCGTGGACTACAATAGGGATAGATCGGTTCTGCATCTGATCCGACAAGTGGGCGGTCAGGAGAACGGCGAGGAAAGCCAGAAGATAGGGCGGAGCGCTGAGCCCTTGAGACTCCAGGCGAGAGTGGCCCATTTCCATCAGGATCTGGGGAAGAAAGACCGGTAGGGAGGAATACGCCATGTTGGTGAGGAAGAACATGGCAGCCGTCAGTAATGCCATTGGGTCACACAAAACGGCCAATACTTCGCGACCCTTGAGGCTACGTGAGTCTTTGTCTCCGCGGTTCTTGTGCGGGTTCTCACGTCGAAGACGGAGGCGGGCAACTTTTTGCTCACGCGCAGTAAGGTACCGCGCCGTCTCTGGACTATCGGGGATGACGTGCCATGCAGCGACGGCCGCGACGACGGATGGGAAGCCTTCAACGAGGAAGAGCAGACGCCAAGGGGCGATCGGACCATTCTCTGCAAAGTTGGTAATCAACCAAGCCAACGACGATGCGAACGTTGTTGCCAGTGGTGCGGCTATTCGGAGTCAGTAGTGAACCGATGCAGTTTAAGGCACCGACCAACACTAACCAGAAATAAAGATGGCTGTACGGAATGCCAACTCCTCTCTCTTGAAAAAGAAAGACAAGTAAAATGGTATACCGGTGAACCCGGCCTCTCCAATACCGAGTAGCACCCGCAGAAGGATGAGCATGGGGTATGAAACGGCGACGGACTGCAGTGAGGCGGTTAAGCCCCACGACAACACAATCATGGAGACGTATATGTGGGCTGGGATGAGCTTCCACAGCAGCGACATCCACTCAAAGGAGATATACGAGATGTAAAAGGCCGTCAGTGTCCACTGGTACCACCCGTCCCATGGTGGATTTGTCTGGAGGTCTTGTTCCATTCCAGAAATGCGCGCCGATCCCAGGTCTTCGTTGACACGTCAGTATGATACCGGTCGCAAGAGATCATTCCGGGTGCGCCATACTCGACCGATCCAGAAAGCTGAGCATGAATAGCAGCGCTACGAAAAGCACCAGCTTGCGGTCATGCTTGCGAACAACGGATCTCTCCTCATCGGGGGTGTAGAGCTGGAAGCTGGCAACGGTGCTGGTGCTCGTCCGCCTCCGCAGCGAGAGCACGTCGTCGCCCCATCCATCGTCATCCCTCGTCGGCGACTTCCTCAAGCTCTTCAGCTCGTAAGCCTGGCCGCCGCCGAGCTCCGCCTCGTGCAGATGCAGATCCTCCTCGGCGGCGGCGGCGTTGTCTTCGAGGTCGCTATCGAGGTCGAACTCTGCCGTGGTCTGCGCAAACGACGGCGACAACTCGCCCGCGCGGGGGAGTGGCCAGATGCGTGAAGCCTCGAGGATTCGGCCATGGCGAGCGGTGGAGGGGAGTCATGCGTTGCGTCGGGGTTGAGGGGCGCACAATGGGTTGGAGGAGGTGTGTTACGGGAAAATAGTTGATGTTTACACCATGAAATTGGATAGCAGATGCTCAGCTCGTAGGCCCGTGTTGGCGCGCGACGAAAGTAGGCGGCCGTTTCGCCGCATCAAAATGGGCGTTGTCGACGGAGCTAGCTCGTGTTCCCAGGGTAAAGTATGTATGTCTTGGAAGGGGCGAGCTGGGTGCATTGTTGCTGCTGAAATACCTGGGAACCATCGGATGGTTAGCAGAGCACCTTCGGCCAATGACGTAGCAAGCTAGCCCCTGCTTCGCTCCGAACGGGAAGCTGTGGGGGGTATCCTCAGTGTCACTGCGGGAAGGTTAGCGGCTTGCAGGACAAGACCGCAGGAGACAGGGGTCGTTAATGAAGCCTCTCGTCTTCTTTGTTCTGGTTCAAGAGTCAATTGACAGTTCAATTCTTGTGCGCCTTCGCTTTGAAACCGTGTGTTCTGCACTGCCGCGTGGGCATGTGGCTAATTCGTTTTTTGAAAAAAAAAAAAAAAAAAGTTCGAAATGTGCTGTGCCCTAGAGAGGCAGACAGCACGGTTAAGATAAAAACAAGATACAATACAGGTTTAGATGACAGTGGTCCGCTTCGATAGCAGATTCCAATCTGGTTACCAATGGTCATGGGTCATCGTTTTTCTTCCCAAATAGTCTCCTAAACCCGCCGCTTTTGGGCGTCTTTGGCCTGAAATCCATTGACGGTTTGGCCTGTAATGTTGGCGTCTCCTTTTCCGTCCAGTTGCCCACCATGTTGGGATGCTGGGGAAGCGTGCCGTAGGGCAAGCCCGCCTCCTTTGGCGATATTTGCTGTGACTGTTGTTGCGGCGACATAGCTGTCGCGAACTGACTTGCCGGCACGCTCGACATGAACTCCCGCGGCGACGCCCCTCCCCTTGAAGGACCTGCGCTTCGATCGCGGGGTCTTGGAGTCGCGTTCTCCGCCTCGCGTGCAATCTCCTCTTCCTGCGCCCTTGCCGCACCCAGGTCTTCGGGGAAGTCGCGCACTTCGTCGCCGCAAACCACGATATACCACCGGATATCCTCCCCTCGCTGCAGCTGGTCCCTCAGCTTCTCAAACCACCCGGTCTTCCTCCCCGAGGAGCCCTTCTTAGCCTTGTAGAACTCGTCGCTCGGGGCACTCGCCATCGCCTTTGTCTCGCTTAACCGCTCTTCGTAGCGTACAATCTCTTCCGTTATCGAATTGCTCAGGTCGATGCGCACCACATGGTCGGCGACGTATGCGTAGGGACGGCTGACGTAGCTCAGGTCGGTCGGGTCGTATTCCTCCAGTAGCTTCACGGCGCTCCAGTCGTTCTGCAGCACGTCGTCCTCCTCGGGAGGGACGGTCGAGGCCGGTACATCATATTCGTTGCGCAGGGCGGCAGCCTTGGACGCCTTGGACTTGTTGCGCTTCTTCTTGTCACGCTGGGCCTCGGTTTCGTCGGGTATGGGTTCGGGGAGGAAATCGAAGAGGGAGTAGAAGGACTCGAGGATGGCGGGAGACGAGTTCGGCGCGATGATCCATTCGGGGCGGCGTCATCGATGTTCTGGACGACGACAAAGACACGAATGCTCCGACGATCCCAACGGAAGCCGTGGCAGAGGTAGGTAGGCATGGTGAGTGGTCGCGATAAGGCTTGGGGTATGGGCGGGGGGGGATGCGCGAAAGATAGGACGAAGCGGCGGGTGGCAGCGGGGCGTAGACAGCCCAGCCCGGGGGGTGCGGAACGATAACGACGGTCGATCGGTGGAGAGCTCCGGACTGGGGTGAAGGAGGAGGAAGGTGTGGTTGCCGGAGTCGAGGTTGGGTACCGTCGTTATTGGCGTCGTCGTTCGGCGTCGTCGAGGATTCAGAGGTGCCGGAGAGCGGGTCGGATCAGGCAGTTGCAAAAGCCGAGACTCGAAGAGGGCTGATGATGAGCGTCCTACGTCAGGTCAGGTCGAGAGGCGTCAGACAGCCCTGCCGAGACCAATTTGACAGGAGCGTAGGGATGTGAGAGGCAGGGAGGCAGGATGAAGTGTTGGTTGCCGGCGAGCGATGACGAGACAGGTAGATTCGCAGTGCATTATTCAAGCTGTGGCCGAGGAAACATGGCCTGTCGCATCGCACGCTGGGCTGCCGCGCACCACCTGACGCCCAACGCAATAATCCACGGATCAACCGATGACTGGACCGAATTCTAAGTGGTCGGAGAGGCGGCGGACGACGGTGCGCTTGGTATAGAAAAAAGCAAGGAGAAAGGGCAAGCAAGGCCTAGCCAGGCGAAGACGGAGAAGACGAGACGTGCAATGGAATGTCGAGAGGTGGGCAGAAAAAGGGAAAGGAAGATTGCCAATAAGAAAACGGAATGATGGCACGAAATGGAACGGCAAGAATGGCGGCAGCCCCAGGTTTCCGTGTCTGACAGACGCCACGCTACCACGCGAGTGAGGGACGAGCCAACCGGAAGAGCTTCTGGGATTGCTGTGCTGTTTTGCTGTTTTGACACTTTGGCTGTTTGCGCCTAGTGCTTCGTTCTCGTTACCTCTGTTCTCTGTCTGTGCTCGGACGTGGCTCAGCTCAGACGGGAACCGGCCTATTTCGGGACGCTACGACGAACCTGCCAGCACTCCAATTGTATCAGATGTCACTACCGCCGTCGTGGTCTGGTGGGTCACCTCGATGACTGGACTGGGCTGGACCGGGGAAGCAGCTGTGTGTTTCCAGCACTCGACGGGAGGGGAGCCTGTTTGCAGATGGGAGACCGTGAAGGATGAAGCCTACAGCATCGCCGGTTTGCTGGCTTTTCTACCTAGTACCTGGGTGGACGGGCAGCCGGGGACGACACATTGAGGGGAAAAGCAATGCCATTGGGCTGACGGGCTGAGCCGGCAGTCTGCAATTGGACGTGCCGGCGCTAATCATCCCTTTTCTCTGGCAAATTGCCGTGGTTCGTGATATTTTGGTAAGACGGACGGCGTATAACGCCCGCGTTTCGTTATCGGTTCAGCCGCAGAAATAGAACCGACCAAGCCCAGCCACGAAAGCTTGACATGACTATCGTGCCATATGGCAAGAGCTGGGCGCAGTAGGTACGCAGAGCGACACGGGGGACCGCAGAGTCGTGTGTTTCTTGGCCGCCCACTTCTTCGTATCAGCTCAAGAGAGACAGGTATGTAGGTACACTATGTGTGTGTTGCCATGCACCCGAGGGGATCGGCAACGCGGCTTCAATCCTTCGCTGCCAACGGCAGTGTTGGCCCTCGTCCCTCACGACGCCGGCAATCGAGCACGATTCCATCCATAAAACATGAAAAGGGGAATATTCTGGATGGACATCATTAGAAGAGGAAGGATTCGTAGGTTTCGCTCTGTCAAAGAACCAATCAGTCATGTTAAACACCGCTCCGGCTCAGCATGGAGAAATTGTCATCACGACATTTTTTTTCCCCTGTTGTGCACTGCTAGTGCTTATCGGGAGGTCTGAAGCCGGACAGGGACCATCCATGGCTCGGACTTGAAGATGGGGTTGTGGGGCGAGAGTGCGAGATGTTGCAGCTGCTTGCCTATTGCAACGCTGGTAAGCACTGGATTGCCACTGTCAACTCGTCAGTGGGACGACCAGAGTCCAGTGTCCTGTTATCGGTTCTCTTGGATATGGTTGTGGACGAGTGGTATTGACTCTGAATCGAAGCAGGCTGTGGGCGTCGGTTTGGGTCAGCAAGACAAACACGGGAGCCAGCCTAAGATTAGGTGTCCGTGGTGCGTCTCTGCCGCCGCTGTGGCGCTTTCTGATCTATTTAGTATCTATTTATTGCCCTCTTTCATTTTGTTGCGGGCTGAAGCGGTAAGCCTCTCCCGCGGGCAAGAGGTGCCGCCAAGCAGCCTCATCCATTGTGCCTCAGTTACCTGCACTCTATCAGGGCTAAGAAAGAGCCTCATCAGGTCCTGTTCCCAATCGGGTTGCTCATGCTTCGCCGCACCCAATTCGACGATTCCGGGTCGTGGTGACAGTGTTGGCTATGGAGACAGGGAAGATGAACGGCAATCTTCATCTCGGGGTGAGGGTCGCATTGTTCTTCTCCATCTTCGATCCGCAGGCGTTCGGATGTTGGAAGAAGGCCGAGATGCGGGTTCTCTTCAGCGTTCGGATGGGGAAAATGACCGCTCGTTCACCCTGTAGTCCGTGACTAGACCGGGGTCGCGACCCCATCAAAGCTCGATTGGCCAACAGTCTAGAACTCCTGGGTCTGTTTCCGCCTCACTCCCTCGTTGTGCCATCTCCAAGGAAACCTGCGGGTGGACGCCACTAATCCTCTCTTGATAGGAAAAAGCGCGAGGGAAGATGAAGGTGAATGAAGCGTTGGGCGTTGGGTGCTTGGCCAACGTGGGCAACGCTTTTCCTCCATGCTTTCTTCACCCCTAGCTTTGTCTAAGCCTTGGCAGGATGACCCCGGCCCACGAACTAAGCTTCTTCCAGCTGTACGAGGCGCTCGCCCAATCAGTGTCGAACCCCCGAGACCCCTAGACGCTGGGAACCCAGGCGGCAATGATTTGAATGGCCCCGCGGCCGGATCGGGGGTAGGCCCCGTTGATTGGCGCGCTGTACGATTTCCCAATCACGGTGTGCAATACGCCAAGTCGGGGTGGATCATGTGCTGCTGGCGGCCTGGCTGCTCGTCGTTCTTCGTTTATTAAGATGAGTGCCCTCGCCGGCTCCTGCTTTCGGATGGGAGAGGGGAGATGTGCCTACATTTACCAGGCCATTGTGGCGTGGCAGTGCCTATTTCCGTGGACGTCAGTCGGTGCTGCTGTGATGGGTTTCCCAGCGCTCGTGTTCTCCAGCCATTCAGAAATGCCTGATTGGCATTGGAATTATCCAATCGACCTGGCCGAGAATCCGACACAATCATGTCGAAAGCACAACACTGGCGCTCGATCAAATGTTGCTTTCCGAAATAATTTAGCGGTCGAAGACATCCCACAATGCGAGTACATTTCTCCGCCTTTACCCTGAAAGCGAGATGCCAGCTTCGTCCGCTGGGAGGCCGTTACATTCGGCTGGGACACACGCCGCCGGCCTCGACTCTGAATGGCGAGACAGGCTCGCCAGAGCTCATCGTTGGATGCATACCTGGACCCACAAGCATAAGTCCAGTAAGCTTCTTTGACCGTTGCTTCGGAATGAGCGTTGGAACCAACTGCAAGGCACCCTGTTCTCCGCCAAGGGCAGAAAACGCCCTTTCCATGCAAAAGTCCATTCAACTCGTGAGTTTAGGCAGTTTTACCCCGGTCACTTGGTAGGATGAAGCTCGAGCTTCTCTACCAACAGACGGCACACTTTGGGATTATTGGCTTGGCGCTTGCTTATAAGCAACGACTGGCCCGCTGGTGCTCAAGTGGCTCAAAACACAATCAACCGACCGTTTAACTCGGAGACAGACTGGAGAGGTTCGTTTGACAATGAAGATGGCATCGTTCTTTACCGCCGCTGCGGCTCTCTTGCCCCTCGCCAAGGCGCAGACATCAACCCGTGCGGAGGCAGCCCTCATCACCGCTTCCGCCCGTCCCTTCTTCATCTTCGACACCCACCCGACGGGCAGCCTCGAGGCATCCATCGTCGCTTACAACAGAGAAAATGCAACATACCACGTTGCCTGCCCGACCGCCGATGCAGCCTGCAAGAAGGAAGGCTACTGGCCGGCGACAGTCACCCACATCGAGGGCTCCAGCTGGCTCGGGACGAACACGGCCACGGCAGGCATCGAGAAGCAGTGGAGATGTCGTCTCGGCAGCAGCAGCAGCGACGTCGAGGTCATCCCGGACCAGTACGGACAGTGCTACGTGACGACCATAGACGCCGCGGGATCCACAACGGTGGACCCCGTGATGCCGGTCGACCTCTGCTTCCTGTCGGCGCATTCGGTGGTCGTGGCCGTGACAGCAGGGTTGGAGAAGGTCGAGGCGGTTCACCCGATCGTCACGGAGGACGAGTATAACCCGTCTGCTCTGCTTTCGTATTGGTCTGCGTGGAGAGCTACAGCGACTTGCGCGACGTTTACAAGCCCGGCACCGTATACCGGGTCGGTGTCTGGGGAACCTACGACTGGGGCTACAGGAAAGGCGTCGTTGCCGACAGAGACCGGAAGTGCGACGACGGAGGCGAAACCCAAGTCGGAGACAGGAGCAGACATCGGGACGGAAACAGGGACGGCTGCGGCGTCAGCGTCGGCGTCGACGTCCGCTCCGGCGAGTGGGTCTGGCCGGAAGTCGAGAAGCTGTCCGTTGGTGCTGGGGGCGGTGGCCGCAGGGCTGGCCGCTCTCTTGTGATCGGCGGGTGTGGATAGGATGACAAATGCGGAGCAAGAAATGGGGATGGTCGTGCAGCCCTCCAAAAAGCGCATTATGTGTCTGCCTTCGACGCTGATCAAGACGTTGCATTTGTTTCCCCAAGGCTACCCCACGATCTCGTATACCGAGCAACAGCTGCGTGTGCGTGATGATGATGGGCCACTACCGTCCCACACGCATGTGAGCTTCGGCCCGGTGAAATGCACTAAGTAATCAGTTATCTGTCAGCTTATGTCGCGGCTATGGTCGGGCCGTGGCACGTTTCCAACCCACCAGCGACCCCGCCTGTTCGGTGTGATTGCTTTGAGAGACAGCCAAGGCACCATGGCCATTCGGGCGAAAGTCATTGATTGAAGGCAGAGATTAAGCTTTCTCGTTTCCGTCACCCAGTTTCAAGAGGGCTTGAAACTCGCGGGCCAACAGAGTTGCGCTGAACAGGTGTGCCTCCATTCGCGTTTTCTCAAATCATGCCGCAACAGGTCATTGGCCGTGGCGGTTTGAGTTCAAGGACAATTGCTGAGTTGCATACCATGGAGATTGTGGAAGGGAGCTGAAAGTTGAGCGTGGTGAAGGTAAGCTTGACTGCAAAGTTGTATGTGTGTCGGCAGTAGTCTCGCTTGGGTTGCCCAAACTCTCTCGCTTTCGCGTTGGACGCACTGAGGTTTTTCGTCTCAACTAGGATCTCGATGTTCCTCTGTACCTGCAGCTAATTGGACCTGGGTCGCGAGAGCAGGTCCAACTCTCAGTCGCGACAGGGTAGGTAGCATGCCAGGTGGGGGCAAACGGTGCTTACCTAAAGCCAGCAACTGCCTGTAACTGAAAGCAGAGCCAGGGATGGCATTCGGATCCTGAACTTTAGTCTCATGCAAGTCATCATTGTGGTTGTGAAGATTGGTCCATCTATGTGCGTGGTAGTACCTAACACCCCTGTTCCGACCCCTGCTTTCTGTGCGTGTCTGTGATCATGGATTTGGATCCCGCCTACCCTCTTGCTAGTGTAGCAAGCTAGCCATGCCTTGCTCCTCTCATCCCCTCGGCCACACCTGAGATGCAATAGGTAGTCGACCTTCAGCCCAAATGATGGGTAACACACGACGGGGGCCCACCGAGTGTCAGATTTTACTACGCGCTAGACTTATTGCCTTGCCGCCCGTGGCCGCTCCTTCGTTGATGTACTCTCCCTCTCTCTCTCTGTCTCGGTCCAGCTTTGAGTCCTGCATCCTGCAACCCGGCGAATCCTTCCGTCTCTCCCATCCCAACCTTCCTGCACGCTCCAGGTCGACGACCTTATGAGTACAGTCAAGTATTTAAAAATGGCCACCAGAGTAGGTTCCCCGCTTGGTGTTCATCTCTTGGCCCTCTTCTCCCGGCTTTCCGTCTCCTGGGCATACATCACCAACATCTCTGCGACCCACCCTGCTAAACATCATGGCTTCACAGTACGATGAAGGCCCGGAGCTGGCACCTCAGCACCAATACCCCGAGGTCTACCATCCTCCGCCACAACAGTCGCAGCCCTCGTCGCCGCAACCGATCCCCGTCACGCCGATGAAGCACGAAGACTCGACGTACGGAAAGTACTCGGTCTCGGGCGTCGACCAGTCCACTTACGGCGGCACTCAGTACCATCCCGCCGGCGGCGAGGCGGGACAGCAGAAGAAGAGGATCTGCGGCTGCACGTTTCTCGTCTTTCTCCTGTCCGTTATCATCGCCATATTGGCGGCGGCCGTCATCGGGCTGGCAGCGGGCACCGGCGTCGAGGCGAGCCGCGCAAACCAAGCGCTCAACAAGCTGGCGGCTTTGGAGGCGTCGGCACCCAACGGGACGACGGCGACGGCAACAGCGACGGTGACGGTGACGAGCGCGTCCCCGACGGCGACCGGCTTTGCGTCTCTCACCAACAACTGCTCCAACAGTGACGAGACGACCACCGGCCAGACGTACACCACGGACTGTAAGTTGACGATTGAGAACGACATGAGGAGCTCGGCTGACCTGATGCACCTAGTTTTCGGCAAGAAGACGTTTGTGCAGTTCTGCAACTCAAACGCCCCCAACGCGCCCCTCATGAGCCTCTTCACGGCCAACTTCGACAACTGCATGGACGCCTGCGCCGCCTTCTCGAACTACGAGTCCGGCTTCGATGGCAACGCCACCTGCCAGGCCGTCAGCTTCATCCCGCTCTGGACGACACGCGCCGGAGCCGTCGCGGGCAAGGCGCCCGGCAACTGCTACCTCAAGCCGGGGCCGCAGACGCGGGACAAGCTGGAGACGCCGAACATTGGCACCGAATGCCACGCCGCCATCATGAACTCTTGATAGGGGCGGCGATTGCAACGGGATAGGGGAACGGAATGGGGTTGAACGACACGGCGCGCGGGTTTTTTTGTGTGTGTTTTATACCACTTCTTTGTCAGTTGGGCTTTTATGGACTGCCGGGGGGGGGGATTCGGGTCGGCGTCAAAACGGAAGGAAAGCGAGGCATCGGGCCGAAATGCCCCGGGAGATTTTTTTTTTCCAAAATTAACATTATCTTGGTGAGATGTTTTTTGATGTTTGGAACAACATATTTGACAATGTCTATTTCTGTGGATCGTTTGTCTGCCAATGTTGTGTGTGAGTGTGACTGGGAACGTCTGTACCAGCCCTGAGGCAGCTCGCAGGCAGTGATTCGTTCCAGTCATTCGAGAATTGCGAGGAGCGTATTCTCAAGAGCCCTCGCGGGCGCTAGTATCGTGGCAAAGGACGTTTGCCCTGAGTTGGCTTGTCAGCCGAAATGGAGGCAGGACCAAACGGGGGTTTATCGGCCGAGGCATCCTGGTATGCTCAACGAACGAGAGGGGCTTACGATGCGCAGGGTTCCAAAGCTGTGCATCGCGTTCGCGTGCCCAAGGTTTGCAGGTTAATGATGGAAAACAGATCATGCAAGGGTTGGTCAAATACAGGTCCATGTTCACTCCACCAACATCCGGTATGAAGTTGGTACCGGGCCGGGAATGAACGTTGGAAAGCCGGCAGAAGCCCGGAAAACGCAGCAATCCACCGGTAGTCGAGGCCGGCAACCGGCAGTGACATGGTCGGCGAGGAAGGCGCAGTGTCAAATGGAGGGAAGGAAGGCATGTTGTCTGCTCTTTCCTCGCCTGCACCTTCCACGGGTGGGAAGTCACGACAGCCTCTACTGTGTGCCACCACGTCGGCTCATTCACATAAGCACTTGTAAGTGCCCACTTCTCGCCCATCCTGTTTCTGATCAAGCAGGTCATCTGCTCTTGGCCCGGCCTACCAGCTGTCTGCCAGCCAGTCAGCTTACCGGCGTCATCATGGACCACGCGCCGGTTTGCAGGCTGGATCCGTTCGGCATCGGCATCGGTCTATAGCGCCAACGTCACCACCAGCCGACAGGATGCAGGGCCGAGCTCGCTCGCCTCGACGGCTTGATCCACTTGAAGCCGCTGCAGAGCGATGCAAGCCATTTGCTGGCGGCCGAACGGGCCTCATGCCGTCCGACTTCGTTGAGCTGCGAGAGTCCGACCATGGCGGCCCTCCGACCTCGCAGACGAGCGGCACAGGGTCCAGCGAGGAGCACGGTTGGGTTAAAGCTCCTGGAACGGCGGTGGGGTCTCGAAGGAATGCGAGTGCGGTCTAACACAGGCCCGATAGCCGTTTGGGCGGCGGTCAGCATCGGGATGCGGCCGTTCAGACACTTCATGCCCCCTTATGAGCACTAGGCGTTGCAATGACACGGGATCAGCCTGGGCCCAGGCCCGGAAGCTTGTGCCAGGTTAACCGATCGACAACAGGACGACTGACGTTGTCTGCTTTCCTCAATGCTGCTCGAAGACAGTGAAGCCGGTCAAATTCGCCCAAAGCACCCAAGAACGGAAATGTGCAGGGCGAAGCAGCGGTTTCCCTTCGACAAGTTACGGGTCAAGGTGTGTAATCTACCGTAAGCGACACGCAACTTCGGCCACAGCCCGTGGCTCATGAAACGCCAGCATTTTCATGTGCCTTCAAACACCGAAGTCGCACGTTTACCGATGTCAACGGGCGATAGAGGGAATGACCTCAAACAGATAGGATTCTGCGCTTGTTTCCCTAAAGGCAAGGCGGCGCAGTTTGTTTTTTTGGCGGCTGGAAGTGCTACGCTGGGTGGGCGGCTGCAGCTGGCGGGTCGATTACTAATGCACGTTACACAGGAGTATGGTCATAGGCCGGCCGACAGATACACATACTGGGGTAAGTCCGGGCACCCCCATTTCGTACACCCCCTCATTTCGTACAGAAATTTCGCCACTACACATCCTACCTATACAAACAATATCACCAACACATCCAACCACAACATCAAATATTAATTATTTGAAAAATACCAGTATTATCGCTATACCAAAATATACTAAATACGACATTCAGTAAGCTCTATAAGATATTGCAGGCGGGATAAGCTTATGGCAGGCATCTCGTACCTAGGGAATACCTATAACAACTATCTCTTTGCGAATAAAGGGCTATATGCCTAAAAGGGTATCCGGTGAACATCTGCAGCGACTATCGCCTATACAAGAAAGCCACTTAGTTGGCTGGGCCCTAACCCAGGGCACTTTTGGCCTTGCTCCAACGCATACCCAACTACGCGCTTTTACAGCCCAGATATTAGCTACTGGTAATAACGCCAGACCCCTTAGCAAGCAATAGATAGAGGGGTTTTTGAAGCATAACTTATAGCTAAAGACGTTAAAAGGTAGAATAATTGAAAGCCTATGTGTTAAGGCCATCACCAAAGAGATACTTAGAATATACTTTAACCTATATACTAATCCAATTATTAAAGCAATATTTCTATAAAACATGTAAAATATAAATAAGACTAGGATAATAGAAGGCCAGGGAGTTAATAGCCTGGTTCTTAGGTCTAGCGAGATGAAGAAATCGATATATATATAGTATCCAGGTTCCAGATCTTAGACAACAATCATCAAGTGTATGTCTACTACAAGGGTAGTACTCCAGCCACTTATTATCTTCAAGGGTAAGCATATATAGCAGTAATGGTTTCCTAAAGAGCTCTTAGCTTATAGGACTTAGTCCTTCAAGACAACTAAAAATAGCTAGACTAATAACACTATAGCAGTTCGCTGGTTGATTAACGTCTTTAACCCTCAGACAAAGCCAAAGAAGCCATACAAAGATACAAAAAGACTCTTAGTTATAGATAGCCATAAGAATCACTACTCTAATAAGTTTATGTAAAAGTGTTTCTAACGCAGGATATATATAGTCTTCTTACTAGCCCATTCTTTTCACATAACCTAACCTCTAGATATAACTGTCTTTAGTCCTCTTAAAGCAGCCTATCACAGCAGGGTTAGTGTTCTTCACGCCTTAACAGACCTTACAAACCTTAGGAAGCAGAATTTCCTTTAATGCTACAGTGAAGCACGCATTGAAGCAGTAAGAATAACAGGGGGTTATTCATAAATAGTCACAAGGAAAAGTAGAGAAGAATAAAGGTAGACAGAAAAGGTATATATATATTAACCGTTAAGGTTTCGTTATATCTTCCGTTGTTCATATAAAACTGTCTAAGTAGAGGGGATATCTCTTAGTTATATAGAAAGTCCCTTAGATACGTATAGTATCTAAGTGTATATCTAAGCGTATATCTAAGCGCCGAGAGGTACTTATAGTTTCTCGTATATGTATATATATGCCCGTATATGCCCGTAGATAAGCATAAGCGCCAGCATATGTAATGCTTAGAAGTATATGCGTTTATATGCAGTAGACTGCATTAGTTTGCAGTAGTTTGCATTAGTATAGTTATATATAGTAATATATACTTTTATAGGTTATTTTTCAAGAAGAGTCTAGAAAAAATAACTATATATTTATAGGACTTTTAGTTATAGAGTTATAAAGAGATTTATATATAAGAATTATAAGAATTTTATTTCTTAATTCTTAGTTTCCTCCTTAAGTTATATCTAAGTTATAGATATAACTTACTTATATAAAAACTTATAAAACCTTATATAAGGAAAATTATAAGAAAAATAGTTATAGTTATAGTTATAGTCAAAAACCTTTAAAGGAAAAAAAAAAAATTTTATAAAGGGGAAACCTTAGTATTTAAGCTGTATTACTTTCTTTTTAGAAAGTATTTCTTTATTATCTATAGTTTCTTTAGGTAAAAACCCCTTTTTATTAAGATTTATAGTCTCTATAAAGTATTTAAATACTTCTTTATTAACAGATTTAGTAAATATATCTGCTATATTATTCTTTGTATGGATATGGTATAAAGAGACTTGATTATTATAAACAGCTTGTCTAGAAAAGTGATATTTTATATCTATATGTTTAGATTTCTTATGAAGCTCTGGGTTTTCTGTTATACGTTGTGCTGCCTCGTTATCTATTAAAATAATAGGCTTATTTAACGTTATATTTAACCCTAAGTTATTATATATATAGGAAAAAGAGTTATATAGGTATATAGATTCCTTTATAGCTTCACATAAAGCCATATATTCAGCTTCACAAGTAGATAAAGCAACAGTCTTCTGTTTTATACTATTCCAGCTTATTATATTATAGTACCCTAGGGTACTTATATATCCAGTAGTAGACATTCTATCATCTAAGTCTCTAGCCCAATTAGAGTCTGAAAATATAACTAACTGTAAATCAATATTGCAGTTATATATTAATCCTAGATTAGGATATTTATTTATATATCCCCATATCCTATTAAGCGCAATAAAATGCTCTTTAGATGGGTTACTCATATAACGAGCACATATATTTACTGGATATGTTATATCTGGCCTAGTCTTAAGACTTAAGAAGAGTAGAGATCCTATCTCTTGTTGATATTGAGTTATTTCTTCTTTTGTTGCTTGCCCTGTATTTTTCCTAAGCTTAATAGCAGGATTTATAGGCGTATCATAAGGATAAGTATCTTTTTTATTATACTTTTCTAGTATTTTATTTGTATATTTGGTTTGATGAATATATAAGATCTTATTTGTTTTATTTATACACATTTCGTTCCCTAAAAACGTATGTGGAATTCCTAAGTCTTGTATCTGTAAATCTTTATTTACATTATTATAGAAATATTCTATATCTTTATTTGTGGGAGCTACTATTATTATATCGTCTACGTGACAGGCTATTATAGCTCTTATATTATTATTATTAGCTATAAAGATACCTTCATCATAAGGGGATTCTTTAAAGCCTAGTTTTATAATTATAGATCTTAACCACTTATACCAGAGTCTAGGGCTCTGTTTTAGACCATATAGGGCCTTTTTAAGCTTACAATATAAAGCTTTTTCTGTTATATTATCTGTATATTCTAGGGTATTTGTTTTATAGTTATAAGAGAAACCTGTAGGTAATTTTACCCATATTTCTTTATCTATATCAGCATGGCAGAAGGCATTAGAGATATCAAATTGCCTAAAAAACCAGCCTAGCTTTATTCCTATTATAAATATAGCTCTATAATTCTCAGGTTTACAGGTAGTACTGAAGGTTTCTAGATAATCAATACCTATATATTGATTAAAACCTTGTACTACCCACCTAGCTTTATATTTTAACGGGTTATCATTTATATCCGTTTTTAATTTATATACCCATCTTCCTCCTAAGGGCTTAATTCCTTTAGGTAGAGGAAGTATTATCCAAGTATGCATATTATGTAAGTTATTAACCTCTAAAACCATTGCTTGAATCCATTTATCTCTAGAAGTAGAGATTATAGCCTTTTTATAGGTAGTAGGGTCTTTATCTGTTGTTATAGTAAGGATATATATAGCTTTATTAAACCTATTTATTTTATTATTTTGATTATTTATAGTGGAAAGTATTGGTTTAATTATAGGGCAGTCTTTTATAGTATATAAAGCGCTTTCTTGGTCTGCTACCCATTTATAGTCTTTAAGCTTATCATTATCCTGCTTAGGAATTTCTACTATTATCTTGGATTTATTATTATTATTACAATTATGATTATTACAATTATTACAATTGTGATTATTACAATTATTATTATTTGTTATATTATTATTATTTATCGGCTTTATATTTATACCTCTAGGATTCAAGTCTTCCCTTCCACTTTTATAGTCACGTAGGGATATCTTATTATTACTACTATTTTCTTTATTACTTATATTTATATTATTATTTATATTTATATTATTATTATTAATAGTAGGAGGTATAAACTGATTTTCTAGAATAACTATATCTCTAGTCCAAAAGGAAGTTTTCTTTTGAAAATCATATACTTTATATATATTATTTCTATAGTTAAGTACTATAGCTTTTATAGCTTTATTATCTAGCTTCTTTATCTTAGGATCCTTATTCTTATAGTAACATATAGATCCAAAAGTTACTATATTATTCATATTAGGCTTTATATTATTACCTATTTCATAAGGGGTCTTATAGTTAAGAGCTTTATGAGGGGTTATATTATATAGATCTACTGCTGTTAAAGCAGCTTCTCCCCATAGATATAAAGGCAAATTTGCCTGTAAAAGCATAGCTCTTATTTTATTAGTTATAGTTCTTATTACTCTTTCTATTATACCGTTAGGCTCGTGAGTATAAGGTACTTTTATATTATGATTTATCCCTTTAATTATATAGGTATGATTTATAGTATTATTATTAAACTCTAGACCGCCATCTGTATCGAAGTCTTTTATCTTATTCTTATTTATATTATTCTTATTTATATATTCTAGAACAGCAGTATTAACTTCTTCTGCTTCTTTAGTTCTAAGTAGTTTTATAGATATAAGTCTAGATTTTCTTTCTAAGAAGATAATAAACCATCGATATTTATTATAGGTAGAAGGTGTTATAGGTCCACAGAGATCAGAAGAGACTTTTTCCATATATTTATAATCCTTATTATAGTTATCAGAATGCTTATTAACTTTAGTAGTAAAGTTTGCTTTTATACAGGTATTACAGGTATAGTCTTCTTCTATTATATTATCAGTTATATTTGTATTATCTTTAAGTTGTATTAAGACTTTTCTATTTACGTGTCCTAGTCTATTATGCCACTTTTTATAGTTATTAATCTCTTTATTATGTGTAACCTTCTTATATTTATAAGGTTTTCTTCTTATATTTATAGTATTTATATATTCTTTATAGTTATTAAGCTCCTTTTTATTTAAAACCTTTATATTTAGGTAATATAGACTGTCTTTTATATTCCCTTTACAAAGGGTTCTTTTATCATTTATATTTATTAAAGATACCTTTGTATCCCAGAAAAGGGAGGCTATCTTAAGTCTTCTTAGTCGATTTTGACTTAGAAGATTAATACCTATTTCAGGCATATAATAACAGTCTTTAAGGATATATATATTATTATTATTAGGAAAAGAAATTGCTATATCTCCTTGTAGAGAGATTTTCTTTCTTCCTGCATCTCCCCAGTTAACATACCTGTTTATATAGGTAGTCTTTATAAATAGGGATTTATCACTTATAATATTAACAGTAGCAGCAGTATCTAGGCAGAACGTAATATATTCATTATTTCTAGTTATATATATAGGTTTATTTATATTACCTATTTTATTATTAGTTATAGTTGTTATAGAGGAGGTTATACGACTTACATCTTCGAAATCTAAGTCTATCTCACTCTCTTCCTCTTGTTGAGGGTTATCTATAACCATATTGTCTGCAACTGCAATATGCGCATTTTCTGCGTCTGATTTATCTGATTCTTCAGAATCTTCTTCCTCTATTATAGCTTTTTTAGCTATTAGGGCCTTTTGGGCCCTATAGAGCTTATTTCTCTTTATATTAGTCCTTCGTTGCCTTAGGACTTCTTCCTTAGTATTATCCTTATTTTTCCAGCCTTTAGGGGCCTTAATAGGATGTAGGAAGTTGCAGTCTTCAACCATATGGTTTTTTAACTTGCAGTATGTATAGTAAACACCCTTCGTCTTTTTCCAAGGCTTTTTAATTCCTTTTCTAAAGGTAGAAGTATATAATACTGTAGAAGAACCTTTTCTTTTTGCTTCATCTATAAGATTTGCAAAAAGGGATTCTATAGTATAGGAATTTGCATCCTTTCTAAGGGCTTGGGTTACGTTGGTTATAAAACCTTCATAACTATTATCCAGACTATTTAATACCCAAGCTATAATAACTTGTTTTGGTAAAGCCATATCTTTAGAAGATAGGTCGTCTGTAAGCTCTTTTACCTTATTAAGGTATTCTTCCATAGATCCAAAGGATTCTAAGGAGGTATTAAAGAACTCTTTACAAGTAAGATATTCGTTGGTAAAACCAGTAGGTTCATATAGATCCTTTAGTTTCTTCCAGGCCTCATATCCTGTTATAGAGTCTTTTATAACCCTTAAAGGGGAATCCTCACAAAATAGCTTTATAAAAGCTAATACTTTTGTATCACTCTTCTGTTGAGAAGGTGTAGTTGGAGGGGTTATAAGACTAGAGTTGATATCTTTACTAATAAGTAAAGCCTCAAATCTAGTTGCCCAAACATTATAGTTAAGGCTGCCAGAAAGGCGTGGTATATAGATTTTTTCCATAGTATTAATTCGGTTCGAATTCGATCGGAATATAAGGATTTTAGTTGATTTTGGCTGATTGGAGAGAGATATCGGTATTCTGATAGTACCGTTGAATTCGTCTTGAAAAATGGGCCTTAAAAGTGGTTGGGTTGTTATTAATAGTGTGGCGTTGCGTGGTTGCCTTGGGTTGAAGATATATATGGGCCTTCAATTGAAGAAGCTTTCACCAGACGGCAGAGCAGTTAGTCTAGTGGTTTAGCCATCCTCTAGATTAACTAATTGAATTGGCAACTCAATTAGAGCTCTTGGGTTCAATTCCAGCTTGAGGTATACAGTCTTTGTTGGATATAGACTAGAAATAACCTTCAACCGGTAGGGTAGGATTGTGATTTGCCCGGAGCTGTAGTGGCGTAAAATATAGCGATAGGTGTAGTGCTTGCCCGGTAAGCCGGTCCCTCTATTCTGCTGAATATGGACTGCTGGGTGTGAGGTGTAGCTGCCTTAGAGCTGTATTCCTTAAAATTCCCTTAGCCAATGTGGTACGTCCCCTGGCAAGGTTGAATTTTTGTTATATAAAATAGAGGTATAAGTATAAGGTAAAGGTATAAGAGTTATCTTCTCTACTGAGCTGGGCTCATAACCAGTAAGAATAACAAGGGGTTATTCATAAATAGTCACAAGGAAAAGTAGAGAAGAATAAGATAGACAGAAAAGGTATATATATATATTAACCGTTAAGGTATCGTTATATCTTCCGTTGTTTATATAAAACTGTCTAAGTAGAGGGGATATCTCTTAGTTATATAGAAAGTCCCTTAGATACGTATAGTATCTAAGTGTATATCTAAGCGTATATCTAAGCGCCGAGAGGTACTTATAGTTTCTCGTATATGTATATATATGCCCGTATATGCCCGTAGATAAGCATAAGCGCCGGCATATGTAATGCTTAGAAGTATATGCGTTTATATGCAGTAGACTGCATTAGTTTGCAGTAGTTTGCATTAGTATAGTTATATATAGTAATATATACTTTTATAGGTTATTTTTCAAGAAGAGTCTAGAAAAAATAACTATATATTTATAGGACTTTTAGTTATAGAGTTATAAAGAGATTTATATATAAGAATTATAAGAATTTTATTTCTTAATTCTTAGTGAAGCTATAAAAAGTACAACAATACAGGCTAGATAGAGAGCATATGGCATCTACCCACTAAAGCCAGATAACGTGCTTAAGAGCCAACAACTACTCTGTAACTCACAGAGAAAGCAGCAGGCAACTAAGAAAAACACCTCAGTTACCCTGAAGCCCAAGGATCAATTGGTGGCAGATACACCAGCAACTCCTAAGCGGTCAGGAGACTTAAAGAGGTCTACTTTAGTTGGACTACTAGGTCCCAAGGTCAACAGCCCACAGGGTCGCCTACTCTTTAGCAAGCTGGGAAAAAGCCTGGATACAAAGAATATCACTATTACAGATCACAAGAGACGTATTAGTTAGCTATAAGAGATTACAGATATCCTTCAGCCAGTCACTAGAGGCAAGGTAGTAATAGGCCTTAACGAGCGCTTTGTCAAAATAAACTCCATCTATAAGTCCAAAAAACAGGCAAAAAAAATCACCTTTAAGGCTACAAAAACGGCAAAACTGCAAGAGATTAAGTTTCTCTCTTTTCAGCATGAATTTTTATTAGTAGAGCAATAGTAAATATAATGTTGTGGCGATTGGCAATTAATACCCTCCTGGTTGCAGATTGCTGTACGAAATGAGGGGGTGTACGAAATGGGGTGCCCGGACTTAGCTACACACCATAGGCTGGCCATAGTGTGGGCTTGGTCGTATTGGTGTGGACGGCCTCACCGTAAGACGGGCATATCCAGGTGCCCATTGGCAAGCGGAAGCATTCCACGGCCAGGCTGCAACGCAACCTGCTCAAGGGAAATACCAACCAGGGAGTGATTCAACACTCTGAGCAACAACCTTTCTTTCGCAGACCGACAAGTCAGTTGATTTCGGATTCTGCATTATGGAATCAGTATGCGACTCCTGGAAAGCACCATTGGAAATTAGCTGGTTATGCAACTAGCACCAAAGTCCTAGAGCGTCTCTTTGTACTTGTGATATCGACATTGTCCTGCGGAATCCATCGAAGCCCATTGCAGAGTCATGGAAAGATGTGTTCACAGAGCGCTACTCTGTTGAAATCCGTGTTCCAGGAGATGTCTTTATTTTAACTCAATTCAGGCGACGGACCAAACGGTTCGCAGCCAACTGATGCACAGCTATCGTAGCTACACCAGGCACAAGCAGGCTAATACTCCACAATCCTCCGCAAACGTATACGAGCCCCCCCATTCGTCAGACGCACAAAGGGGGGAGGGGACATGGGCGCAGATGTAAATGTGGGGGTTGTCCCCGTCCGAAGGGTGCAGACTTGTCAAGAAGTGCGCCCTTCGCTCGACAAGTTGATGCACCAAGACCCATTCTAACCCCGGTCTGGTGAGCCAACCATGGATGACTCCGACTTGGACGCTCCTCGATGCCAAAGTCCATCTGGCTTGATCTGGTCTACTGTATCGGATGAAAGCCATTGAATAAAAGATTTCGTCGCCTGGATCTCGGTTTTCCAGACTTGTACCCTTTTCTTTCTTATACGTCTTTTTCTGGTTCGCCTCCGTGGAACCCGTCATTTGTCAACCTCAAGGCCGGTCTGGACTCTGATCTACCGACCGTCTGTCTCGCCGTGAGAAGCTTACATTGGGCGGGGCTCTACAAACGACGCCCTTTCGGCTCTTTGACGATTTGACAAATCCATCCACGCGACACATCGAGAACCGCGCCCTATCGGTTTACATCTGCAAGAGGTTGCTCAATGACATTGACGCCCTTCGACAAGTCGTTCCAATCGAGCCACGCCCTGCATTAAGGGCCCGTCGTAATCATGACTACCATCCCAGAGGACATGGACGAATTCGTCAACTGGGAGGCAGCCGCTACTGAAGTTGGCAACATCTTCAACATGTCCTCCCAGGACTTGCCGCCCACCGATCCCAACCTGGATCTGGTTTTGGAGAATGCCGACGACGATGACTTTGGCTTTGTCGCTCTCGAACACTTCTCTGGAGAGCACGCTTCAGGAGCTCAGACCACCAGCAACCCTCTCGACCTGGTTGACACTCAACTCACTAGTGCCCAGGACGACTGGTGGTATACTCCCGATACGCCTTGCGTGAACTGCGTCCTCGGAGGCTACCAGTGCAAGAAGATCAAGGAAGCTGGCTCGAGCATCTACGAGCATTACTGCACGTCTTGCGTTGCGCTGAGGAGCGAGTGCAGCTTCGCTGAGCACTTGCCCGCCATCGCTCGTCTCGACCCGTTGGAGGCGTTGCCTTCCCAGAACCCCTGGCCCACCATGGGAGACCACCCGCGCACTGTCCGTGAAGACGGTGGCCTTGCGGACCTCTTGCCTTCCAAGAACCCCTGGCCGATCATGGGAGACCATCCCCGCGCCGTGCAGGAGGACGGCGCCATGTCTGTCGGGTTGCCGGGCACTTCGACGCCGGATCTGTTGCGGAGCCTGACGGCTTCCGCGTCCGCTGACGAGCCGGCCACAGCGGCGCCGAACAAGACGACGACCCCGGCCAAAATCGGTGCCCGTTTCTCGCGGGAGTCTGTCCGCATCTTGAAAAACTGGCTCTCGACCCATACCCGGCACCCTTACCCCAGCGATGAAGAGAAAGAGATGCTTCAGCGCCAGACGGGTCTCAACAAAACCCAGATCACCAACTGGCTTGCCAACGCTCGGCGCCGGGGCAAAACACAGGCCCCTCGTTCCACCTCACCGCACCCCCGCAGTTACAGCGGCGCGATCGACATTCCTCAGAGACGAGGAACACCTGCCCCGGATGGCAGAGTGCGTCACATGAATCCCCTAGAGCGTTGGGTCGACTCCCCTCCCGAAAACGAACCTGCCGAAGTCACGGCTATCGCCCGCGCCGTTGCGTCCAGCTCCGGAGCATCTTCATCAGGTATGGCCCTTTACTTCTGACTATGCCCTTGACAGTGCTGACATGTTTTAGGCCTCACGAGCCCGTACAGCTTCAACTTCACCGACGACGGATCAGGAAGGTCCCTCTGCAACGCCTCCTCGGCTAGTAGTTTGGGCACCTCCCACGGCACCTCCCACTCCAGCGGCGGGTCCTTCGCCTCTGCGTACTCCCATGCGTCCCGGGGCTCATTCGGCTCGTTTGGGTCCTTCAACCGTGGCCGCAGGCGTCGCAGGAGGCGTGCCGGTGCCAAGCCCGCCGAGGAGAAGACCTCTCTCGCCCCCGCTTCCAAGACTTACCAGTGTACATTCTGTACCGAAACGTTCAGAACCAAGCACGACTGGCAACGGCACGAGAAGTCGCTGCACCTGTCTCTTGAGAGATGGGTCTGCAGTCCCGATGGCCCGGTGGTTCTCAATCCCGAGACGAACCTGCTGTGCTGCGTCTTCTGTGGTGAAGCCAACCCGGACCAGGCTCACACGGAGAGCCACAACCACTCCCAGTGCCAGGAAAGAAGTCTGGAAGAGCGCACTTTCTATAGGAAAGATCATTTGAACCAGGTAAGAGCAGCCTTATCGAGTGTTCCCTGCCGAGACGCTAACAACTCCAGCACCTGCGGCTTGTTCACGATACAAAGTTCGCCGAATGGTCTATGAAGTCTTGGAAAGTAGCGACACCAGAGATCCGATCTCGGTGTGGTTTCTGTGGCTGTGTCTTGGACTCGTGGAAACAGAGGACTGAACACCTCAGTGAGCATTTCAAGGGCGGAAATACAATGGCCGACTGGAAGGGAGACTGGGGTTTTGAAGCACCGGTGCTCGAGATGGTTGAGAACTCAATCCCACCTTGTATGAACCGACCCCTCAACTATCCCGTAGATAAGCTACCGAAGTCTAACTTGTGGTAATATAGATCTCATTGACAATGAGCGGAACTCACCCTACCCCTACCAGGCCTCCGGTGCCCCTGCGGAGACGCCGCGCTCAGCCTATGAACTCATCAAAGTTGAGCTGGCACACTTCATGCAGAACCACTACGACAAGTACCACACCTTGCCTAGCGACGAGCAGATGCAACTTGAGAGTTGTCGTATCATTTTCGCCTCCGAAGTTTTATCCATTAGAGAGATTTCTTATCCCTTCTCGTGGCTGCGTGATCTTCTGATGGGAGATGACGACCTCATGAGGCAAGCGAAGATAGGGAAGATGCGAACGCAGGCTGAGAACAGATTGTCCACGCTCAAGCTCAACGGCAAGGATACTCTGTTCGAGCGTTGCCCCTTGGAGGAACAGCTCCACGAGTTCGTTAGAGCGAAGAGGCTACTGGGGCTAACCGCAATGGATGAAGAGCTGCAGACAGAGAGCTGTAACATTGTTGGGCGTATCGAGGAGGTATCAACGGCACCCAGCGACTTCATTGCCAGTTGGCTTGTGCGATGCATCAACCGATCCACCAACTGGCTTGCCAACTTTAGACAGCGGGCCCATCTCCCCAGAACCGAAGACATCGTGGTGGAGAACGAACGGTCGACCGACGCTACCAAGATCGACTCGACTATCCACAACTATAGCAGACTGGAGCGATACTTGGCCGACTACTTGGAGAAGCAGAGAAACCTTGGCATGGAGCCTTGCAACGAAAGCCTGCAGAGGGAAGCCAGGATAATTATCTACGAGTTCGACGACGGCTGGAACCAGACCGCCGCTGATAACCTAGACTGGCTTGCGGCCTTCAGGCAACGTCACCCGCCCACGCCCGCGCAAGGTGTAAGCTTGACGACGTCACCTACCTCTCAGGGCCAAGTGTCCCAGGATGGATGTCAGTCGTCCGTTACAGAAACTTCTCCGTCGAATGTTTCCTCTGCCAATGTTTCAAACGGCCTGACCTGTCCTCTCATGACGGGCGGGGCAGCCGGAAGCTACAGGGTATCCGGCGAGGCTCATTCGGCTCTCACCCAGACCGGCCCATTCTTCCTCAACGACGCAAACTGTTTCCGGCGTCTAATGAGGGAGCTGGCAAGATGGAGCTCAAAATTCCCGCCCGAATCGATTACGGATGAGATGCTCCAGAGACAGGCGAGAATCATTCTCTACAATGAGTGAGTTTTGTCCCACCTTGACACCTCTGCGAACCACCCCCCCGCTAACCCGTCGCAGCGACGACCCCTGGAACCAGACTGCAGCCGACAACGCCGAGTGGTTGCTCAGGTTCAAGCGCGATTGTGGCATCATACGCGACCCCGGGCCCGGGCTGCCCCCTGGCGACGCCTGGTCCCTCGCGCAAGGCGGCACCGGCTTCGCACCCCCGTACGCCTTCCCCAAGGGTGACATGGCGCCCTTTAGCGAGAAGACGACGGACGTGCCGATCCGGAACATCAAGGTCTTTGAGATCCAGTCAGACATCACGAACCGCTACCTGGAGACGTTTAAGACCAGATACCCGAAGCCGGCTACCATCTTCTGCTCCCGTGAGCTCGAGGATGGGCTGGTCAAGTTCGTCGAGACGGAGATGGCGCACTCCGGGCAGTTCCCCGACGACGACTCCCTCAGGGCGCACGCTTCCTTCATACTGAACGCGCCCGAGACTGCGGCGAACGATCCCGCTCTGCTGGGCAAGTTCAAGGGTTGGATGATGACGAGGGGCCAGCAGTTCGGCCAGCAGCAGCAGCAGCAGCCGGTTCTGTTCCAGCCGCAACCGAGAATGCCGCCCTCGGCAGCGTCGACGTCGACGTCGACTCTGCCCACGGGCATGGACCTGTCGCTCTCGGATGCGGAGATGAACAACATCCTGCAAGACATGAATTTTGACCTCAGCGCCGCGGACTTGGAGGGCTTCGACATGGCCATGGGAATGGATCTGGGCGGCGACGCCGGGCCTTCTTCCTAGCTGTGCGGGGAATCAAAACTAGTTGTGCATTTTGAGCATTGAATGGTTTACGAGACTTTTCCTAGGGTCGTAGAAGTGGGGAACCGGGTTGTTTTGTTGCTTGTTTTTGGGACTTGGTTTGCTTTTTGGCTTTTTGGCTTGGAAGAAAAAAGAGAAAACAGACAACGCTGCCCAGTTGCCAGGCATAAAAACGGACAGGGGAGCGGGATAAAAAAGCGGCTCGTCGCTCTAGACTTGGTTGATATACCCAATACATGCTTAATCCAAACAAGGCGGGACCTCCATCTCGGTCAACACATCTCATGCCTAGCTGGTTCCTCGGCGCAGTACATGCGTCTTTACATGAAGATGAGCTCGACACCATTGCGCTCCTCGCCGACTGAGATTACACCATATCACACATGAGATGTCATCTTCGTTTCTGTGATACTAACCGTCTCCATGGCTTCTCTCCCAGTGCTGCTGTCCCTTTCTCTTCATTATCTCTGGCTTTGCCTCCATCTCCGTCTCCATTCGACCGGACGCTGTGTACGTCTATTCCTTAGCTGTATCGTAGGATTGCACTAGCGACAAGAAGGGGAAGATGTGTTGGAGGCTGGGGCACCAGATAGACACTGTGAGGGTACGTTCCGTCGCCATGACATTGTTAAGCAATGGGGGACGAAGCCGCCTTTTGCTTATCCGTTAGGCTGACACAGTCTACATGGCGCATCCTTGACACTGTACAATGCACTCCACCATCCAACGACATGCTTAAATGTCATGGTCTCTCGTCTGCCCGTTCGAGCGACACGTATGCCGAATAGGGACCGCGCCGAGGCCAGCTCTCGCAGCATATCATTCGGCATATTCTTGTAACGGTAGCAATTTCTGAGCAGAACCGGATCCGTACCCGGTAACGGCCTTCCAGCAATGACAGAACCGAGCCCGGCCACGACGACCCACACGGCTCACAACCGACCCAGGACGCGGCAAAGGATACCCAAAGCAGCTCCCGCCTTGGATGTGCCAAACATTGAAGAAGATGCATCAGAGAGGAAGCGGGTGCTCAACGTTCTAGCCCAACGTCGATACCGTAAGACTCACCGCCTCGTTGCCCCCTCAGCCCCTTGCTGCCCCTTGTTGCCCCTTGTGGCACCTCTCATCCCGCCTCGAACCACGTCCAGGCTGACCTAGGAGGCAGGAGAACGCAAAAGGCAGAACCGCCTCGCCAGGGAGAATGTTAAGAACGCCGTTGTTCCAGAACGCCAGGTGTCTGAGACAAGTGCTGACAACGGTCTTCCGGATGCTGCCCCTCCATTCACGCTCGATGCTACCGACCCGATTGAGCAGGTTGCAGACCAAGGCTTGTCGTTGACCAGTGAAGCGGATGGCGCTACTGCGGGCTTCAATCTGGACGCGTCTACGGCGTGGTTGACCAATCTGTCAGATGGCGGCTCGATGTCGGATCTGCTGTGCGACACGAACTCGCCAGTCTTTGAGCCCAGCGTAGACAGTGAATCCGCAGGGGCGGCCTGGCCCAGCCCGCCTTCGGCCGTCGACCCTGCGTCGCTGATGGACTGTTCATCTCTGTCACCGCCAGACTTCCCCGACACCTACCTCCTCCCCATGAGCGACCTCAAAGTCCTAAAAGCACTCCTCCGGGTAGCCACCCGACTAGGATCCTGCTCCATCATGTGGGACCCTGCAGCGACCTCGCCGTTCAACGTGGGCGCGGGGACGCCGCCGGAGCTGCTGCCCGAGACGTGGAGGCCAACAGCGTCGCAGGTCCTCGTGCCACACCATCCGATCATGGACTTCCTGCCATGGCCAGATGTGCGCGACCGGATCATCAACCTCTTCAATCTCCCCGATGAGGCGAGACCGCCCGCGGCGCGGGGCCAGCTTGGACTCGTCAACTTTGCGTACGATTTGGAGGACTCTGGCGAAGGGGCGCGTATCTGGGGCGCCGACCCGTACGATGCGTCGAGTTGGGAAGTCGGTCAGGTTCTTTTCGAGAGGTGGTGGTTTGTGTTCGACAGGAAGGTCATTGAGCAGAGCAACAAGTGGCGGCGGTTAAGAGGTGCTGCGGCACTGCAGATGCGGCCGGGCAGTGTGGTTGATCTGTCCGACTAGTTGAGAGCGACTTGCGGTTTCTAGATGACCCAGCCGTCGAGGGCGCGAATATCATTAGTGCCGTCGACAGACGGGCGAGGGTTGTTCTAGGCCACTTGATGTTCTAAGCTCTCCAGTTCTGCATCGCAACAGTCTACCAGCCACACAGGTTGCCACCCACAACCTGAGTCGGCCTGGCGCACTGCACATGGCCAAACGACAGACATGCTCACCGCAGCAAGCAGAGGTTCCAGATGGAGCAGCCATAGCCGGGCAGAGGCCAGAGACACGACATGCAGCACGCGAGCAACCGGGCTAGTGCATCTCATCGCGGGTGGGAGGCGCTTGGCCGCAGCTCATTGGTCTCGTGTGAAAGCGTATGCGGGAGCTAGTCAATCGGTTAATTACCACTGGAACCTCGGAACCCGGGCGTGCCTCGGAGGGAAAGACAACGTAGCTTCCCAGTCTTGTCGGTGCTTTTTGGGCAGTCGAAAGGCAATGAGCAGGTACCATTGTACCTCGGAGCATGCGCCGTTGTCACCGTCGGGTTCGGGTGCAGGAATACGGAGCAATCGGCCGTCGTGGAACGGGGTCTGCGTTAGCCGGTGTATCAAAACTCCCCGATGGTCAACTTTATTCATCGGAGCATGACACAGAATCCCATATTTTCTGGGACAGCGTTTGTGCTGCAAAGTTAGGTATAAACCGGACATCGTTCGAGGTGGATGTATGATGTGCTACCCAACAACCTTTTGCGGCGGTTTTTTATGGTTTGGCCAAACCTACGGGGACTGGTGTTTGGATTTCCCGCGTTTCCCGTTTGGCCGTTTCCCGTTCATGTTTGGGAGGCGGGTGTTGCTGGTCACAGACTGACGAAACTGAGCAACGGGCGTGCAGCCGTTTCCGCGAGAGATTGGCCAATGAGAAGCGGAGCTGACCCCATCTGGTGTGTAATTCGTGGTAGCAACTAAAACTGAGGGAAAAGCAGTGGTATCTGGAGAAGATGGAGACGGCTGCCACAAATGGAGAGGAACAGGTCGCAGCGGGTGGAGCGCGCAGGATGGAAGTGGCCGACCGCCGACGACGGACCCGAGGCGGGAAGGGAAGGCCCTGGTTGGAATAGAGTTCCACGGTGCGAAAGCGGCTGGCTTGGTTGGCTTCAGTGTGTGTGTGTGTGTATGTGCGTGTGCGGGTGTGTGGGTGCCGGGAGCAGAGCAGAGAAGAGGGTGTACCTGACGTAGGTCCGTTCTGGCGGTGAGGGATGAGGCAGACGGCAAAGTGTCGCATCTCGTCGTCCACACGAGACTCTGGAGCATGGACCGGTGCAGTGTTGACACATGCCTCGAGTGGGAATCCTTCACAAGCTCATTCCATTTTGCCGCACGGCTGTCTCTCTCCTTGCCTCGGAGTCGACATGCCATCAACGAGGGGAAATGGAAAACGACAGAGACGATACAGAGACATTGTGCCAGTTTTTCTGCCGCACCCCGCAGCTGCACGGGGCAGGGACGGTCACCTCATAGTGGAAAGCGGGTCGTTGGAGGGTGCGTTTAATCGAACAAAGTGGGGGTGCCCTCTGCGCCCTCTGGCTCAACGCAATGGAGGGGCAGTCGCCAATCATGGGTGCTGCCCTCACATGCTCCTGGTTCGGAGCTCTCGAGGCGTGGGTTGGGGGTCTGGATCCTACGTACGTGGTAAAGTACATTGTACCGTACCGAGCTGCCACCTTCCAATACGTACCCGTTGTCCCTCTACCTCTCAGCGCCTCCCACCAACCAACCGCCGTTCCCTCCCTTCCTCCCGGTCCGTTACTAGTACCTCTCGATCGTTGCTGCAAAATTTCCAAACTTCCTCCTCCTCTACTACACCTTTGCTCCTGTTCCCTCCAAGTGACTTTTAGGACTTTGGGAATCTGGTACAGCCTAGATCCGGGGACGTGCTAGGAGCAACTTGAACCACACACTCGACACCCAAGAGATTGACTAGTAAGTTACCTCCCTTGCTTCAGAATGTCTCGACCGTCCGCTTCTTCCCTTGTGCTGTTCCTTCAACACGCGCCTTTTACCCCTCCAACATTCCACTTGTACCTCGCCGCCATTCCACCCCGCTACTCCTAGCCTCTCTCCCTTACCCTACCGCACTCTCACGCCGCATCTAAACAGCCTCACTTTCCCATATACTTCGTTTCCTCCATAGTCACATCTTTCGTCTCCGGTCCCTCCTGTCAATTGACTCTTAACACTTCCACCTCCAGCACCCAACGAGCCTACCGAGCCCTCTGGTGGCCATTATTGACACTCTTCTTCTTCGCCTGAACCACCTCGAATTCGTTCCTCTCCACAACAGCCAACATGCACATCAAGTCCATGCTCGACGAGACCCGGAGGACGGGCGAGCCCTCCTTCTCCTTCGAATACTTCCCGCCCAAGACCGCCCAGGGTGTCCAGAACCTCTACGACCGTATGGAGCGCATGTACCACTTCGGACCCAAGTTCATCGACATCACATGGGGTGCTGGCGGTCGTATCGCCGAGCTGACATGCGAGATGGTCCTCCAGGCCCAGTCCATCTACGGTCTCGAGACCTGCATGCATCTGACTTGCACAGACATGGGCCTGGACAAGGTCAACGACGCCCTCCGCAAGGCCTACAAGGCCGGCTGCACCAACATCCTGGCCCTGCGTGGCGACCCCCCGAGAGAGCAGGAGAAGTGGGAGGCCACCGACGATGGCTTCCGCTACGCGAAGGACCTGGTCAAGCACATCCGCGCTACCTACCACGACCATTTCGATATTGGTGTCGCCGGCTACCCCGAGGGCTGCGACGATAACAAGGACGAGGAGCTGCTGCTGGACCACTTGAAGGAGAAGGTCGACATGGGTGCCACCTTCATCGTCACACAGATGTTCTATGACGCCGACAACTTCATCCGCTGGGTCGGCAAGGTGCGCGAGCGTGGCATCACCGTCCCCATCATCCCCGGTATCATGCCCATTGCCACCTACTCTAGCTTCCTCCGCCGCGCCAAGCACATGAACTGCAAGGTCCCCGAGGACTGGATGGCTGCTCTCGAGCCCATCAAGAACGACGATGTCGCCGTCAGAGAAGTCGGAAAGGGCCTTGTTGCCGAAATGTGCCGAAAGATTGTTGCCGCCGGTATTCACCACCTGCATTTCTACACCATGAACCTGGCCCAGGCCACAAGAATGGTCCTCGAGGAGCTGAACTGGATGCCCACAAGCGACCGTCCCGTCAAGCACGCCCTGCCCTGGAAGCAGTCCCTTGCCCACGGCCGCAGAGAGGAGGACGTGCGTCCCATCTTCTGGAAGGGCCGCAACAAGTCCTATGTCCTCCGCACCCAGGATTGGGACGAGTTTCCCAACGGTCGCTGGGGTGACTCTCGATCTCCCGCCTTCGGTGAGCTGGATGCCTACGGCATTGGCCTGACGGGCACCAACGAGCAGAACCGGAAGAAGTGGGGCGAGCCCAAGTCCATCAAGGATATCGCTAACATCTTCGTCCGCTACCTCGAGACGGAGCTTGACTCGCTTCCCTGGAGTGAGGCACCCCTGACCAGTGAAGCCGATCCCATTCGAGAGGAGCTCATCGGCTTGAACAAGCGTGGCCTGCTCACCATCAACTCTCAGCCTGCTGTTGACGGCGTGAAGTCGACTCATCCCGTGCACGGCTGGGGTCCGGCAAACGGTTACGTCTACCAGAAGGCCTACCTCGAGCTCCTGGTTCATCCCGATGTGTACGCCGAGATCGTCTCCCGTGTCGAGAAGAACCCTGACATGACGTACTACGCTACCACCAAGAGCGGTAACCTGAAGTACAACGCAACACACGATAGCCCCAACGCCGTTACTTGGGGTGTCTTCCCTGGCAAGGAGATTGTGCAGCCGACTATCGTCGAAGGCATCAGCTTCATGGCCTGGAAGGACGAGGCCTTCCGCCTCGGTATCGACTGGGCGCACTGCTTTGAGGCCGGAACTCCCAGCAGAGTGCTGATCGAGCGTATCATGAACGAGTGGTACCTCATCAACATTGGTAAGTCCAGGCCACGAACCTGATGCTGATTCATACTGACATTTCCTAGTCAACAACGACTTCCACCAAAAGACGGCCCTCTTCGACCTGCTCGAAGGACTTGAAGTGAAGGAATACGCCGACATTCCTGCCGAGCCCCAAACCAATGGGGCGGCGAAGGAGCAGGTAGCAGAGACTAACGGCAACTCTGTCCCTGCCACCGCCAACTAACCATTATTTCTGACTTGTGTTTAACACACCCCCTTTACTATTTTCTAAGTATGCATCATGACCGGCGTTTTCAACAGGGCAAAAGGATGGACGGGGGTCATTATGTGTTTTTTCAACAAAAAGACACTCTTACACACAACACGGATTCATACGCGGCATCACAGGCGGATGATGCATCGTGGAGATGAATCATATATCGATACACAACCCACATCAAAAAGGAGAAGAGGAAAGGGAAGGGAAAGCAAAGGAGCAACTGCATATATCTCAACGATACCCCCACAAACGGACTATGAGTTTTTTTCCCCAACGAAAAAAGGTCTAGGAAAACCACACCACACCACACAAACACCAGAGGAGTTCAACACGGGTCTTTTTTTTTTCTTTTCCATAGATGATTTGCTGTTTTTCACGTTCAGGATTTTCTGCGTTTTTATAGCGACACACTTTGTATGCTATGAGATGGGGAGATGACGATGAGACGCAGAATGGAATGACCACGATCAGGAAAGTGGGCGATGGAGAGCGGAGGCAGCGGAGTTGAGATGGAGAGGAGGGAACTGGGCGACTACGAGGTTCCTCTAGTCTCGTTTAAAGCCGAATCAACTTGGGCTTGACTGTTCCACTGCAACCTTTTCCCGAATCGTCTCCTTGTTGGTGATCCATGCCGTGCCAGTCCTTAAAGGCAAGCAATCTGCTGCCCTGTGACGGAACCAGTTGATGCGCCATATTCACGAAGAGACAGAGAGAACGCCATCCTGAGTTCTTCCAGTCTATTTCCATGTGTTTGTCTCAATCTCGTTCCAGATTCTGGCCGCTGGTAAGTGAGCGGCCGCGATCCCTCGAAGCCTTTTCAGTCATCATCACCCTTTTGAGCAAATCAGTAAAGTAACCATTTCCCGATCCCATTACCGCCCCCCCAGCCCCCTTACAAGTCCCTTCTGCGCCCAGTATCCCGACCATTCACACGGCGGTACCGTGATCCGCAATGGCATGCTCGCCCGTTCGAGCCTCGCAGTCACACCCAAACTCCTTCCTGAAGGCCTCCACGTCCGTATCCTCCAGCTTCTCAATCGCCCTCTTCGCTGCCGCGATCTTGGCGTATCGACCACTAGCCGCGGTTGCGTGAAAGCAAATGTGCCCGTGCAGCATGACGCCGCAGAGAATCCGGGAGCCAGTAATGGCGGCGGCTCCGCCCTCTTCGACAGTCGGCGCGACTTCACGAACCATCAAGCGCCACTCCTGGCATCCGAACTTGTCTTGCAGGATATGAGAGAGGTTCGTGACGGGGTGGTGGCTGGCGAAGGAGTCATAGAGCACCATGTCCGTGAAGAAGGGACGGATGTGGGCGTCGAAGAAGGCGCGGACTTGGCTGTAGTCGTAACCCGAGTCGACGAACAGCGCGCCGATGCAGGCCTCGACGACGTCGGCAAGATACTTGGGTGCATGCTTGACATGTATCCAGTAAGCTTTCGAAAACGTTCCGTCGGCTGTCGCGTCCTGTTTGGCGCACTCGAGCGAGGCGACAAAGTCGTGGGTCTGGTGCAGGAGGGACGCTTGACCAGTCAGGACGTGCTTGTGAAGTCCCAGCTTGACGCAAAGGCTGGCCAGGAACTGATTGCTGACCATGGCGGTCTTGTGTTCTGTGAGCCACTGAGGATCGGCATCGGGGAACTTGTTGAAGAGGAAGTCCACGCAGACCATGTCAAGCAAGGCATCGCCGAGGAACTCAAGACGTTGGTAGTCAGGCAGATTCTCGTATGCCCGGGGATACGACGGATGCTTGAATGCACTCCGGAGGAGCGTGGGGGACTTGAACTCGTACCCCAGCTTCTTCTTGATCTGACGCGCCAGCTCCTTCTGCATGGCAGTCGGGTCTCCAAACTGCCACGCAGGAGGGATGTAGGCGGCGTAGTAATCTCCCCACGAGGTCATGAGGTGATTCTTGTTCTTGACCATGACGGTGACTGCCCGGATCGCCATGTCAAAGTTGTTTGCATCGGCATATGACAAGTACGCAGCGCCAATGAGAGCTTCACAGACATCGGCAATGGACTTGTCTGCAAGAGCGTGCTTATGGTTCAGCGAGCTCTCCTTACCTCGGAGGAGGCGCAGTCCTGATGGATACCAGCTGCGACGATCGAATGACTTCGAGCGCACATACTCTGGTATGTTCCGGTCCACAGCCTTATTGAAAAGGTTTTGATTGCAGATCAGGAGCATACGTTCCATATGAGATTCGGATTCGTTGTTCTTCGGGGCTTTGGTGAATAGTGCTATAGTCGTGGCCATCTTCAGAAAGCAATCGCCGAGAAACTCCAGCCGTTCGTAGTTCTTTCCCATCCCTCCCTGGAAGTTGATCTTGTCTTTGTCGTGCTCGTCACTATTGTCTGAGTCTTTCGTGATAGCCTCCAGTGCCAGATCAGGGCGGACGTCCAGATTCAGCAGCTTGCACGCATCCAGGGCAATCATGGCCGCGTCAATGCGGTGGATGAGTGCAGGGAAGGCGGAGGCCATTACAACGGCCTCAATGGGGAGCTGCGAACGTAAGCCATATAGACTGTTATTTTTGGCGCGCTCAACTTACGGTTGACACCCTCAAAGGCTCCAGAATCACGTAGCAGATCTTTGACTTCTCGGTCGTCACCTCCGCAAAGTCATCAAAAAGGTTTCGTCTCAACGATACCACTTCGGCTTCAAGAACAGGCTGGGTGTCTCGCCATGTCCTTTTGATTCGAGCTTTCGTCCACAGACTCACGCTGTACTCCTTAATGTTCTTCTCCACCGCCGGGTCGCGCCAGGCTCTGTGACCAGGGTCGGGTACGCCTTCGGGCACTAGGTCCATTGGCTTCATATCTTTACGAACTCCCCGCAGGTACAACTTCCGAGACCCTGCATAAGGATCTACAACTAGTTTGTCATTGAAGAAGTCTTCTGCGGTAGTGTCGTCCCACTCCAGATACTGTATGTCCTTGGTAGCCCGGAGATGATTCCAGTCGATCAGGGTCGTCACGTCGGCTCTGTTCAAACCTTCAGAATGGTGGCACAGAGTCGGGGCGAGAAAATAAGGGACATTTTGTGTCGAAGCTTCATACTCCTTACTGAATACATCCTTGAAGACGCGGAAGGTAAAAGTCTTTAAGAGCTCTGAGTCAGTTTCGGAGATTTGGACAGGGACCGGAAGAGAGATGACGAAGGCCTCTGACTTCTGTTCGTTTCCAAAGAACAGAGGAATAGCGGGGAGATCTGGAAGCTTTTCCCTTGTAAGAAGTAGCAGCGGTTTCGAGCTTCTACCGATAGCATCTGGTGTTGCAAGGACCAAGGCGTTGACGTAGAGGTGGCTGAAAGGACCAAGACGAAACCAGATTTCTGGCTTGGTTCTCATCTTGTACTCGGATTGCTTGTTTGAACTGATGGCGAGACGAGCGTTCCGCATAGCATGAAGCTTCTTGGTGAACACTGGTCGTAAGTTATGATCGATGTATTTCTTCTTGATCAGCTCCTTGCACATTTCGAATGCAGCAGAAAAACGAGCTGCTTGCTTATTGCTATGTGGGAACCCCGTCATGTGCCTGATCGGAGACTTTTCCGGTAATGTGACCTCTGCCTTGAACTTTTGTCCCTGATTGAAAACCGCGTACTCGGGTGCCCAGATTTCATCGTTAGACTGGCGTAAGGAGGAGGCGAAGTTAGCCAGCACGTCGATGCTAGAGCTCCATGTCAGAACCGCGCCAGTAGACTCAATGAGGTACGTTTTATAGTGCGAGTCTCCCTTTAGAACGCTGGCCTCGATATCGAAACCCATGATCTTTTTGTCCTCGGGCAGCGCACTGCAGAAGCGGCGCAGAACGTTCTGATCGTATGTAGTCTGCAATACCATCCGGGCTTGTCTTCCATTGCCGCCTTCAATGAATGATATGTATTCCGAGTCCTGTCGTCTTGCGCGCCCCTTTGATTGAATGTATTGAATCACGGATTTGTAGAGATCAAATCGCATGACAAGGTTGCAGTCAGGTATATCGAGTCCCTCTTCGGCGACCTGCGTGGCAAAGAGACAATTGACCTCCGCATGCCTGAATCTGTGGATCGTTAGCGTTTGTTGCTTGAACGACATGTTCGCAAGTCCCGTATCGGTCTGGCTCCCAACTAGCACTGCCGGGGTGAGACCAGGGATTTTGATACCCTCCTGCTTGAACAGATCCGCAAGCAGTGCGGCCGTGAGTCTCATTTCCACGAATACAATACAACGGTATTCTGGCTCCCTTGTGAAGCGGAGTTTGAGCTCTTCCCACAGCCGAAGGACTTTAATAGACACCTGGTCTAGAGTCGGTGAAGCAGGTTTGAACTCATGGGTTCGAATGACATCCCGAAGCTTCTGTATCGCCATGGTCTCTCTGTCGTTGCAGTTGAGACCGGAGTAGGTCATGTCGGTTCTATGTGCCAGCCTCAAGATCGTCTCGTCTGTCAGGAAAAGCTGCCAGAAACGATCTGCCACCCAAGAGCCAAGGGACGATGTTGCCGCCTTCGCAAAAGATAGCTCTTTGCTGAGGTGCTGGTTGCGACCCACAAGGGCGCTGATCTTCCGGTATAGCTCTGTCTCGTAAGGCATGGGAAGGCGGCTGTAGTGAATCTCCATTTCTGTAATCTTTCGGACGTGTGACTTACGAGAGAGCGACTCTTCAGACACGGTTGCGATTTCGCTGTGAAGGAGGCATTCAAGCTGGGCGATAGCAATCTTGATATCCGTCTGGGCGTCCACAGGGGAGGCCGTCATACCGAGTATTCTTGGTCGCTTCTTTTGATCAGGTTCTTTTATATAGAAGTCCTTGATTATGCGAGCGTAAGGGTGATTCTTCTTCGTATGATGGGCTTCATCGAAGATGAGGAGGTTGATTTGCTCCATGCGAATGTATGAGTGGGTCAAGCATTTTTGCAGAATAGCCGCGGTGCAGACAATGACCATGTTATCCTCGAACTGTTGAGCCCAAAACTCGCCGGACCACATCTCGTCGACCATGTCACCACAGAAGCGGGCGACGGGGTGCTCCAGGTTACAATCGAGAACGGCATGCTGCTGAAAGACAAGAGATACCTTATCCACCTAATTGCATTATTAGCTTAGTGTTGTAAAAGCGAGATTGTTCTACTCACTAGAAAGAAAGCAATGCGCTTCGGTTGACCAGTCGCGCGGTCTTCAATCTCCTTTTCAAGGAAGTGACGAAGTAGTAAAGCAGCAATCAAGGTCTTTCCGGATCCAGTATCCAAGACTACGATGGTATTCTTGTGCTTGGCCCTCTCGAAGAGCTCAATCTGATATTCACGCGGGGTCTGAATAATCTTTAATCTACCGCTCTCCTGCTTCATCAGGTGTGCTGCAGATCCAAGGTCCAGCTCCTTAGGAGCCTTAGAGGCTTCTCCTAGCAAGTTGTTTTGGTTCGAATCGATCCATGATTGGAAATTGACATGATCAAGGCGTTTCTTCTCTGAGGTCTTGCGGGGCCGCTCGGGTTTCATACTCCAGCGTCGGTATTCGTCGTCGTCGTCGTCTTCATCGTCGTTTCCGTCTTCTTCATCTTCATTCTGGTCTTCGGGGCTGTCACCGGAGACAGAATTTTGGCCAAGGAAAGTCGTCGGCGGGCATACTGCAGAGGAGTGTCGCGGATTTGAGAAAATTGCATCTGATGGGAGTTTCTGGTTTGTCTGGGGAGTATTCGAGGGCATTGAGGGTGCCAGGTGACGCGGAGTCGACCCTACCTTCGAGTCGGTAAGGCAATTATTGTTAGACATTGGGCTGTCGACGCTTTGACTGTTGCAATTCTCCATGTCTGCAAGAAGTCTTTATGTGCTGGTTTTGTTTCTATGTGGGACTGAGCGGACTTTAGTTGATGACTTCGGAAATCTCGAGGTTCGCGTGCTTGAGAATGATTCGAGTTGTGACCTGAAGGAGTGAGACAAAAATGTGAAAGAACCAAAGGCAGGCGTTTAGTCGGATCGAAACAGTGGGATTTTCGAGGTCGCTCAAGCTCAGGAAGGGAACGAAGGTAGAGGTTGGAAAAAAAGTACCGGAAGAAAATACAAGTTTAGAAGAAGATTGCTTCTCTTGCTGAAAGAGAATCTTCGTCTACACTCTATTTCCTAGGTTGTGGTTGTTGGATGCACTTTGGTACATGTGTTTGAAGTAGGAGACTGGATATAAGAGGTGAGAGAATTAAGTTTTGTATTCATCAGGATGAGGGACCGAGAAGAAGCAAACGTCGTAAGGATTAGGAAGGCACTCAAGCGTGCCTTCTCGACTTAAATACGAGACTGGTTACGGGAAGCTGCACAACGCAAGAGCAAGCAAACATGCCCGGCAGTACTGGGTTTTCCAGGACCTGTTTCTCAAGATTTCTGTGCGTAAACTCTACTCTTACTTGACCTCGGATCATGAAACTAAACTTGGGGTCAAGTAGAGAAGGCACTTTTGTAAGAATGAAGCTCTCACCATGAGGCTATCACTGACGCTAAAATCTCAATATCCTTGGACTACGTAGGAAGGATACTGATACTTGTATACTGGGAGTAGAATATAAATGGAATCAAATAAGAAGTGACATAGCCCAGCTAACATGTCCGCAACTTCCTCTGATTCAACATGGCTCGACTAGTGTGCGTGTCAACGGATCTCAGTGAACGCCAAGCTAGGAATACGTTCTTCGCAACAAGTTTCACCTGATTATATTGGAACACAAATATCCTGTACACTGGACCGAAGATGGCTTCTTGCACGAGACATGATGAGCGGCCTTGTCAACTGCTTTGTCGCAGAAAGGCGGGTATACTACCTAGCTCGCATAGCTTCGAAGGCAGCTAGCTAGTTGAGAGCTTGAAGATAAACATACTACTCGCACTTTCGTCTGAAAAGCTGGAAGGACCAAGATCAAGTATTCAAGCACGTTTAATCCATTGCGATGGCTCCCTATCGGAAGAGAGTTGAGCTTCAACTGAAGTAGGCGGGCAGAAAGTGGTGATGTTTGTCAAGGTGAAGTCATCCCTTCATTTCCGCCAGAGCTCTGCCGACCTTGCTCTGTCGTTTACCCCACCTCTAACACAGCTCCCCGCCGTGATTAGATAAGATAAGGACCCTGCCAAGCGGTGCAAATCGCCACCAAAGGAAACGTCTAGCGTCCCTTGCTCGTCGTGATGCTTCCTTTCGACCTAGTTGCAAAAGACGAAGCGTTGCGTTGCAGTATTTACCCAGACTACGGCAGCTCGACCCCAAATTCTCAAACGCCACCACAACTGGATACCCTGATCGCCACCATAGCTTTTACGACATTTGCTAGCCGCACCGTCGCCCCCTCCCATATTGCGCGAAGCTCATAACGTCGCCATTTCTGCTTGACCCCTCCACCACCAAACAGACGGTTTTTCCTTCCTAGACAACTCCCCTCGAACGTTACGCAGTCCGTCAAAAACACAACACCGCAGCCATGGCGGACGAAGAAAAACCCCAAACACTCAAATCCGTCTTCACCTCGGCAGAAAGGAAGCGTCTCACGCTCGAAAACTCGTACGAGGCCTCCTCGCCGACCTACCTCGACGACCTCCGTACCGCCATCTCCGAGTACGAGACCTGCCTCGACCTCATCTCCCGCGCCGCTCTCTTCTCCCCCAACGAGTCCCTCGAGGACCTTTCCACCTCCTCCCTCCCCTACCTTCTCATCACCGCTCACCTCGCCGACCTGCACCAGAAGCTTCCCTCGCGCCGCCCCATCGAGCGGCGTGTCGCCCTCGAGCGCGCCCGCGAGTCCTACGAGACCTTTTTGGGGTTCCTCGACTCCTACGACCTCCTCTCCCCGCAGCAAAAGACCCTCTACGAGCACTACACCGACGAGCCCCTCGCCTTCTCGACCCTCGGCACCAACGACCCGGCCAAGCGCCGCGACGCGAAAATCGCAAACTTCAAATCCGAGCGCGCCCTTCGCCAGCGACTCGACACGCTGCGTCGGAACCCGCGGTACCAGAATGAGGACGGCGATGACGAGGTCGTCCGCGATTTGCACCTCGCCCACATCGCTTACGCGGCGCACATGGCATTCCAGGGCTTGGAGGGCATCAACCGCGAGCTCGAGGTCCTGGCACAGGCCACCGTGCCCCTGATGCCGTCCCCGACGTCCGTGGAGGAGGATGAGCGACGCCGCGCTGTGGAACGTAGCTCGGACGGCTACAATGAGCGTCTCGAGGCCCCACGCCGTCTGCAAAGCCTGTTCGGCCAGAGGGGAGGCCCCATATTGTCCAAGGACGGCAAGCCGCTGCAGCCCTTTACGCTCGTCGGGGACCGGGGCCAGATGGCTGCGGACGTGTTCCGGCCGGGTCATAACCTGCCGACGATGAGTATCGATGAGTACCTCGAAGTGGAGCGTGAGCGGGGAGGCATCATTGAGGGTGGCGGCGATGCGAGCTGGCACCGGCCGGAGCCGGATGAAGATGACTTTGACAAGGCGGACGAGGAGACGATGAAGGCGAGAGCGTGGGACGAGTTTGTCGAAGCGAATCCCAAGGGTTCAGGAAACACGCTGAACAGGGGTTGAGCCAAAAAGTTGGGATTTGAGGCAGTCGTATGGAGTACATAATGGCACGAGTTCACGAATAGAGACCACAAAAGGGGGGGGGGTTGGGGTTATACCACGGTACGATGACATAGGTTGTGCGTTATGGTCAGAGGGAACGGGTTTACGACAGTCCTGTATTCGATACAGCACGATGAACACGTACCGCATTTGGGAGATTGTCCGATCTCATTTGTGCTATTCTACGGGTTCGTGCCACCGAGGGCAGTCCCCTTTTTGTGTGCCCTCTGTTATTCCCAATGGTCTGCCATCCAACCCAGTCTGCAGTGCAAATTGTCAATCCCTCAAAACGCCTTTAAACCACAAAATGAATCCATTTCGTTACCCTCGTGTAGTTCATATTCCTCATTGCTCGTCTCTGACGAGCTAGACCATGACCAAATCATCATCACTGTCTTGAAAAGAAGAGGACGAAGCACTCCTGGTCGATGGCGCCGTAGAGGGCGGCTTGCCTCCAGACGTGAGCATGGCCTGAGTATCGGAGCTTGTGACGACATATTCGGGGGTGTCCTCGCGAGAGCGGCTCTCATCCGGACCAATCTCCGTCATGACCTCGTCCATGTCATCGTCAGTCCCAAAGTCGATGCTGGTACCGGAATCCGACTGGTCAGTCGTGTTTCCGAGGACCACAGCGCCGATGGCGTCAGCAATGGACTGGCCATCAACGGGAACGGCGTACTTGGCGTTGCCGTACTCCGACTCTCCATCCGTGAACGACTCTGTGCGGACCGACCGGTCATCGGCCACAACCTTGTGCGGGTGGAAAACAGTCGAGGTACTGTCCTGGACATCGACGCTGCCGGGACCAATCGTACTCCCCCCTTCCAAGCGAAGCTGCCTCAGCTCGCTGCTGACCGAGGCTGCCGTACTGGAAGCGTCCGAGGGAATCGTGACGCCGGTGTGGTAGGCCGGACCCGGACCCGCCGGTCCATAGTCAGCAGGCGGCAGGGAATGTTCAAAAACACCGCCGGTGCCGTCGTCGTAGCCGCCAGCCCAGAGCGGCAGGAACTTGAATTCGTTTTCGTGTAGGTTAAGCAGCAGGTGCGGCGTTAAGTGCATCGTAATGTCAAAGTCGGCACGGAAGCATTCCTGGCAGAAGGGCCTGAGGAAATCCTGCAACGGCGCTTCAAAAGCCCGGGTATCGAATGCGTGGTTCGCACTGTTAGACATGGACTCGATGTTAGCCCCGGCGTCAAGTCTAACGAGAGAGTTGTGCGGCAGTCTGAGTTGCGATTTCCAGGCGGGATCCCGAGCCAACTCGGGATGCTTTCTGAGAAACGCTTTGAGGACAACACACAGCTCGCTGGCCATACGGTCGAAGCTGGGCTGCACAGTGCATTCAGAAAAAAAGTGCGCAATCTTAGTCCACTTGTTGCTGATAGTCTCGTACATGAATGAACACAATGCTTTTTGCACGTTGTTGAACTGGTGGTACACGACCTCGAGACGGTTGAAACGCCGAACATCCACGTAAGTGGCGCGGTGGTCATCGGCGCTGAGCAGCAGATCGGTGTCGAGGGTTTCTTAAGCAAGTTGTAAACTACATGGTTCTTCCACGTGCTCTTTAACGACCCAGCCAGGGCGAGCGCAGAGTTCTTGGCCCTCTGGACATACATGTCGCTGGGGCAGCTGGAGAGCATGTTGATGAGGTTCTGCAGCCGTTCCCATTCGGCAATTTGCAGGTCATCATATATTGTTTCGCTGACCAATTGGTTGACGCGCCGTGATACACGCTCGACCATAGCCCTGGCCGCATGTTGGATGAGGTTGTTCAGATCGTCGCCAGGGTCGTGACGCTTGCGCCCGAAAACAGTGTAGGCGGCTGCCTTGGGTGTACCGTTAGGCCCAGCGGCCTCCTCGAGGGCCAGCTCGTTGACCAAGATTCGGAAGGCCGAGCGTGTGATTCCATCCAACTTCAAAGCGACACCGATTTGCAGACTTTCCTCTGGCAATACCTCGAGGAATACGGTGTTGTTGGGACTCATCATCCACTGTAGAACGGAATCGCGCTGCAAGTCGTGTCAATACGGAAACTACCGTCATGAGAATGGAGACAGTGAGGGTACTCACCAGCACGCTGGGGCAGTCCAGGATTTTGGCTACAGCCACCAGAGTCCATACTCGAGGCGCCGAATCAATAAGGACCTGCTTTTCCGCGATGAGACACATGAGACGAAGGATGTTGACGCGGTGGCGGATCGGGCAGTAGTCGGGTATCTGGCGGTAGGCAGGACCCAGCTCAGGGCTGAAGTCGCTCTTGGATTTCTTCTCCAGGACTTTAGAAGCCAATCCTTTAGTTGGTGTGTATCCTCGCTGTTCAGGCCTCGCATTCCAGGGCCCGGTCTCGCGTAGGCTCTCTGAAATGGCCCACTTGGTGACAGCATCCAGCTCAGGACCTCTTTTTGTTGGGTCACGGCTGGCTTCGGTTGCGGAAGCATCTTCGTCGGTAATGTCGAGACCGTCGGCCTGGTCCGGCTTGCTGTCCCTCCAGCAAGAGCAAATATCGTCGTGGCCGGATACAACAAAGTCGTCGACACCGTGCTTGTCGTAAGCGGTCCACCAGTTGATAATGCCCGGGGTCAATGACACCTCTGTCATCTGAAAGACGAGTTCGTCCCCTTCGGAGGGGGGAGTGAGGTCCAAGACATACTTGATACCCTCGGGGAGTCTGTTGACGAGCTTTCGTCGACGTTGTATGCGGAACTGGTACGTCGGGTTCAGCATCTCGGCAAATTTGGAGGAGCCGGTACCCAAGAGCTTCTCGGAGTGCATGCGAAACTGAACCGAATTCCAAGCGTAGAAGTAGCAATCGACGGTCTCTGATGGTCTAGAAGGTACAGGGAAGTCGATGAATATCAAAGTGTCTCCTTCGTGGAGTTCGCTCTTGATGTCGTGGAGGATGAACTGGGAGTAGCGACGACCCTCGCGGTGCGTCATGTCGCGCCGCGGAGGTCGCCAATTCTCAAGTGAGCTGAGTCTCGACTCTGGTGCAGGGTCGGCGACCTCCATGAGATCTATGTTTTCAGCGCTGTTTCCGTCTGTCGGCGCGGAATCGGCCTGACCGTGAGCAGGCTCGTCCTCCAGTAGCTCTTCCCACCAGTCCGGGACCTCAGGGAAAGATGCTACGTCGTCCGGTTGCGTGTCCATGGTTTTGATAATATGCGCGCGATACTACGAGACTGTCTCTGAGACAACAGTTCAAATGCTTTGACAGCTCGGTTCTCCGAGACGTAAAGGCCGATGCAGCGGTGGTAATCAATGGGCGATGACGATGGAGGTGTAAACGAACAGAGTTGGGCTTCCGGGCGCTTGGAGGGACTCGGATAGCGAGCGAAGTAGTCGTAATCACAATTGACACGTACGAAATATCGCCGGCAAGTATCCTAGGTCGCAAGTTGGGTACCGAAAGATGGATGTGGTGGTGATCAGAGGGGTAGCGTAGCCTTTCTAGGCAGCAAGGTCTCGAGGAGGGAGTCAGATGTCAATTAGGAAGAGTTCAGACCCCACCAAGAAGTCGAGCGCCGGCCAGTCAGAGCTGCTATCCAATAAGATCCTAAAACGCTGGGAACTTGGCAGTGAGGAGGGCAGAATGAAATGTTGCTGGTCCGACTGCGTGATCGTCCTCAAGCCAAGCGAAGCAAGGCGAAATCTCCCGAAATGTATGAAGACGCGATGAGGCAGTATCTCAAGAAGAGAAATGCGAGGGTTGGATGGAGGGCAATTTAGCTTAGCTGAGGTCCGAGTATTGGGAGGCGAAGGCAACCGATGTGGCTTTGTGCCTTGGCGCATGGTGCACCGTCGAGGCAAACACCTAAGGACCAACAATATGGGGGGGACAGGAATGCAGTTGGAAGTCAAGGCGCAAGGCAGCCCGTGACCTGCAGCTAGCCAGCTACTTTAAGGGACGACATGTGCTCTAATACTTGGTTGCCGCAGCCTGACCATTCATTGTCTTGTTTTTGCCCAGAGGTGTCTACAGCTACACCAATCTCACCTCAGGCTAAGGTGGTAAGTTGTGTTTTGCAGGCTTGGGGCCGATGTCTCGAGCAGCCTGACAGTGCACTGAACAAAAGTCGAGAGACCAAGCTCCTCTTCGTGTCGTATTTGACATGAGCTCAAGGTATGTAAGCCAAGAAGCCAGGATATGTGGTCAATCCAGAAGATTGTCCATGTGTGAAGAGTTGGGGGCACAAGGGCATGAACATAGTCTACGAAAGTCGATCAAGGTCAGACATGGGTCAATTTTCGGCTGTTTGGCTCTGGCCGCGTAGGTACGTAAACGGGAGAACCAGCATCGGTTCCGGCCATGACAACCAATTGAACAAGGTGTCCAAATTCCATATCGGCAGGCCGCGAAAAGAGCTGGTCTCGAGGGGAGGCCGCCAGGAAAGAGTGAAGTAGCCATCTAGCTTCAAAGAAAAAAGCCCCACGTACGGTGAATCTAGACTCAAGTGCCGGCATTGGGGGCCATATGACCGTCAAAAGGCCCTCAAAGGGGTCGCTGTTGCCTGCTTGCCTGCTTGCCTGCCCACCCATTCGGAGAGCAAATAGTGGATCAACGGGTACCGTAGGCATGTCGCGGCGTCTCTCGGCTCCGTCCGGGTCGGCTATTATGGGGATGTACTCCGACGAACCCCACATGCAAACCGGTCCGTCACCAGTTGCAGAGATTATCATCGGCTGGTTGAGAACAAAAGTCAACAGAATGCTCTTACAGGAACATCCGCTGAAATGGAGACTGAATGTTCACCAACATCTCAAATGCAGCCCGACACGTTGCTCTACTGGGCTTTTTCAGAGCAGCCCAGCTAGGTTCGTGCAAGCCTCCTGCTTTGTTAGCAAGGCATCTTACTCCAAGCAAAGATTCGATATCTAACGCGATTCGCCTTGACTATTTTTTTTTACTTCGAGGAGGCAAAGAAAGACAAGAAGCACATCGCAGAACACCTCGGATCTTATGCTAGCCTTCTGATGAGCTGATGGCTAAAGCACAGTCGGGACAAACGATCTGAGATCATGAAGCAGGCTGTGAATGAATTCGAGTACCCTTAGTCGCGGTTGGACAGTACGTCTATTCGAAAGAGGTGACTCGTATCGACTCTTGAACTCTTCGTAGACGACGTCAACTGCCGCTTCCGTAGCCAGGTGTCGAGGGGCTCAAGACAAATCCAGTCATATTATTTGCTCGATTTATTACTTTACCCTGGGCCCATCGACAGGATACGAATCGCTGGCAGGCCGTCGGATTGAGCTGCCTTGGGCCACTGATGTTTCGGCTGTGGCCTCTCTTTCAAGTGCGTGCTAATGTTCGGGTTGTACTTCAGCAACTTTGTCAAATAGGAAGCGAGTCTAACTCATATAGAATACAACCTGGAATATACCTAGGCTCGTTGCTTTCTCGATATACAAGCACATCTCCTCGAGAACATTTCATGTGCACTTGATTCACTTCTGGAGGGAGTCGACAACTCAACGGCTATTGTGAAGTCAGAGAAGTGGAGGCGGCAGTCTCTGACTGGCTTTGGATGACCAACTGAGATCGAGCTCTGGTCAGTATAGACGCATCTAGTTATCTCTAAGCCGCCAAGGCTCGGCTCGGACCATCTTGTTTCTTTATCTTAACACAAAATAAGGAAGTTCTCGGTCATCTTACAAAGCTTCGACGCGATTCACAGCAAAAGTGGCGATCACCGAAGACCTTAATGTGCCAATAAGGACACTAAGGAGCTGCTAGATGGGTCGTTTGCGAATCTTCAACTCGAGTCCTGGAAGCGGAAGCAATCACCCGGGGAAAGAGAAGGTCATGACGAAAGTTGGCTACGACAAAAAGGTCACCAGTCTTGCTCTCGAGCTGACACCGGACTTCGGAAATTTCGTGTATCCGGACCAGCGGGAGGAGAAGACCAGAAATGCCCCATGCACGACTCTGTACACGCCAGGTGCGACGCCGGATCCATGGCGAGCGACAACCCCGGCTCGGTAGTGCGCTTCAAACAAGAAAAGGGAACAGAAAGTAGAGGAAAAGACGCAGTCGTCTCTCACTAGCGTCATACGGTACTGGATATTGGCGCTATCATGCCCCATGACACGAGCAGACGACTGGCGAAGTGGTTCGGATGCAGCCGACACCGGCCCCGGTCCGATCCGGCGATGGTGGAGATGTCGGCAGGAATACCCGAGCCCGGCCCCACCTACGGTCCGCGGTGCCACGATAAGAGTTCCTACTATGCAAGTGTCGTTAGATTGATACGTTGTCGGGCCCTGATCGCCCTGCTTCATATCATACCTTGGTCATCATACAGTCATGGAGCAGAAGCTTGTTCGGCTCTGACTCAACCGATCTCGACTTCCGGCTGTTTGAGGAGCTCCCCCAGAAAAGCTTGTTCTGCTGGAAGGGTCCTGCTGCTCTGATTCATCCGTGCACCCTCCCGGAAAGCACAGCTGTCTCCCCCTGTGGCCTGCGGGGTTAAACGAATCACCTTCGATTGCTGGTCGATTGATAAACCCCGAATTGTACCTTGTCTGGTTCCTCTGAGACCAACCCTAGTCGTACTGAACACACAGAAAGCATGGCATATGCCCCCAAAAGCCTGCCTTTGCCTGTTGTTTGAGCCCTTACCCATCGTTCCGGCTCCCCCGCATATACCCCGGCCCAAGCTCCCCCAACCTTGGTTTCTATCATGCCCGATACCTCTCCCTCTGCCGTCCCGTCAGCTGAAACCTCACCCAACTCTAACCAACAGTCCACACCACGTCGCTACATGTGCTCTCAAGCTTCCCCATCACACTTGCATACAACTCGCATACGCACCTGCGCCTAGCTTGATACACGTGCCACCGATTGGCGCCCTCTCAAGGCACCCTTTGCCAACACCTCGAGCTACCTATCGTCTCCATCTTTCTCTGTCCTTTTGCAATCGCCCAGCAGGGAATGCACATCCGACCCCGCCTCCCATCTCCATTCCTCTGCATATGCCAGCCTACGTCTCCCTCGTCCACCCTTAATGCATTGCATGCATGCACTCCATCCCGAACCATCCTTCGTCCAGTCAGTCCATCATCAGCCCATAAGCCCACTATCAGAGGGGTGACAAAACCCCCCCGCAACACAAAATTTCCGCTTAATTCACCGCAGGACAAAGGTATCGAACGCACAGCGAAACAGAGGGCGTTCCCAGGCGGACCGGCACGGCCAATCGCCACTCCTCCGAACAGAACCCCCCTCCCTCAAGCCACTCGATACCCTTTGCACTTCCCCGCCTAGTCTGCCCAACTCGTAGCCATGTCGCGTGCCCTATCCCGCCAACCCGCCAAGGCCAACGCCACCTGGGGGGTACAGTACCTAGCTCGGTACCGCGTCACCATGTCCGCATTCCAGACCCTCCACTCCCTTCTCCCCCAGCAAAACCCCTTGGCCCGACAATTGTTCGCTCTTGTCCCATGTTCAAGTTTCACCAGGGTGTCCCTCTGCTCGCTTCACAGTTCGTCTGGGCCCTTTCTCCAGTGCATAGTTGGCATGTTAGTCATGGCAGCGTAATGGTGGGCCGAGGCCAAGTTGCATAGTTGGATGATGATTCGAATCGTCCGATCCGAGCTGCCACCACCTCCTCCACTAGCCTGGAAGCTAAGAGACCTCTTCCCCGTCTTTCCCCAACAAAACCATAATGTTTTGCCCCTCCTCCACACACACATACACACACATGCCGCCGCCCCCGAAGATCTGGGGGGGGGGAGAGCTAGGACTACCTACCGTGGAACGTGTCGAAGACGTCGAGCATCTACTTAACTGCATCCGCCTCCCTTCCCCTCGTCCGCCAGCCTCCCCAGCGATGCTACTCCCGTCAATCTCGCCTGTTTAATATCGTAGAAGTACCGTGAACTACCCAAAACCTGCCAAACATAAACCACCGTCCATAATGCAACCAAAGCCAACCATGGCCGCCGCCCCCCAGATCCGCCCCGCGATGTAAGTCAACCCCCCTTCCCCATCCCGTCTTCGCCTCTCCCTTGCCTCGCAACACCCTCCCCAGATGCCAAAAGCTTTCCATCTTTGGTCTCCACCCATCTTCCTGGACGGTTCGTCACGCCTAGGCCTCTCCAATCGCTAACGTTCCCGCAGCCGCCACCGCGGCCTCCTCCTCGCGACGGTGGCCGTCACGGCCGTCGCCGCCAGCTTCCGATACACCGCCATCTCGCGGCGGACAAACGAGCAGAACCAGCGCTCCAGCAACCCCTACTACGTCAGCGTCGACAGGAGCGGAGGCGGCATCTAGTTTTATCACCGTCAATAAAAAAACGAAAAAAAAAAAAACGAGGAAAAGCAAAAAAAAACAAAACCCCGAATCTACAAACTTTACTACTGCAAAACCGGGAAGAGGCAGACAGACGGATGGACGGACGACCTCTCATCAAGCATCAAGAATCTGCCGTCACCAATTTCGGAATCGTCCTTCCTCGGCAAAGAAATCACATATACCCATACGGTTACGAGACGCGGATGGTCCGGTACAGGAAACACGATATAATGATTTACACGGGGCACGGGGCGAATGGGTAGCGGACCAGCGCCGCGGATTCAAGGCATCCACTCACAAAAGAGGACATTCGCAATCGTCGAGAGACCGGGCTGGACAGAATGGCCTTTTCTTATATATATAGGTACGAATACAGGCGACTTGGAGGATCTGCAGGGATGGGAACTACAGATCAGTCCGAACAGTTTTTTACCCCCTGAAAAACCAAAGTGTCATTACTCTCATCCACATGTCCAAATGCAAATCGCGGCCAGCTCACGATGTATATGCGGCATGCTTGAAAACCATGAAAACAACAAAAAGACAACACTCCAGAGGTTAACTCCCCCTGGGTCCAAACGCCCCAACGATGCGATGCGGTTAATCACCAACCATGACCGAGGTATAGCGCGCCAGAAAATGCCCAGCAAATCACAAACCGCGTCCCCCCTTTTACATCGAGCTTCGTTTCGTCGGCGCCATGCTCTCACTGTCAGACTCGTCACCCGACGAGTGCGCCGGCTCCTTGCCCTTGCCTCTTGCCCTCTCCGACTTGGGGTCCAACATGCTCTTGCGACTCACCGGGCGCTTGCCGGTCGTCCTTCTCACCATCTTGGGTTTCTCACCGCCGTCCTTCTGTCGTGGACCTTCTGGGCTCGTCAGGCCTGCGAATTTTTGCAGCTCTTCGCCTGAAGAGTTGCGCCTGGTGGTGGGGGCGGTCGAGTTTGACGTGGTCTTGAGCTCGCGCAACTCCCTGGCAACGTCTGCGAAACTCTCCTCGAGGGTCTTCATCCGTGCGAGGACGAGCTTGCTCATTCGGTTGCTGTCTCCAGTATCCGCACCCCGTCCTGCTCCACCCAGTCGTGCATCCTTCATCAGGGCCATGGCCATCTGCGTTTGGAAGCTCGAGGGCATACCCCCAGTCGGGTCGTCAGGTACGATGTTGTCCGACAGGACGCTCATATCAACCGAAGACAACCGTCTGAGAGCATTTGGACGCAATCGCTGGTCAATTCCCACCAGAGCAGCGCGGTTCGGCGCGGTTTGCACTGCATCTCGAGGTGGCAAGATGGGTCGAGGTCTCGTGTTGGTCACGTAAGTCTGTCGGCGCGGAGAGCGGTGTCCGCTAGCCGGGGCCGGTTCAACCACCGCAGGACGACCGTTCTGCACACGCGCACGGGTCGGCGGCGGATCGGGCGAATGAGACGACGAGCTATCCGGCCGTCGCAGCTCCTGCGGTGCGTACAGGATAGTGTTGGTCGACATCGTCCGGCTGTGAGGTATGCGACGCGCAGTGCGAGGAGTGGCTGACACGGAGGGTTTTCCGCTTGACCCCAGGGACGAAGATGTTGGGGGTGGGGCGAATCGATTCGTCGTAGGCGTCGAGTTGAAGTAGTCATCAATCGACTTTTGATGGATGACCGGGCCCCGACGGCTGTCGCCTGCGTTGGTAGCGATGTCCTCTTCCTCTTCCTCGTCGTTTGTAACGAGTTCGTCATCTCCGTCGGCGTCCGTCTGCTGATTCTCCTCGTCTTTGGCTTTGGTGGCCGCGGCTACGCCCCGGAAGAAAGAGCCGATGGCCGGCTGCGAGATGAGATCTGCTGGGTCGCTAGCCGCGGACCTGACGTCCGATATTTGACGAGACCGTTGCGTCCTAAGCTCTCTCGACAGGCTCAGTCTCCTGTGCCAATCTGGTCGAATGCTCTGGCTGCCGTCCAGCGTCGGCCACTGGGAAAGGTGAGGAGAAGCGCTGGCTTCGTCGTTCCGGTCCATCCAGTTTCGAACCGCGTGCTGGGTCTTCTTCCTCTCGTTCCGCCGCTGATTGCGCAGCGTAGCAAAACCGGGACCTCGCCGAAAGACCTCCTCAAGAGCATGGTCCTTCTGGTACCCGGTGACCGATTCTTCGCGGACCCGGATATTGGGGCTGAATAAAGCAGATCGATTCGCGGGGTCTGCGAAGGAGATCGTTCTGTCCCTTCCGTGATGGTGATGGTTTTCGACCAGGTCCGTGGGTTCGTACATGGACGGAGCGAGCCAGTACTTTTCGTACAGGAAGATGATGAACAGGAGAGGGAAGTGCGTGGCTTTGATAATGGTTCTGTTCAGCTTCACAAACTGTTTCAGGGGCATGCAGTATCGCATGGGCATGAGGAGCCACGCAAAGATGTTTCCCGGTGCAACGTATGAGAACAGGGCATCGTTCTTGACCATGGAGATTGTGTTGATAGCGAAGAGAAACCTGATGGTGTGAGCAGAATGTCAGCAAAGAAATGCCGGATGAACTCACTGATGCTCCTCCCTAGCATTGGAGGCAATCTTCATGAAAGAGTTTGTCAAGACCGTAATGAGGATGGTACTGCGGTGGTCAGCAAAAACAGCTTCTCCAGGAGATGGAACAGGCTTACACTACGACGAAGTGGCAAATGATCAAGAAAAAGGCCATCAGGCCCCTCTCGAGCCAGTTGTACCCTGGCCAGACCTCCCAAGCGGCTGGAGTGAAGCCCATCAAGATCTGGAAGATCCTGAAGGCAATGTCGCCCGCATCGTTGTTGCTGTCAGCAAGGGTAAAGAAGACGAAAAACCCGCTGCAGGAGATAAGAATCAGGATGCAAACGGCTGCGAGGTCAACCGCCATCAAGCGGAAGGCAATGAGCAGCTGAGAGAAGTACTGGTAATGATCCAGCACACTGAAGATACGGGGCAGCAGCAGAATGGCATTCGCCGCGAGAACATCGTATGCAGAGTCATTCCAGTGCTTTGCGTCTACGAGGAATACCCCATAGACGCGCATGAAGTAGTAGACGATCAACAATAGCAGTATCCCCAGATCGAAAGCGTTCCAGAAGCTCATGATGTAGAGCGAAAACCCTTGTTCGTTGAAACCGACCAGCTCATCCAGCATGAACCCGGCACTCCAAAACCAAAATATCAGCTCCAGCGAGCTAATGCGGGCTGAACGCTGAGCGAGAACCGCAAGGAACAGGCCGATGAGAACAAGGAGCGACAGTGTCGACAGGAAGAATCTGTAGCGCGGCACGCGGAGACGCGACAGCTTGAACAGGGACGCCTGCCGGGGATCATAGAGAATGACACTCCGTCGCCCGGGTGCTGACTGCTGCTGCCCCTCCTTCTGAGGATGTCCGCCCAGCAGCGGTGTTCTCGAATCGGGCTTGATGCCAGTGGGCGTAGGTGGGGGCTCGCGGTGCAAACTGTCCGCGGACGAGTAGAAGCTAATGGCACCGTTCCAGATGGCCTCGAGTTGTTGCACGACCAAAGGATGAGCCAGGAAGTGCTTGGCGGAGGCGCGAATAGCCACTTCGAGGGTGGAGGTTCGTGCCGCGGTGAGGCGCGCTTTGTTTCTCGGGTCTGCCTTGGTCGCGTTCGCCGGCTGGGCGCCAGGCAGCCCCTGGAGAGGGTAGAAGTCGTACGAGAGGGCGTCAATGAGCTCGCGGGTGTTGTACTCCTTTAGGAGCTTGAGGGCGAGGAGTTCGCAGACCAGAGCCCTCGTATAACTTATTCCAGCGTTGCCCGGGTACATCTGGCCCTCTTTGTTGAATTGCAGACAGTTAGCCATGAGACAGTATAGGGTGGCGCGGTTGAACTGCTGGGTCCTGATCTGCTGCTGCATGGGCTTGACCAGGAACTGGGATACTTGGGGGGAGCGTATTTGGTCCCATGTTAACGTCGTTTCGGTTCGGGCCTGGACGATGATACGAATCGCGTGGGTTATGCTGTATATGGGTAGGGAGTCTGAGGAACCACAGTCAGCTCTTGCCTATGCAACCATGGCGGCAGCCATAGGAGGCAAGCGGGTTGTGCGTACCGAGATATGTCTCCGAGAAAAGAGGAAGAACTGGCATGGAGCGGTGGGTATGATCCTCGTCGTCTATGTTTTCGGGGTCGTCCCCAGACTGGCCTAGGCCGTCTTCTTCCTCGTCTTCTTCGTCTTCGTCATCTTCGCCCTCGGTGAAGTCTCCGCTTGCGCGTCTCGGGGGTTCGCCGACATAGTGGCGATAGGCCGGGCCAGGGGAAGGCGATTGCCTATCGTGAAAACGGTCGACGCGACGGCTGCGATTGCTCTGCTTGGGTCGCAGCAGAGAGGAAAACATTGTCCAGTCGAAATGAGAGATGCAGCCCGCCTCCTAGTACTATCACGTCTTACGGCGCCATAGAGGAGCAGCAAGGGACAAGTCGAAAGGGCGCGAAGTGGGCAGGGGGTTTCGCGTTCAGGTAGGCGTCGTCTCGAGTTGGTTGTCGTGGTACGCGAAAGAGATGGAGTAATGGAAGGGTTGGAGAAGCAACACCAGGCCAAGGAGAGGCGAGGAGGATAAAGGTAAGGAGGTGAGGTCGGGGCAGGACGAGTCGGCCGACAACAATAGTAAATAAGAAAGTCCTAGTCCAGGCCGAACAGGTAAAGGTCGGCAGGCTGGTGTAGGGTTCCCCGTGGTCGAGACGAAGAAATCGATGCAGCGTTTTGTGGGGAAGCCGGTCAAGGTATCTGTTTGGGCCGGGATGAGACCAACAATGCTGGAAAGAAAAGGAGAGAAAGGACGGTTACAAGGAAGATAGAAACAGAATGAAGGGGAGACTACTGCATGGTGAAATGTTAGGAAGAGACCACGGCAAGCAACAGGCGCGTGGAGCGCGGATCGAGATTCGACGAGGAAGATGCGAGTTTTTAGCGTAGGCGGACAAGTAGAGTGCTAAAAGGCGAGAGATACTGCATGAGGCAGTCGACGCCGGTAGGGGGACGGGAAGGCAAGGCAAGGCGAGGCAAGGCAAGGCAAGTGCACAGGCAAGACAGAACGGGGCTGGATCAGACCAGCGGGCAAGGGCCGGGCGAGTAGCGGGTGTCGATATCGCATCTACCAATGTACGTATGTATGTACCTACGCATGTATATAGGCGTATGTAGGTGTGTGATGCACCCCAGGTGCAACTGCAAGAAATCAGAGCGGCAATGATGCTGCGTTCCATCATGACGACAAAAGAGTCGGTGACGGCTGTGTTGGACGGGATGGCCTGCGATAAGGAGTCTGAGGGGCGCCATACAAGACCAGTCCTCACCCTCCACGACGAGCTCCCCGACTCAGAGACGGACCCCATCAGCTTGGGGGCGGATGATGGTGAGGGAGTGACACTGCACACGCCTTTCACACAGTTCAGAAACGGGGGGGCAGGGAGACGCGGCGCGCCATTGGAGCCAAGTGGAGTTCTCTCTGGTCGCGAAAATATCGTGGTCCTGGTCTCTCGATAGGTGGGCTTGCAGGGACCGACTGCAAAAAATAAAACAAATAAAAAACAAAAAACGAGAGTGCGACTCTGCGCAATGCGCATCCAAGATCCAACGTCGCCCAGCCTGCGTCGAGATTCAGGATGGGCTAGCGCGAGATCCTTGGTGGGCGTGGGCAGTTTTGGAGCCTTTGGAGTTGGCCTCTAAAAAGTGGTTCCAGCGCCAGCGAAATGCGCCGCCAGTGGTTCCTCCCCCGGTGCTGCAGCCCAGCGAGAGTGCTCGGCCTGGGAAATCTTTGCCAACCCACGCACCGCAACTGGGGCCAGTCCGCTCTGCGAAATGACACAATAAAAAAAAGGCCCGGGGGAGCTCCATGCCTGTGTCGACATTGTTCGCTACCCTGGAAGCCGATCCATCTTTTGAGGCTAGACCGTCGGACCATGTACAATGTAGGAGTGAGCAGTACGTAACCCGCCAGGAGTGACTTTCTGTAGGTATTCATAGCATCAGTCCCGCCACAATATATGGACATGGTTCGCTTGGAGAGGGCAAACAGGACGGGGTGGTGGGAAGACCGAGAGGCATGATAGCAAAGTCAATTAATGGTCGCTTCTGCAAAGAAACGCACATACCACGCATACACGAACGAAAGAGTCAAGATCCACGACGTCAGACGAAAAACGGGCGAGACATGCATCCGCATGACCCCTCGTACACTAGAGGACGAGGGAGAAAAGGAGTTGAGGACGGACGTGGAGGGGAGGGGTCGCCATCCCCCTCAGACATTGCCAAAAAGAGACGGGACACAGACACAGACACGGACCAAGGCCTGCGTACGGGTTGGTGTCGCCGACGACTGACTGGGCTGTGTGGGTTTTCGCGGTGCAGAGAAGAGCATTTGCAGCGAGGCTATCACCGAGCAAGGCGAGCCCAGAGCGAGCATGCAACGACAACGACAAGAACCCGAGGCAAGCGAGCAGCAGCAGCAGCTCCAACGGCCCCGAGAGCTTTTCCCAACCAATGTCAGCGTCAAAATTCGTCTTGCAGCGTGGGCAGCTGAGCTGTATCCGCGGCCGCACGTCGTCACTTGACATGATGCCGGCGCTGGCCTGGGCCCTTTTTTTCATGGGTCGATTGTCTGTCCATGTTCCTCCGTGTCTCTGCCGTCTCTGCGTCTCCCCGTTGCCATGAGCGGCGATAGCGCCACACTCCGCACCCTGGATCCAAAACACCTTGGCTGAGGCTGTCTAGCCATCTACCTAGCGTTCCAGCGGTTCGTAGGAGAAAAAAAGGCGAGTCGGCAAGGCACTTCAAAACCGAGCCCCAGAGTCGCAGCGGGTCACAAACACAGCAGCTCGAGTTGGAAACAAGACTCCAGTGTATCATATTATGTAGTATGCCCATTTTCGAACCCCCACACCGAACACCAAGCTCATTGAGCCGTTGGCTGCCCTGATTGGCCAGGGAGCGCCGTCACCGCCCATTGGCATCCCACACACACGGATGCACAGATGGCACCTGTTCTTGGTCGCGGTGCGACACTGCATTTGGGGGGACACCGCCGGGATTCTGCTGCTCCTGGTCGGGTGTGGCTTGCGCACCATCGTCGTATACTTCTCCAGTTCCCCCTCCAGATGGCGAAGAGGGTGCTGTTTCTGGTCTACGCTGCTTTGGTTCCCGAAGCCCCCAGGCCACCGTGTCCGGGCCAGCAACGAACGCGTCAATGCAGTCAGTCTACTGCCCTGCCGAGTGTTCATGGCTGGTGTTGACATGTCGTCGGTGGAGGCAACGCCGCAACGGGGCCTGCCGCCGAGTTGGCGAGACCCTCATGTGCGTGTTTTAATCAAACGATGCACGGAATCACAGGAGACGCCTGTCATGCCTAGGTTACATCGCCAAACACAATGACCATCGGCGATTTACGTCGATTCGGATCTCAAGTGGGCAAGGTGTGGCAGGAGTCTACCTACCCACCAGTCCAAGCCGGGCATCGTGAACTCTGTGTGTTCCACAGCGGCGCACATGGCGGCAGCAAAACGAGATGCTGGGCAACCAGGAAATTTCCCAGATTCCCGCCATCTCACGAGCCTCACGAGTCAAGTCGTGCGTGCCCCTTGAGGCGCTATCTCTCTGGTTGGCCAAGCCATTGAGCTCCAGTCGAAAAAGTCTCTTCCAAGACCAATGTGTTGTCCTGGTTTGCAGGGAAGCAGCCCTGCAGAGATGGAAAGAAAAAAAAACTGTTGTGGCTGGCAAGCTCCGAGCCAAAGAGGCGCCTGCGATGGCTGGGTGCTGACTTCTCACCTAAGCTTCATCCCGCTATACACGTCATGCGGAATGTCAGCTTCTGTCACTTGACCTGTCTCTATTCCAACCGAGCTGCCACACTGATTGTCCTTCTTCATCACCTAGCTGAGATCTCTCATTCCAACCGAGAAACGAGAAACACGGATAGGCTGGCACGTGCCGACTCGCACCATGATGCCTATTACCTTAATCCGAGATGCCAAGAGTTCCTACAGCGTTGACGTTTGATGGAGGCTTACCATGCTCGGACGGAAAAGTTTGAAGGTCTCTGGAGGCCCATGTCCATCACAATTTAGACTAACAGGTAGAGAGAGAAACGAATGGGGAAAGAGTGAGAATAAAAAACAGAATAAAAAACAAGAATGAGAAAAGAGAGGGATGGAGAAAGGGCCGAAACTTACCATGCCACCAATAAGACTCACAAAAATCCAGGAATACTGGATCAACATGGGTTAGAGGTATCGTAGGGCAGACTGGTCGGCGGTGCACCGCAGCATTCCATTGCCAATAAGTTGATTTGGTTGCCGTTGCCCCGGCTTTTCACGCCCCGAACTATTAGGAATGCCCCACCAAAATTACCTGTCCCGGCATCGGCGATGCAAAGGTGAAAAACAACCATCACCTTAATCGGTGGGCGCAGGTAAACATCTCGCTCTCAGTTGAATGTCATCACTTGGGATCCTGAGCTTGCACTTGACTATAAGAAAAAAGGTTTCCTACAATGCTACCAGCATCAACATGACAGTGACAGACTTGGCTCCAGAAGCCCCAATACCACAAAGAACGCACCAGACTCACATCTTTACTCCAAGACCAAAAGCATCGTCAACCCACCTGCATTCCAGACCAGATCATGATCGTGACTCGACCGTGAGAGCGATCGGCTCGCAGGCGGTCCACTCGTCGCCGGCCATCGTGGCAGGCCAGCCACTGGCAGAAAGAAAGAAGAAAAAAAAGGGCTCTATCTCTCTTCAGTAGACACGCTGGGTTAAGCTTCTGGAAAGAAATTTCTGCAGGGACAGGACGAACAAATTCTGCAAGCTCAGCCATCTGGACCACTGGGCGACGCGGGGCTCCTGGCAAAATCCCCCGCCTATGGCTAGAAGCGGCAATGTCACATACTTTCTGCCCCCTTTCTGCCCACTTCCTTGATGTCGCTAGACCTGTTTAGCTTCACCGCCTGCTCCTTCAGTGAGTTACAAGCCGCTTATTGCAGTTGCAGATCTGTGTCAACGCAGCCGGTTCTCCACCGCCCAGGGATCTTGCCTGTATAATTGGTCAATCCACGCTACGTGCCTCTACCCAAGGGAGGAACAGTGGACGGCATGGAGGGGGACCAGACGAATTTTTTTTTTCTCTGAGTAAGGTAAAACTCCAAGACCCTGCCGATTCACTCGTCCGCTCTTCCTTCTCTCTTTTTCCTCTTTTCTTCCTTCGACTATGGTTGTCTAGAATCTCACATAACTTCCCGAAGATCTATCGTGGCAGATGATCGCTGGGAAGCTCCCGAACCAATCTACGAGACTCTTCTGACGAGCTCGCCGCTGCCACTTTTCTCTAGCACTTCTATTTTTTTCGTTGCTGCTTAACTCTCCTCGGCCCTTCCCCCCCATCGAGAGTTTTTTCACCCGTCGTTTGCCCCGCATCACCCTCCTCACAAACGACAATGGTAGCCACCGTCTACCCCCCGGCTGCGGCCCGCATCGTCGGCTCCGATGACGAGGGCCTCATGGCTCTCGAGATGCCGGATGGCTCCGTCTACCAGGGGTACAGCTTCGGTGCTCAGAAGAGCATCGCCGGAGAGCTTGTTTTCCAGACCGGAATGGTGGGGTATCCCGAGTCGGTGACAGACCCTTCATACCGTGGCCAGATTCTCGTCATCACCTTCCCTCTGGTCGGTAACTACGGTGTGCCCTCGCGCGAGACCGTCGACGAGCTCCTGGGTGACCTGCCCGCCCATTTCGAGTCCTCGCAGATCCACATCGCCGGTCTCGTCGCCCACTCGTACTCGGGCGAGGACTACTCCCACTTCTTGGCCGAGTCCTCTCTCGGCACCTGGCTCAAGGAGCAGGGCGTCCCTGCCATCTACGGCGTCGATACCAGAGCCCTTACCAAGCGTCTGAGGTCTCAGGGCAGCACCCTCGGCCGTTTGTTGCTGCAGAAGAAGACCCTCACTAACGGCACCGCCAACGGCCACGTTAATGGTGTTGCCTCGTTCTCCCTTGACGACTTCCAGACAGTAGACTGGGTGAACCCCAATGAAAAGAACCTCGTAGCTGAGGGTGAGTCTTGCCGATATTCCCTGGTCCGGCCTTTGCTCATCCTCTATTTTAGTGTCCATCAAGGCCCCCAAGCTGTACAAGCCTCCCTCGAGCGTCGCCGTAAAGAAGCACCCGTCCGGCAGGCCCATCCGTGTGCTGTGTCTGGATGTTGGTATGAAGTACAACCAGTTGAGATGCTTCCTGAAGCGTGGTGTTGAAGTCTTGGTCTGCCCCTGGGATCACGACCTGGTGAAGCAGGCCGGCGAGGAGTACGACGGTCTCTTCCTCTCCAACGGCCCTGGTGACCCGGCCATGCTCGAGACCACCGTCAAGAACATCCAGGCTGCCATGGACAAGACCAAGACCCCGGTCTTTGGTATTTGCTTGGGCCACCAGCTGCTCGCCCGCGCCTCGGGGGCCAAGACCGAGAAGATGAAGTTCGGCAACAGAGGCCACAACATCCCGTGCACGAGCATGATCTCCGGAAAGTGCCACATCACCTCCCAGAACCACGGCTTCGCCGTCGACTCCAAGTCCCTGACTGCCGACTGGAGGGAGCTCTTCGTGAACGCCAACGACGGCAGCAACGAGGGTATTGCCCACCTGTCTAAGCCCTACTTCAGTGTGCAGTTCCACCCCGAGAGCACACCTGGACCTCGCGACACCGAGTACCTCTTCGATGTCTTCATCAGCACCATCCAGAACTGCGCCGCCGATCCCAAGCTGCTCAACGCCCCCGTCAGCTTCCCCGGTGGCACCATCGAGGAGAACGAGCGTCTCCACCCCCGCGTCCACCCCCGCAAGGTGCTCATCCTGGGCAGTGGTGGTCTCAGCATCGGACAGGCTGGAGAGTTCGACTACTCCGGCTCTCAGGCCATCAAGGCCCTGAAAGAGGAGGGCATCTACACTGTCCTCATCAACCCCAACATTGCTACCATCCAGACGTCCAAGGGTCTCGCCGACAAGGTGTACTTCCTCCCGGTCAACGCCGAATTCGTCCGCAAGGTCATCCAGTACGAGAGACCTGATGCCATCTATGTCACATTCGGTGGACAGACCGCTCTGCAGGTCGGTATCCAGCTCAAGGACGAGTTCGAGGAGCTCGGCGTCAAGGTCCTGGGTACCCCCATTGATACCATCATCACCACCGAAGACCGCGAGCTCTTCGCCCGCAGCATGGACTCCATCGGCGAGAAGTGCGCCAAGTCTGCCTCTGCCAGCAACGTTGACGAGGCCATGTCCTGCGTCAAGGACATTGGCTTCCCCGTCATTGTCAGAGCTGCCTACGCTCTTGGTGGTCTTGGCAGTGGCTTCGCCAACAACGAGGCCGAGCTGCTCGACCTCTGCAACAAGGCCTTCGCTGCCAGCCCTCAGGTGCTCATCGAGCGCAGTATGAAGGGCTGGAAGGAGATTGAGTACGAGGTCGTTCGTGATGCCCAGGACAACTGCATCACGGTGTGCAATATGGAGAACTTTGACCCTCTCGGTATTCACACTGGTGACTCCATCGTTGTTGCTCCCTCTCAGACCTTGTCTGACGAAGACTACAACATGCTTCGTACTACGGCTGTCAACGTTATCCGCCACTTGGGCGTTGTCGGAGAGTGCAACATTCAGTATGCCCTGAACCCCTTCTCCAGGGAGTACTGCATTATCGAGGTCAACGCCAGATTGTCCAGATCCTCTGCCCTTGCTTCCAAGGCTACTGGATACCCCTTGGCCTTCATCGCTGCCAAGCTCGGTCTCGGCATCCCCCTCAAGGACATTGCCAACAGCGTCACCAAGTCCACTTGCGCCTGCTTCGAGCCCTCGCTCGACTACGTTGTCGTCAAGATGCCCCGTTGGGACTTGAAGAAGTTCACCCGTGTTTCCACTCAGCTGGGCTCTTCCATGAAGAGTGTTGGTGAGGTCATGAGCATCGGCAGAAGCTTCGAGGAAGCCATTCAGAAGGCCATCCGTGCCATTGACTTCCACAACCTTGGATTTAACGAGACCAAGGCGTTGATGTCCATCGATGACGAGCTCCAGACGCCTTCCGACCAGCGTCTGTTCGCCATCGCCAACGCCATGCACTCTGGCTACACCGTCGAGAAGATCTGGGAGCTCACCAAGATCGACAAGTGGTTCCTCAACAAGCTCAAGGGCTTGAGTGACTTCGCCAAGAAGATGTCCAACTACACTACCAGCGACATCTCCAAGTCTCCCGACATCCTCCTGCAGGCCAAGAGACTCGGTTTCTCTGACCGCCAGCTCGCCAAGTTCTGGAGCTCCAACGAGATTGCCGTCCGCACCCTGAGACAGGAGGCTAGCATCATGCCTTTTGTCAAGCAGATCGACACGGTCGCTGCCGAGTTCCCTGCTCACACCAACTACCTGTACCTCACCTACAACGCCACTGAGAGCGATGTGTCTTTCGAGGACCACGGCATCATGGTCTTGGGCTCCGGTGTCTACCGTATCGGTTCCTCTGTCGAGTTCGACTGGTGCTCCGTCCGCGCCATTCGCACCCTCCGCCAGGATGGCTTCAAGACCATTATGGTCAACTACAACCCTGAGACCGTGAGCACTGATTACGACGAGGCCGACAAGCTCTACTTTGAGGTTATCAGCCTGGAGAGCATCCTCGACATCTACCAGCTGGAGAACGCTGCCGGTGTCCTCGGTGCCATGGGTGGACAGACCCCCAACAACATCGCTCTGCCGCTGCACCGCGCCGGCATCAAGATTCTCGGTACCTCCCCCGAGATGATTGACAACGCTGAGAACCGTTACAAGTTCTCCCGTATGCTGGATACCATTGGTGTTGACCAGCCTACCTGGAAGGAGTTGACCAGCTTTGAGGAGGCCAAGAAGTTCTGCAATGCTGTTTCCTACCCTGTCTTGGTGCGACCTTCGTACGTCCTCTCGGGTGCCGCGATGAACACTGTCTACTCTGAACAGGATCTCGAGAACTACCTTGCCCAAGCTGCCGAGGTCTCGCGCGAGCACCCCGTCGTCATCACCAAGTATATTGAGAATGCCAAGGAAATTGAGATGGACGCCGTTGCCAAGGACGGTGTTGTCATTGGCCACTTCATCTCCGAGCATGTTGAGAACGCTGGTGTCCACTCCGGTGACGCCACCCTCATCCTGCCTCCCCAGGATTTGGAGCCCGAGACCATCGCCAGAATCGAGGAGGCCACTCGCAAGATTGGTGCTGCCCTGAACGTCACTGGTCCTTTCAACATTCAGTTCATTGCCAAGGACAACGACATCAAGGTCATTGAGTGCAACGTCCGTGCCTCCCGATCCTTCCCCTTCGTCTCCAAGGTCATGGGTGTCGACATGATCGAGATGGCCACCAAGGCCATCACTGGCCGGCCGTTCGAGGCCTACCCCCCGACCACCATCGCCCCCAACTGCGTCGGTGTCAAGGTTCCCCAGTTCAGTTTCTCGCGTCTCTCTGGCGCCGACCCCGTCTTGGGTGTTGAGATGGCTTCCACTGGAGAGGTCGCTTGCTTCGGTGTTGACAAGTACGAGGCCTACCTCAAGGCTTTGATGTCTACCGGCTTCAAGATCCCCAAAGCCAACATTCTCCTGTCCATCGGCTCCTACAAGGACAAGAAGGAGATGCTGCCTGCCATCGACAAGCTCGCTCGCCTCGGCTACAAGCTGTTCGCCACCGCGGGTACTGCCGACTTCCTTCAGGAGCACAACATCCCCGTTCAGTACCTGGAGGTTCTCGCCAACGAGCAGGAGGACCAGCGCTCCGAGTTCTCCCTGACGCAGCACTTGGCCAAGAACATGATTGATCTTTACATCAACTTGCCTTCCAACAACAAGTACCGTCGTCCTGCCAACTACATGAGCAAGGGTTACCAAACCAGACGTATGGCCGTTGACTACCAGATCCCTCTGGTAACCAACGTCAAGAACGCCAAGATCCTTGTTGAGGCCATCGCCCGTCACTTCGCCCTTGAGGTCGGCAGCCGCGACTTCCAGACCAGCCACCGCACCATCTCTCTGCCTGGCTTGATCAACGTTGCCACCTTCGTTCCCGGCATTGCCACCGCCGGCAGCAAGGATCTCCAGGCTGTGACCAAGGCCTCGATCTCTGCCGGCTTCAGCATGGTCCGCATCATGCCCGTCGGTGTTACCGGCTCCATCACGGATGCCATCACCTTGAAGATCGCCCAGCAGAGCAGCAAGCAGGGCGGATACTGCGATTACAACTTCTCCGTCACTGCCACCTCTGACAACGCTGACCAGATCAGCCACGTCACCGGTGAGGTTGGATCGCTGTTCATCCCCTTCAACCACCTGTCTGGCAACATCAGCAAGGTTGCCGCCGTGACCGCCCACTTCGACAAGTGGCCCACGCACAAGCCTATCGTCACTGACGCCAAGCTCACGGACCTGGCCTCCATCCTGCTCCTGGCCAGCCTGCACAACCGCAGAATCCACGTCACCTCTGTCTCCACCAAGGACGATATCAAGCTCATTGCCCTCAGCAAGGCCAAGGGCTTGAAGGTGACCTGCGACGTGTCCATCTTCTCTCTCTACCTTTCGCAGAACGACTTCCCCGACTGTGCCCTCCTCCCCACGGAGGCCGACCAGGCTGCCCTCTGGGCTCACCTCAGCACGATTGACGTCTTCTCCATCGGTAGCTTGCCGTACCAGCTCGCCAGCTCTCTGGGCAAGACAGCGGATCCGTCCGTTGGCATCGCCGACGCGCTGCCCCTTCTGCTCACTTCCGTGACTGAGGGCAAGCTGACCGTCGACGACATCAAGAACCGCCTCTACGACAACCCCAAGGAGATCTTTGAGCTGCACGAGCAGGTTGGAACGAGCGTCGAGGTTGAGATTGACCGTCCCTACGCTGTCCACAACACCAACGGCTGGTCTCCCTTTGCTGGTCGCACCATGCGGGGCTCCGTCCAGCGCGTGACCTTCCAGGACCAGACGGTCTGCCTGGACGGTGAGCTGCTGCCTCTGCCGGCCTTGGGCAAGGACATGTCGACCCACGGCGCTCTGCCCATGTCGCCCGCCATCAAGCCCCAGCTTCAGTCTCTCACCCACCCGGACAGCCCTAGGGACCGTCGCCCGTCGTTGTTCAACAGCACCAGACCCTCGAAGCTTCGATCTACCGATGGCTACCTGCCCAACAAGAGCATGAGCGGTTTCGAAGACCTTGGTCTTCCCGCTCCCCTGCACCCGATTGTCGGCTCCAAGCTTCAGGACCTGCTGTCGCAGCCTTCGTCTTGGAAGCACCACAGCGTGTTATCGGTCAGCCAGTACACTCGTGCTGATCTGCACCACCTCTTCACCGTCGCCCAGCAGATGCGTCTTGGCGTTCAGCGCGAGGGTGTCTTGAACATCCTCCGCGGCCGTGTCCTCTGCACCCTCTTCTACGAGCCGTCCACTCGCACCTCGGCCTCTTTCGACGCCGCCATGCAGAGACTCGGTGGCCGCACCGTGGCCATTGCCACCTCTCACTCTTCTGTCCAGAAGGGCGAGACTCTCCAGGACACCCTCCGCACCCTTGGCTGCTACGGTGACGCCGTTGTTCTCCGCCACCCTGACGAGCACAGCGTCGACATTGCCAAGAGATACGCTCCCGTTCCCGTCATCAACGGCGGCAACGGTAGCAAGGAGCACCCCACTCAGGCCTTCCTGGATCTCTTTACCATCCGTGAGGAGCTCGGAACCGTCCAGGGCCTGACCATCACCTTCGTCGGTGACCTGCTCTACGGCCGTCCCGTCCACTCGCTGATCTACCTCCTCCGTGACTACGGCGTGCAGGTTCAGCTCGTCTCTCCCAAGGGCCTTGCGTTGCCTGCCGATGTGCGCAAGTTCTTGGTCGAGTCTGGACAGCTCTTGTGCGAGTCTGAGGAGCTCACTCCCGAGATCCTCGGCCGCAGCGACGTGCTCTACTGCACTCGCGTCCAGAAGGAGAGATTCCCGTCGGTGGAGGAGTACGAGAAGGTCAAGAACTCGTACCGCATCGACAACCGTACGCTCAAGTCTGCCAAGAGAGATATGTGCATCTTGCACCCTCTTCCCAGGAACGAGGAGATTGCTCCCGAGGTTGACACCGACCAGCGGGCGGCTTACTTCAGACAGGTAAGTCCGTTGACCCCCTCGGACACGACTAGATTTGCTAACAGGTTACACAGATGAGATATGGTCTGTACTGCCGCATGGCGTTGCTTGCGTTGGTTATGGCACCATAGACGTGGTTTTTTCTTTTTTTCCTACATGTATGGGAACCGGGATATGAGAAAAGCACACATTACAAAAAAGTTTAGAGCCTCAAGACTGGGCCGTTTTGGTGTTTCTGGTTTGCGGGCTTTTTTTGGTTTTGGGATTATAGTATAGAGACACACACAAAAGTAGGAAGCAACTATTCCTCAAATCTGGCGTATAAAGACGCCTTCAGACGTCATGGCTCGCGCCATCACGCGGCGTTAAGAGGGTTATGTTTGGGTTTATTTAGGTTTACATGTTTGGGCAGTGCGTCTCGTGCGTTGCGTGCGTTTTGTTGCGTACGTTGCGTATCTTGCGTAGCTGAATGACGTTTACGATATGATACCCCCGTCGTACGTACGGAATGAAATACGTTTGTTTGGTCTGTTGCGTCAATCTGTTCCGTGTATTGCGTGTATGTGTGTGTTTCGTGTTGTGCGTTTGGTTTCCAGTGTAATGTGTAGTCATCAAACGGCTGCAAGCATCCCAAACCGGTTCCGATCCGAGGGGTCCCTGGGAGCCGGGCTGGCCCCTGCGCCGCAGCTGGGCTCCGCATCTGAACCGCGTGCTTCCATCCGAAGTCCTGCGCTGCACCGCACCGTGGAACGAGTGGAACATTCTGCACCTGGAATGTGGGGTCGCTGCGTCTTCCATTCGAGTCTTTTGTGCCCCTCATTTCTCCAAAAGCATCATGAGAGTCGTGGGATCATGACATAAACACTCCCCGTGTTGGAGAAATCACCTCACTTTTCTCGTTTCTTTCCCTTATTCTCGCCGCAACTACAACGCGACCCGCGAAGACGTCCACGTCCAATCGCTCGCACACATTGTAAGCACTGGGACTGCGAGTTTTGGCATCATGTTGCCAACTGGACGGGGGTTGGGCTAACTGTGAGCTTTGTAGACTTCGGAGCTCTGCACAAAGCAAGCAAGTCTTATGAGACCCGGCCTAGCACTCAAGTTATCGAGATCGCTCAGGATGGCTCTTCACCCGCCTCCCGAAGGCGAGAAGCTCATTTGTAAGTCTGGCGTGCTAGTCAGCCACCCGCTGCGAGGTCGGGGCCGGAGTCTTGCTTAAGTGAGGATGTATCATTACCACCCGCGACCTTCATACCTCCTCATCCTAACACCCATTATCACACCCACTCTTACACCACTTCTCACCCCCCCCAGCCCAAACCACTTCCACCGCCCAGCTAACCCTCTGGCCAGTCGCGCCCGCCGGCTCGGCGCAAAACACGCGGGCGGACCAGTTCACGCTGTCGTCGCTCTCGCGGGCGTCGCTGCACCCGTCGTCGCCGATCCCCCAGTTCCACACGTGGTTCACGGCGGCGCAGGAGTCGCACGCGGTCGCGCACCCGGAGACGTGCACGCTGTCGACGGCGTCGCTGCCGTCGGGCCGCGTGTCGGCGCGCATGGTGTACCTCAAGGAGCTCGACGCGCGGGGCGGCTTCGTCGTGTACACGAACCTTGGCACGTCGCGCAAGGCGGCGGACCTGGCGACCAACCCGCACGCGAGCCTGACGTTTTGGTGGGAGGCGCTGCAGCGGCAGGTGCGCGTCGAGGGCGTCGCGAGCCGCCTGAGCCCCGAGGAGAGCCAGGTCTACTTTGACACGCGCGTGCGCGGCAGCCGGCTCGGCGCGTGGGCGAGCCGGCAGAGCCAGGTGCTGGAGCCGCGGCCCGGCGCCGACGACGGGCGCGCGCAGCTCGAGGGCTGGGTCCGCGAGGCCGAGGAGCGGTTCCGCGACCAGGAGAGGATCCCCGTGCCCGAGTTCTGGGGCGGCCTGCGCATCGTGCCGGAGAGGGTCGAGTTCTGGCAGGGCAGGGAGAACCGTCTGCACGACCGGTTCGTCTACGACAAGGCCGAGGGCGACGGGGACGACAAGTGGACCATCAACAGGCTGAGCCCCTAAGCCCCTGAGCCCCTGAGCCGGGGCGGCGGCTTCGTGTTCGGCGTTGCCAGGAGTCTTGGTTTGGGAACATTTGCATCAAGTAGATCCCGCTACCTCGTCAGGCCGTGTTAGTGACGGCTTTCTACTTCCCTCAGCAACACATCACCATAGTAGATCATCGCAAAGGGAGCAAAAGTCTGGAGTGTGGAACTCAATGATGTCTTTTCCCAAGACTGCATTACCGAATAGGGTATGTTTAACAGCGATGACTCCCAATGTCCCAATCCCAGATGCCTCGCCCAACCCCTGGAGGAACCCGTCACCTTGTACGCCAGCCAAGCCCCCCCTAGTCCGCCCAAGAAAAATTACAAGATGCATATCCGTCAAGCCTGGTCGAGGCCGAGGTTGGTATCCTAAAACGACAAGATGTTTGAGTCCGTTGAGAAAGAAGAAAGAAAAAAAGAGGTGGTGCTCCCTCCCCACCCATACAAGCCGGTGGAGGAAGAAGCTCATGCAGATGTGTACCGTTGAACCGTATGTCCTCCCCTCGAGGGTCCTCCCACGAGGGTATGCAAATCAAACGTTGGTGGAAAACAAACAAAAACGCTCGCTCGCTGGGATTTCTTTGCCTTTTTACTTTTTTATTTCATCTTCTTCACTGGACGTCAAGCTCCTCGCCAACAGGAGGCAGGACCACGCTGTTGCCGGGGAAGGCCAGGGACATGTAGTCGCCGGCAAAGGACGTCTTCTCGAGGGCCGTGCGCACATCATCGCCAAAAGAGTCGGGCTCGGACTTGGGCGTGTCGAGGGGCGTGAGCTGCAGGCCCAGGCCGACGACGGCGGTACCAATGGTCATGCTCTTGCTCTTGCTGTGTCCCATCTCGTGGGCTGCACGGGGCTGGACGAGTCGTAGTGGCGGGCGGCCAGCTGCATGTCGACCATGGTGTCGGCGAGCAGGTCATCGTCGTCGACCAGGGGCTTGATGCGGTAGTTGAGGTTCTCGCAGATGCAGCGCTCCGTCACGTTGACCTGCTCGCACGACCAAATGTCCTTGCCCCAGTTGGCGCAGTAGTACTGCGTCGAGTCGTGGCAGTCGTCGGTGAACTTGGCGGCGATGACGAGCGCGGCGAGGATGATGACCTCGGGCTGGACCGAGTCGATGTGCAGCTGCTGCTGGCGCCGGCGGTCGAGGAGGGGCTGTGGCCGAAGGTATGGCGTTTGTTGGAGGGGAGGGCGCCCTCGACGAGCAGGGGGCACTGCAGGCGCCAGCTCAGGGCGAATCTGGAGTTGAGCGAGTCGAGGATGCACACGGCCAGGGCAATGGTCTCGAGCGGCAGGCCGGACCGGCTCAGCATGGCCTGCACGAGGGGCACCGAGGGGGTCGTGAGGGAAGCTGACGTGGGAACGAGGTTGACGAGGTGGATGGCGGGGCCTGCAGGCGGGTGAACATGTTAGCATTACATTGCATATGATATGTTGCATTAGAGACTCTGGAGTAGTTTCCCCTCCCTCCCCCAATCGCACCATCTGCGCCGATGGGTGGTGGAGGTCTCTCCGTCTCCTCGTCACGTAATCGTTCTGTACGTACCAAGGAATTTCTCGTGCAGCACCTCTCCGTCTTCCAATGCCGTTTTCGGGCTCTGGTGGGCGGAAGAATTTCTGGAAGAAGGTGGCGGGGTCGGAAGGTTGGAGAGGGGTCGGTAGGTGAAGAAGGCGTCCTCGGCTCCGTACTCGTCGTCCGAGTAGTCGGAGTGGTTCTGGACCTGTCTCGCCATGTTGCCCATGTTTCTTTGTCTCTGGTCTTGGTTCGCCCGGCTGTTGGGTTGGAATGTTGTTACGCGGCAGTTGCGTCGGGGTGTGCGTTGGAACGGGATTATCTGTTCGTGGATCGTAGCAGTCGTGGGCGGTGAACGTCGTAAAAGCCAACTCTTCCTGTCCTCGGTCCTGAGCAGTAGGGGGTGCTGCTCATGTTCGTACAAAGCGTATCTTGTGGGTGTGTGGCTAAGGCAGTAACTCGTACTCAGTCGTAAGGGGACGGATGGACGGTATCACGCAACGCGGGTTGGACAAGTGATTGGGAAGGGCAAGAGGGGAGACCAAGCTCGGAGGAGGGAGGTCGGGGCGGTATATGTAGTGGATGGAGGATGGGTATTGCAAGGTGTGGTGGAAGTAGACACAATCGAAAGGGGTTGAGGATGGAGAAGGCACAGTTGCTCGTATGTACGCAAGGAGTGTATCCATTAGTTATGCAGGGGGGTGTTCATTCACACAGCGCAAGTAAGGCTGAGTCCGGGTCGGGCTGGGCTAGGCTGGCGGGAAAAGAAACGAGTCGCAAAGGGCGGGAAGCTGTGAGCTGGAGCTGGACTCTGGGAAACTGGGAGGGTATTCCGGCGGTGGGCGATGCACTCAAGTGGGCTGGACCGGGAAAGCCTGGTACATGGACGGAACCTGACGGCGCTGGCGACCTGACGCTGGTGCTGGATCCCCCAAAGAGACGGCCGAATTCGACTTGGGGTGGATGGAGGTGGGAAATGGTCCGTGTTGATGCGATGCTGCGGCGGGCGGACAGCGGGCAGCAGCGCTGATTGTTGTTCGGTGGAGAGAGGTGCCCAAGCCCAAAGCCCCCCAAGCCTCCTCTGCCCCCAGAACACCCGACCGGCATGTACCCACGAAGTACCTTCCAGTCCTTCCAGTTCCACGTCCCTTTCTCTCTCTCTCTCTCTCTCTCTCTCTCTCTCTCTCTTTCTCTCTCTCTCTTTCTCTCTCTCTCTTTCTCTCTCTCTCTCACAGACTCCCTGCCATTGCCGGCAGGCTTTCAGACCCCGTTTCTCTGGGAATTTTTTTTTAGCGTACTATCTGAGCGGGCATCGCATCCTCCTCTTTGCCTCTTTGCCGTCATCCCTGTTGCACCAAGGCGAGGCAAATAAAATGAAACAAAAAAACATTGGAGTTTCCCACAACACCGATGGCAAAATGGCGGTCATCCGCAGGTAAGGATGAGAGAGAGGAATAGCAACATGGGGGGCAATATGGCACTGTGGTGCGGATACAATGGCAAGGGAAACGGGTGGATGCCCCAGCAATGGAAGCCAAGGGTCCCTCTTTTCTTTGCTCGGCTCTTTAGCGTATCTGCAAGAACGAGGGCAAGGGGGACCATGCCATGGACGGGGGTGGGAGACGGGGGAGAAAGCAGACGAAAAATTGGGAATACGGGCACAAAACAAAGCGGCCAAAATGCTGCCAAAATGGCCACACACGCACCGCACCGCACCGTACCTACTCCGAATACGCGGTGCGGTGCCGGCTGCCCGTCTCCTGCATGCCATGTCTGCATATTTCTCTCGAATCGAATCATCCGGTCATGGCCAGAGTAAACATGCGGGTTCTCGGCAGAAAAGAAACGTTGGAAGAAACCACCAAACTCACACACCCGCTCACATCCGCAGCTTGGAGTCAGACAGCACAACGACCAGTGCGAGACAACATCTCACTCTCTGACAGCAACCACACCCGTTCTCGCACAGGTTGCCTTACCCACTGACAAAACACCCCACGAGCACTCTACGGTCGTTCCGCTCCATCAACCTTTCGCGAACCGGCCACCGACAACAACAAGTCTTGCATGCTGTGACGATGGCTGACGCAACAGCAGACTAGCATCCCAGCCTCGGGCTTCCTGAATTCCTGCGTTGAACTGGCAGATTTGTTTCCAGTTGCCCATTGTAGACGAAACACCCGCGTCAGGCCCGCACGCCCGTACCTGATACTGGGGCAGCGATGGTCCTGTCGATGCCCTCCTGCTTTCTGGCTTGTTCCCTGACCTCGGATCATAACACACCCCAGGTAATGGTAATGCCTCACCACCGAATGTGCCAATACATGGCAGGATGACGTTGGACTGCGCCGGAGGCGTGAGCGGCACTTGGCCTGGTTGGCATCCTCCCCCCCCTCATCAACCACGCCAGTTCCAGCCATTCTGCCGACGGCGGTACCAGTGCCAGTGCCAGTTCCAGTGTCAATGCCAATGATACTGCTGCCGTCCCATCTCGTCCCATCTCACTCCCACTCTCGCTCCCCCCCGCTCCTCTCTGTCCTTCGCCGAATCCAAAGGCCCCGTTCGGCGCGGCCTCCACGTCAAGCCAGAGGTGGTGTGGTGTGGTGTGGTGTGGGCAGCGGGTAGCGGGCAGCTCCCCCGTGCCTCGTTACCTATCCGAGCAGAGGTCGAATCGGGGAAAAGACAAGACAACCAAGAGAGGGTACTAAGATGCAAGAGGGCGCCCAGCTGTGTTTTACCATGCACATCCAGGAACGGCGGGCTTCGTCACACGGATGGCCGATCAGATGGTGCAATGGGCATCCGTTGCATCCTGACTGGTGGTGTTTCCCGATGGGCCACATGGATACGGGAAGGCCAAGCAAACCCTGATGCGGCCCCAATGACTATCGCTCACACATGTTGCCTGGCTCGTCTAGACAGTTGGGTAGTGTAGGGTTTTTGTGATGCGTCGCCTCCCCTCGGTGTCGTGTTCTCCTGGTCCCTGAGCGCTGGCCTGGGCCAACCCGGCTCCTGTTTTGCTGCTCACCGTGACGACAGACTCGACGGCTGCTAATTTGGGTGACAAAAGGTGTTCGTCCAGTGGGGACGGTGGGGACAGTGGTCCGCAGAAACCTGGGCTGAGCTGGAGCCTGAATGGTGCAGTTTAGTCCAATGCTCAGTTCCAGAAACTCGAGGTCTTTCTTGTCTTGCCTCGCCTCGCCTCGATGGAGGTACGTACCGCTTCCTTCCCAGCTGTTCCACCTCTTCCAGAGGCAGCTCGGCCGCATCAGACTCCCGTCGCCAGAAGATCACGGAGGAGCTGTGGGTGGGAACCTGCCAGGTACCTGCCCCAGTACTTGGCTCCTCACATTTCGGGGACTCCTTTCTGTGACCTGTCACTTTCGCAGATGGATCTCTTTTCCCTTTTCCATTGTCCAACGACAAACCACGACATCTGATGACGGGCATGGCATGGAACAGGCGGCATTTCTTCACCGCACGCCACCCGTTGGGGTCTGATGGATATCATCAGCGCGAGGCGGTCGCAAGGCCCGTTCCATTGCTCTATGTACAGCTGTTCAACCACAGTCACCATCCCACATCTCGCCATGGGACCAAGCTACATAACAAACGACTGCATGTCTGGCGGGTACCCATCCTCGGAATCGATACCACTGTGCACTTCCAAGCCGCCCGTCTGCCCGCCCGCCCGGACGATCCCATAAACCTGTGCAGAACCACCTCACTACGGTACCACCTCTCCAAAGGCGACCCTTGTCTGTCGACCTTTGACATTGACACCAGTCGTGGTCCGCCATTATGCCGCACGCTGAGACCCCTAGTGCTATTGGCGTCTAGAAACACACTAACTCAGCCACGACCACGCCAAATGGCAGATTTTTCCTTCCTCCTTGGGAACCACGCTCAGGATTTGCACCTTCGACAGTCCAGTAGGCATTCCCAGGGCCGCCTCTAGGCTTGCCCTTTGTTCTCTACCCCAGAGTCCCGACAAGAGGGTGTGGGTGGAGCGAGTTGGAAGAGACTCGCTCCAAGGAGGGAGCCGCTGCGAACCGCAATGTATCGACGATCCTCTCGACTGGGTCGACCTCGAACCGCATCGTTCCTCCTGTGCCTGTTTCGGTTCTGGTTTATGTCGTCCGGTCTCCTTGTCTTTGCTGTCTTCTCTTTGTCCCATGATTTGGCATCGACACTCGCAGCCTGCAATCACGGCCACAACCGTCACTGGTCCAGGCATGCCTAGAACTCGCCTACACCGCTCAGTCAATAGTCGTGCTGTTACGAACACGTTGCCGAGTCGAGGACGATTTGACAAATCGCGGTGCTTGGTTGATACGTCCTCGTGCATGCCCAGGCTGCACGACTCTGCTACCTGCTTGCCCTCGCATCGCGGTCCGCTTCGGCCTCAGTCTGCGGATATCTCGATCTCAGCAGCCAACCCAACCTAACCTTGATCCCGCACGCCTCCTCTCATGTATTCGTACCTGACTTGGCCGCAACCGGCGTCATGGAAGTGCAACCACATGCAGAATCCGAAGCACACCATCCATCCAACCTCGCGCGCGAGCACAACAAACGTGCAGCACCGCGAACTCTGGCTCCACGACCGCTTGCCAGCAGTGCATAACGACCCGCGGGCTACTCCAACGATGGAACCACTGAACCACAGCATATCCCGACCACAAGTGTTTCGGCCCAGCCTTGGAAGCTTCTGCTAGCGCCAGAGCCAACCGCCAGTTTGCATAACGCGCTCCGCGTCTCTGCATTAACCCGCTCCCTGTCGTGGCCCATCGACACTGCGCCATACGTCAGATCATCTCCTATTCCTTCGTCCCAACACCCTCGAACCCCCGGCGGCCTGAACTGATCCACGGATGCACGTCTTACACGCACAGCCTTTTCCCATCCCCACCAAGCAAATTTCGCTGCCTTGCTCCTTCGACAGCTAAGAGTCCTGAATTGACAGTGCAGCCTGGTTGTCCTGGCCGTGGGCGTGACCTTGACCGCGACCGTGAGCCCTGGCGTGTGGCCGGGTGTGCCAGCACTCGTAGGACGACGCTCTGTGCATCTCGCAGCTCCTGCGTTGGACCCCCTCTAAAGGGTACACAATCCCCTGCCACCCCTTGCCCACCACGTCACCCATCGCCCTTTCAGGGTCCAAGGCCGTGAGCTTCCCCATCTGTCCGTCTTGTCTTTCGGCTGCCCGTGAGCAAAACCGAAGCTTTGCAGTAGCTCGCAGAACGCGACGACAACATGTTCACCTTCCGTTGCGGTTTTGCGTTGTATCCGCAAGCCGCAAGCGGCAGCCACCATGAAATCGAATCGGAGGTCCAGACTTGGCAGCAGCTCGACGTTGCCGGACTTAAACGACGCTTCGAAAAGCACAGAGTTGGGCCGAAATTCCCATTTTGCGTTGGGGTGCATTATCCTACAGGTCCGGCCGAGGCCCAGAACTCTCTCCCCAGGATCGAACAAAGGGTTTGTGGCTAATGGCCGATGCTGCTAGCAACGACTTTTCCAGGAGTTGTGCAACACACTTACTCTCTGCACGGCATTTGCCGGAGTCTCACAGTATGCGCATGATATGGCAATGATTGGAACTGGTAAATGCATCTCCGCATGTTCGCCGGTGAGCTCGATCGAAGACATGGCAGAGTGGTAGCTACGCGTTCACGTCGTCGTCCCTGTGGTGGTAAACGCTACAGGAGCTGACTCCACTAAACTTCGAATGAGACCGAGTCCTTTGATGTTTCTCCGCGACAAAGCATGCGCAAGAACCCGGCGTTTTCTTTTCTTTTCGCTGTTATTAATCCCTAAGGGGTAACCGTCGTGATCCCATTCTCAAAGTCTGGGAGCAGCATACACACATTTCCCCTTAGGGTAGCTTAGCTTGCACCCCCAACAGCATCGGGAGACCTGTCACTAACATCTCTCATCCGTCCTACTCTTCCTCAGGCACGCCGTGATGAAGCCCGGGCGACATCTTTTGTTTCCGCCGGCGGTCGAGACGCCACCCAAGGCGAGTTGGGATAGTGAGGACCGAGATGGATTGCATTGGTTGATGGTTGGTTTTTGGTATTTGTCACGAGGGGGAGTCGCAGACTGCAGGGGAAGAGCAAGACAAAAGTAGACGAAACGCAGCAGCGGGATAAGTAGAGGTATGCAGGTCTATTTGCTAGTTTCATCGTTCTTTCCAGTAAGACCACCATGGTGATCAAGGTCCACTTGCACTTCTCATACTGCACAATCGTCTCGAGGTGCTCTCCCATGATCCTTCTTGATTCTACATGTCTCGGGTTCTTTCGCAGCACCCATGCAGCTTTGATGGGACAGCAGGCGAGCTTCAGCATAGGTTATCTGGTTGAAAACTAATGTGTCTGTCTGTGTTTACTACAGGGAACGTATTGCTCTCTCGATGTTGCGGTGGTGGACTGGAAAGTGCTATTGATCCCCCTCAAGAAAGTCGGTAGCTCGACTATGGACATGGCGATTCGGCTCTGCGAAGGGGCATTGGCCGCTAAACCCTCAATGTCTGCTAAGCCACTAATGGATGCTATTCTTGACGCTTGAATTCATTGGCCGGAGCTCGGTGATTTGGCTCTAACGATGCGTAGACTGTTCGCGGAACCTCACATACAATTGTTTCGACAACTCATCCGGCATCACTTAGATGCCATGCCGTAAGTAGCCGTCCTGGATAGTCATTTTGCAAGAATCGCCAACAAATTCATTGAAAGCATGTGTTCTCCTCTGTGGCCGGTCTTTGGTATCGGCGACATCGGGTTGTCAGGAGGCGTCACGCCTGCTCTGTACTTTGAAGCTCATGTATGCCTCTTTCGTCCATATGCAACGGACACCCGTCTGCAACATAACCTTTCTTCCATAACATCCGTGCTATGTTGCACTTTAGCCGGTTCTCTGTTGCAGGCGCATTCAGTTCAAGCTACTTTGACCAAAAGAATCAACCTGCAGCAAGAGCCCAGCACCAATCGAACACAGGGAGAGACGTAGTCAGCCGGCAGATCTCTGACTCGATGCTGGTTGTAGGATTCTGCCTGAAAGGACCATCGTGACCGCGCCAGCGACCGTTCTCCGAGCCACGGCACCTCCGAGGCACCACAGCCGATGGTCACCAAGGCTTCGATACCAGATTAGCAGTCTCCCAAGCATCGGTTGCGTTCAAAGTCTCGACGGAAGAATGTTCGATCGTCGCATGATCGAGCCTTTTGGAGGGGCCGAGAAAGAAACGACGCCTTGGCGGTTCCCAAAGCCTCGGATCCATCTCCGTCCCGCCGGCGAGTGCCGCCGCCAGTGACCCTCAAAGGCACTCCCCCCTCTGCCCGAGCTACTTTCTTTGAAAACGGATTGCACAACGTTAGATCAAAGAAGCGGCGTACGACCAAGGCTTCGACGACCAATCTCTTTGCCGTTGAGGCCTGGGCCCTGGACCCGGCCCTTTGGAGCTCTACTGCGGACGGGCCACACATGACCCCCCTTCGCAAGCTCACGTCGCAGCGATACTTACCTGAGCCAGTGGCTGAAAGAGGCTTTTCGATGGCTTCGGCCAACAGGCCGCCCCGGCGGAGGTTGGCATGCTGTCTCCGCAAGCGGTGGAATGGGACCGCGCAATCGCGGAGAGAGCTGCTAGCGCGGGCACTAGGCGCGGCCGTGGCCCGCCCGAGCGTCTGCCACTGCCAGATGTGCCTGCCAAACGGGATGCCACGGGGCCAGCAAGACGTCGTCCGAGCGCCGGGCCCAACCTACCGACGATGCCTGCCAAGCCTCCTCGTTCATCTCCTCCATCGTCGCATCGTGAGATGATGGAGGTGTGGTTTCGCGGGACCCCGATCGCTTTGCCCAACGAGATGACGTGCTGTTGCGGCTGCGAAAAAGCTTCCCCCGCGACACGCATGACCGGGTCTGGCGATCGCCTCACCGAAGATGTGCATATGGGAGCTGTTCACGCACGCGATCGGGGGGGGGGGGGGGGGGGGGGGGGAGTCACCTGTGAGTCTACTTCCCTCCCCGCCCCCTCAGCCCCACGCCACGGATTCTCTTGCAGCTCACCCGTTCATGCGGGCCGGGAGCGGCCGGCCAATAACGTCGCACTGCCCCACCCCCGGCCGGGTCACGAGCTGAGACCTCCCGCTCCGGAGCCGGGTCACGTCGTCTGCACACCTCGTCATCCCCGTGCAGCGGCAGGCTTCAGGTAAGGATGCAGATGCAGCGCCAACGAAATGACACACATCGGTTGTCCGGGGTTTGCAAGGTTCGAGGGAAGAGGCCGGAGACCTGCGGTTGCCATGTTAGCCCATTGGTGGCTTTGCCGAGCTGTGCGTTGCGCATCCTGCATCCTGCATCTCTGACGAGGCGCTTTTCTTTTTCAGCTCCCCCGGAGCTGACGCCAGAAAGGCAACCTCGCACCTCACCCAAGCATCTCGACCACGACCTGCGCCATCCCCATTTCCCTCGCCCGTTTGTGGAACCGCCTGCCGTCGGGCGTCCCGCAATGTCTCGGGTTTGTTTTCTTTTTTTCTCTTCTTGGCCCAAGTGGAAAGTATGTTTCCGAGGAGCCTCAGCATCTCGTCGTTTTCCCCCCTCCAACAACGAGGGGGCTGCATCCCGGCCGTCTCGTTGCTTTTTGTGGCTCCCCGGACAAGGCTTGCCAAGCACCCCCCGCCAATGCATCGTATTGAGGTGAGGCGGCCAATCCCCCTCTGGGACGCCGAGGGCCGGAACCTTGCACTGGTGCTTTGCGGTCTCTGCTTGACTCTTAGCCGCATGTCCCTTAAAGTAGCTATGCTGTTGCTCTGCTGTTGCTCTGCTCAACGTTATTACCTAAGATCAACAAGGACGGGGAAGAGGCTAAGGGATCTCCAGCTCCGCCCACGGCCCAAACGAGGACGCGATAAGTATGTCTGTCCATCCGAAATGGGGGTTCATCTCTGCGCTGCTCCACCAGGGGAAACGGTCAGCCCAGTGTACCCCTTGTGGGTTTCCACCTATGCAAGGAATAGCTCGGGGCGATTTCTGGACATGTGGCTCCCATCGAGTGCGGTTGTAGATGCCGCTGAAAACCAACCCGTATGGGTCTGCGCAAAACCCGAGGCGTCTGGAAATTGGCCGAGAGGTCCACGACGTCGCGAAAGACTCTGAAAAGGGGAGGAGCCACTGCTAGACTCGGCCATGAACCCTGTGACGCCTTTGCGGGTGGACTGAGGCCAGGACTCGGTGAACCCGCAGGAGGCGAGCCGGTGAAGAAACACAGGAAGCGTTACCGCAGTCTACTAAGGCTTCGCAGAGTTCTGCAAAGATGTTGGGGTGTCATGACTAAAGCTCTTGACTTTTCGTCGCCCGTCACGTCTCCTATTGGGATCAAGTCAGTCCTTGATAGAGCCCAAAATTTTCGCTCTGCACTGCAAACGAAACACTCACCACCGATTCTCGTCGTGAAACGTCTCGCAAGGGTACGTCAGGTTCCTGTAAACCCGACAAGGGGCCGCAAGCAGGATTGGCCAAACCGCTCCTGTCACAAGGACGTCACTTGTCTCCGAACTGAAAAAAGTAAAATGGGTTTCGGAAGACGACGAACCATGAAGCAAGGATATCATTAAAGTCAATTTCCCGTTGGTCTCACTTCCACTAATCCCGTCTTTATTCTAGAGCCCACAATGCCAGAATGCTTGGTTCGTTGATCAAACGAGCGAGATCGCGCCAGACATTACATGCGAATCAAAACACCGCGTCCCGAATATGAACTAGTCACACCCTCTCATGCTTGTTCCCGTTGAAGTATTGCGCCCCTTCCTGATATCATCCATGGTTGGCACCGGCCAGGCACCAGTTGTTCTTGGCATCTGCACAGGCAGGCAAGCAACGCTTACTGGCTAACAACGACGACTGAGAGAGAGGGATCTGTTAGTTTCGGCTTCAGGAGGGCTTGTGAGTGGAACTTACTGGAAGACTGGTCGACGATCTGGGTAATTTGACCAACCAGGCTCTGGTCGATGAACTGGCCGAGGTTGACGCCACCAATGTTCTGGATCAGGCCAAAGTTCAGGTTGCCGAGGTTCAGCTGTGCCAGGTTCACGTTGTTGTTGAAGATACCCTGCTGCTGGATGGCGAGAAGAGTGGACAGCTGCTGCAGCTGGAGCAGAGAGTTGAGGTCGAAGTTCTGAGAAGCGAAGAGTCCCTGGAAAGCGGCAAGGTTGAGGTTGTTGATCTGGCCAAGCTGACCGAGCTGGCCGAGGTTGAGGCTGTTGAGGGCCAGGAGGTAGTTCAGGTCCAGGTTATTGAAGCTCTGGAGGTTGTTGAGCTTGCTGAGGTCAACGTTGTTGCGGGTCTCGACGGCCGTGGGCGCAGCGGTGGCGAAGGCAGCAAAGGCCGCGACGATGATGCTGGAGAAACGCATTTCGATTGGTGGGTGTGGGTGGTGTTTGGTTGGTTGGGTTGGATTAAAAGTTATAGGGTGGCAAGAGAGCGCAGCTCTGTGTGATGAGTGAAAGAATGGTGGTTTTGGGTGTGGCGGGCTAAAAAAGGAGTGAAGCGAAACAATGAGCACAGCTGAGGACAGGTTAGCAAGGTTCTTTAAATGTTTCTTAGGGACGTTTGGAAGTTGCTGACCTCTGAGGAGAAAGAATGAAGATGAATGAATGAGATTAGACCGGATGATTGACTTGTGTGAGTGGATGAAGAAGGAAAAGAAACACATGAAGCTTGTTCTCAGGGAGTTCTTATATACAAGAGGAACAGAGGCCAAGATATCAAGGAGGGTGTATTTTGGCTCTTGCGCTAGGGAACGAAGTGTGCGGAGTTCGGGCCGTTGCCAAGGATGTTTAAGGTACGATGTGCGCCCGGAAGGGTCGTGAACGAAAGATCCGGGGCGTATCAGAGTTCGAATGTTGCTGGGACGGAAGCGCGTTGGATCAAACAGACGAGCAGGGATATGAGACTAGGTGTGGTGAGGGCTACGGATGGCGGGGGGACGGGGGGCGAGATACCTTCGGATGATGGGAGCAACGGGCATTACCTGTCTGTCGGTAGAGGCAGGAAAGCAGAAAAGCCAAGTATCGAATAGGTCATCATAGTCACCGTCTAATTTATGTGCGTGTAGGTGCGTATCGCCCATAGATTACTAAACTTCCCGACAAGGCGACTAAAAACTTGTTGTTGTTGTGACCAGGCAGAATAATACCTTGTCCGGAAAACTTGAGGTACGAGCCGGAGAGTTGTGGAAAGGGTGCCAGGTTCGAGGAAACAGACTACGGTCGGGACGGATATGACCCCATGCAGAATAAGCACGAAAGGCACAAAGCAACGATGGCACAAATAACCTTACTTGGCGGGTCCTGTGGCTACTTGGACGACGGGGTGATAGATGAATGCCCGAAGTAACTGCCGAGTCTGTTGGGCAACGCCAAGTCGGCAGATGGCTCTTCCAGTCCCCTTCTTGGGAGCATGAACACGAATGAACGTGAGATTGACTCAAGATCTACGATGAGAGGCAATGACAATTTGTTTCGTAAGGGCCGACGTTGAGCAGCAGCGGCGAGTGTCTAGTTTGGCCACGATAGTGCTGGAATATGCATGATGGATAGCTGAGCCGGATAAAGGTGGAAAAGCAGGGGACATGCCCGTCAACGGTGGCCAGTTAGGACGGCGCAGTCATGGCAGGATTGTCTTCCGAAGACTCTGCGGAGAGAAAGACAAGTTTGTCGCCGAACACCACAAGGCTGTTGTGGTAATCCGACGCGAGGTCCCTAGGGTCTCTGACGGGATGAAGTTGGGCTGATGTATCGGCTCCAGGTGCGTTCTACCACGGAGGCTGCCGAGCCGGCACCTCGGCGGTGCTATCGATCAGATGAAGTGTCATTGAGTGTCAAAGGGTTGGCAGACAGGCCTGGTCGTCATCCCAAAAGGAACAAGAGTGCTGTGATTGGATAAAGTCATTGGAACGGGATTGATCAAGCAATGGGGGGGGAGGACAGACGTCAGAGAGGCTCAACTAAGGTTTAGTGGCTTGCCAGATCCGTGTCATCCAGCCCCCACCCGTACTGTGTGTCTGATCACCACATGGTCCCTGCACCCGTCAACGAGTCATCATTGGTCACAAATTCTCCGCAAGTATCCTCTTTGAGCAATACACCGTCTTAGCGTCGAGGACAGGCGGTCCAGGCGCAGAAAATGCAACACCGCCGAACCCCCTCCTGCCACTAAGGAAAAGCTGTCAGTGTCAAGTGTGCCCGCTTGTTATGCAACCACCGATCCACCCCTCGTCGGAACCGAAGTCTCCCCTGTTCGGCATTCAAAGCCCGAACCCCTCAACGTGTCACAGGTTCCTGTCGATGAGGCATCTTCCCTCCATGGCATTAACGAACGGCGGCCCCCTGGATTGCAAACGTGGCCCTGGTCTAGTCTTGCACTCGTGTACTCGCCTAAGGTAGTCCGGATGCCTGGCGGTTCCGGGGAGAGGAGAGTAGGATTGGCGTTTGACGTGCGCGGCTTCGGTAGCAGACTTGTCGTTAGCTTCCGAGCAGACACCAGGCTCTGACATGATGCGATAGTATTCAGATGGCAGCTGTCAGGAAAAAACGACACCCCCCTTCTCTTATCCGGATGAGCTGGCTGCAGCCGAGCATCGGCGTCGGATGGCAAGCGCTTATGGTTGCGTCAGGGTTGGACGTTTGGCATCACACGACACAGAGGCTTTCGTAACGACACGGTGTGTTAATGATACACCAGTTTTCTTCTCTCAAAAGTTTTCAAATTTGTTAGGCGGTAAATGATGAAAAGGGGAAACAAAACAAGCAAACCAAAAGAACTCCATCCACCACCCGCCAAAAAAAAAAAAAAAGCGCAAGTTGAACCCAATCTTGCCAAGCCAGAAGTGCTGGTGAAGTAGGGTCGATAAGCTTATGTTAAACTACCATCAAGGGCTTGGCGTTCGGACCAGGATTCCCCGGCTAGACGCACGAACCAGTCGTCTGATCAGCAAAGTTTCGAGACGACTTGGCACGTTGAGGTAGCAGCACTCCAAATCCAGGCAGGTGACAATGTTGTCTTTTCATAAAATACGTGTAGCACATGTCAACCCTAGTCCCAAGCCTCAAGCGGACAGCCTTTTAATAATGCACCGTTAACCCAGAAACCGAATCATGTAAGCCCCTTGGCCCCGGCTGTTCTGCAGCGAGGGTGTCAAAGCAAGCCTTCAACGCCATCATCTCAAACCCTGGGCGAGTGTCCACTAGGGACCCCTCAAGCCAAACCGGGCACGAGGCGCTGATTCCCTCGTACTCGCACGCAATGGGCACCCTTGGTACCAGAGCAATGCCCCTCGGCCCTGACCTTGACCATCTCCCGAATCGTTAATCGTCAACTCCGCCACCTCTCAGTCTGAGAGGTGTGAGTTTAAGATCTCAATCACTGAACACTGACTATAGGAAAATTGGTTAGCACCGTGAAACAATGTCGTATCTGGGTGGTGTAGTGGTTAATTTACCAACATTGACGCCGCCAATGCCGCCGACGCCGCCGAGCACGAGGCCCTGCTGCATGAGTCCGACAAGCTGGACAGAGTTGACCAATCCGAGCGCCTGGAGCTGAGCAAGTTGCTGGAGCTGAGCAAGCATGACAAGCTGCTGCTGTGCCTGGAGTTGAGCAAGACCCTGGACGTTGACAACGTTCTGGAGACCCATCACGGCGAGGAGGAGCTGGATGTTCTGGAGCAGAGCGGCATCGTTGTTGTTGTTGTTGTTCTTGTTGTTCTTGTTGTTGTTGTTGCCCTTGTTCTTGTCCTGCTGCTTCTTCTGGTAATCCTGCATGGCCTTCTCGGCCTGCTTGGCAGCATCCTCCTGGGCCTTCTTTGCTGCGTCCTCCTGTGCCTTCTTTGCTGCGTCCTCCTGTGCCTTCTTTGCTGCGTCCTCCTCAGCCTTCTTGGCAGCATCCTCCTGTGCCTTCTTTGCCGCGTCATCCGCGGCCTGCTTAGCAGCATCCTCCTGCTGCTTCGCGGCGTCGTCCTGATCGGCAGCGGCACCCTCGCCAGCCTTGGCAGCCTCCTCTTCGGCCTTCTTCTTCTCCGCCTCGGCAGCGGCGTCACCACTCGCAGCGGGAGCTGCAGCAGCCGGAGCCTCGGCCGGGGTAGTGGCAGCAGCGGCAGGCGCAGGTGCAGAGGGAGGGGTGTTAGCGGCAGCGGCAGGCAGGGCCTGGGCAATGGCCTGGCGGGTGTCCAGCTGCTTGGGGATGCTCAGACCCGACACCAGGCCGGTAGCAAGGAGAAAGATCATGGAGGACTTCATTTTGAAATGACTGTTGCGAAGTGAAATTGAAGAAACTAGACGATGGTCAGCTCTTGCTGGCGAGCAGCTTGAATCGGGCGACTTACTGGGTATCAGGGAATGACAAAGAAGCTGGGGAATGAATGGAAACAGAGCACAGCTCTTGAGTGATAGAATAAAAGTTGAAGTAGAGACGCTGTCCTGAAGGGAAGGGATAAAGAGCAAAACGTTTTTTGGTCCGGGACAACGACGTCTATTTAACTTCCCAACTTCCCGAACGGCCATTAAGCATAAGTCATAATGTGGACCGAGCTTGGCACTGGGCCATCGTTCCCAGGTCAGAGTCTTGCTCATCAGATGGCATCTTTCCGGCTTCATGAGACAGGCGCCACCCGGGATTGTCAGTTGTCTGACATGCCAATAGGGTGTGGCGTCTGCCTTCCCAGGTACGAAGCAGCATCATGACCCCACAACTTAAAGACCGGCAACCGATGGGTGTGCCAAAGCCGGTCTCAGCCAGCCCCCGTTAGAAAACAGATGGCACCCGTCACCTCAACTCTGGGCTGTGATGCTGCAAGCCGAGAGCCCCAGTTGGCCGTCGTGATTCGTCCTTCGGCTGTTTCGACTGATCTGGGCCGTTCTTGGCAGCTGGAAGATCAGACCGCAAGCCGCTCGCGTGGTACATCTCTACCCCTCGGCGAGGAAGACCAGCTAACCTTGTTTTGCTGGGAGGGCTGTGAGGCTTGTCGTCAAGCCTTCTTGAAAAGGACGACTAAAAAATGGCCAGCCTCTTCCACGCCAAGGTGTGCATCAGGGGCTCCCTGCCTCAAGAATTGTTAACAGCTGTTAATGCTCCGGTGCGGAGACAATAGCGTGGCCTAACCGTGTTGATCTCCTCCTGCGTCTCGCCGACGTTTCATCCCCACGATCGTCCGGACACAATCCAGCCGTGGGAAAATATCGAGCCTCATGCCCTGGTGATACAGTCATAGCACTGTTTTTTGAGGCGACATCTTCTTATGAATGTCCCGGAAGATCATGTGCCGATAAGGTCACGGTAGTTGGAAAATGACGATGGGTGGCCAGGGGCTACGAGGGAAACAGAGCAAGAGATGCGCAGCGATCATGAGAGATCATTTATAAACGTTGACAAATAGAAGAAACCTAAGAACAAAGCGCTTTGAATCTGTCGTTTCCTAAGTCGCAACCTACGAGCCGGCCACGATTCTCTCATTCCAGCCACTAGCCTAACCGCCTGCAGCTGCGTTGCCCATAGCCCCATAAGGATGAAGCTGATGCGACTCCGTAAGGTGGACAAACTGCACCTGCGTTTCAGGCACACTTTGTCCAAATAACCTTGATTCAAAGACGAGTGCTTATTTGAACTTTGCAAGCCCCAACCAACAGCTCCTGAGTGTTGTCAGCAACGGTAAGGCATCAAATGCGTGAATCCACTCCCCACACACACTCCACTCGGGTCTTGGACCTCTTTAGAACAAATGTGAAGCAAATTTGGGGAGGTGGATGGTGACACCATGTACAGATGTCACACGAGGGCCCGTTAACAGCATTACATAGCAGATGTTGATGGCGAAATTACCTGAAAACCACTTGTTTCGACTTGGCCCGACGCATGTGAATGGATGGCTTGGCTTGACTGGGCGCAACCATCTGTAACTTTGGCTGCGCGTTTGCAAACCTCGAATGGCTGAACACCCTCTCTTTCAAAAAGCCGTATCCCTGTGGCTAAGATCCGGACTTGTACCTGTCCAGGGCCACTGCCTGTGGCGAGATCTGAGAAGCGAGGAATGGGTTGTAAGGTCGCAAGATATCAGACTGACGCTTGTCAGTCCATCTCGCAAGCCGTTTCCCAATCAATGCTATGCCGCCACCATCCCGAAAGCCGTCCATGCAGATTGGCTGGCCCCATCCCTCTGCTTCTAAGCTAGCTGAGCGGCGTTTTGCCAGCGTAGTACCTGCAAGCTCCTATTCGTAACATTCGTCCCATACCATCACGAAGCAAAGGGGGTCGAGCGTTGCGTCATGGAACGTGAGTGGTATCTTGAGTTGTACATATGTGCCATCGTCACCTCTCTGCCTTCGTCGGCTCTGCTTCCTTACTCGGCCCGTGGAATCCCAACCACTCTCCCAAAATGCCGCCAGGTTTCGGCACTGGACATTCCCGCTTCAATCGCTCTTCCCGTGCTCGTATCGTCTCCTCGTCGCTAACCTGGTCGAAGCTGACAATGCCATCCTTGATCTCGGGGGCTGCCTCGCGGCGCTTTCGCCTCCTCCGGCGGCCGTCCTCGCCTACCACAATTTCTCCGTCTGCATAAGTGACTCGGGGTGCTGGACACGGCAGCAGATGCGGCATGCCGACGACGAAGAAGCTCGCGACGACTGTGGTTGCGAAAAGAGACGAGGTCATACGCGACCGCGGATGGAGGGGATGTGGTGGCATGATCGCGCGTTTTTGTTCGGAAAAGGAGGTCGGGAACTTCTGCGCGCAATTGAGCGTTAGATGCTTCGAGTAAAATCGCAATGAGCCAATTGAGCGATGTGACCCACCTATGACAGCAACATGCTCGCGTGGTGGGGTGAAGAGGTCCGACGTCAATCCCTTGATGAAGCCTAGAATCCGCCACGAGGGTTGAGAACCGTCGATTTTCTCGCAAACCTGCAGTGAAGCTTGCCTACCTAGCCAGATTGCTATGCAGGCCATCTGATTGGATTCCGGTATCCCGGGGTGGGTCCAGCGTGAGCGACGTGACATGCCAACGGCAACATGCCTGAGGAACTAGACTTCGGCCACCGCAATAACCGAACTCCCGAGCTGTGAAAACCCAGCGGGGATTTGAGCCACCTTTAATGCACAGACCATCCACCTTATCCACTCTGCAGATCCCGGCGCGATTCGAAGTTGGGGGTTCGCAGGCGACTGGCGGCGACTGCTTAATGACAATTATGCACGTCTTTTACCTTTACTGACGCCATCCCATCCCTAAAGCCTTGATCACGCAGCGAACCATATCGCCAAAACTAACAAGCAGCAGTCTCTCGCGCTGCCCCAGAGCCTTACCTTTATACGCGAAACGCTATGAAGTAAGAGGAATCTTATTCACATCAACTCGAAAGCGCGATTCGTCGGCCTCGGGCGCCTCGACGCAAACCAGGGAGCTCCTCAGTTATCGCCATGAGCGACCTTGACAAGTAAGTTTCCATGGTCGCTTCACCTAGCTATCTACCCGCGAGATCCTCACACACGACTCAGAGCCATCGCGCAACTGCGCGCCTGCCGACCGATACCCGAAGCCCAAGTCCGAGAGCTATGCCACAAGGCGCGCGAGCTGCTCATCGAAGAGGGCAACGTCGTCACGGTCACAGCTCCCGTAACGGTACGGGGGAATCACGATGCGCGAGGATACCGAGCGAATACTGATATGGTTCTCAGATATGCGGTGATATTCATGGCCAGTTTCACGATCTCATGGAGCTCTTCCGCGTCGGCGGTGACGTCCCCGACACCAACTACCTCTTCATGGGTATGCCGCCATAGTTCTTGGTCACATCTGCGAGTATATACGCTGACCGCTTCTACCATCGTACAGGCGACTTTGTCGATCGTGGCTTCTACTCGCTCGAGTCCTTCCTCCTCCTTCTCTGCCTTAAAGTCCGCTACCCTGACCGCATGACCCTTATTCGAGGCAACCACGAGTCACGGCAAATCACTACCGTTTACGGCTTCTACGACGAATGCCTGCGGAAATACGGTTCGGCCAACGTCTGGCGCTACTGCTGTGACGTTTTCGACTACCTTGCTCTCGGCGCCATCGTTCTTGGAGCATCACACACGTTCAACTCCACGCCAGGACAAGAGGCCATTGACGAAGATGTGGAGATCGAGGTCTGCGACCAGGCCGGCTTGACAATGAGCCGCTTCCCCAGGCAGAGACGGCCGCAACGGCAACCGACACCCAGCAGTCCAAACGGCGCGTCCTCGGGCGGCGACAAGACAGGCCCGCCAGGCAGCGGCGCTTCGGGAAGCTCGTCAGGCTCCGTTGGCAACCCCGCCGGTGCCATCCTCTGCGTTCACGGTGGTCTCTCCCCCCTGATAGACAGTGTCGATAAAATTCGGCTCCTGGACAGGAAGCAAGAGGTGCCGCACGAAGGAGCCATGTGCGACCTGCTATGGTCCGACCCAGACGACATCGATGGCTGGGGGCTGTCGCCGCGTGGTGCAGGATTTTTGTTCGGCGCGGATATTGTCCGCGATTTTAACCACAAGAACGACCTGTCACTTATCGCTCGCGCTCATCAGCTTGTCATGGAAGGCTTCAAGGAGATGTTCGACGCTAGTATCGTCACGGTTTGGTCAGCGCCCAACTACTGCTATCGCTGTGGCAACGTTGCGGCGATCCTTGAACTGGCGGAGGACGATTCCGGCACTGGTGTGTTCGCGCGCAGTAACGGTGACAGGGGACGCAGTGATGGCGGCATTAGAGGCACCGATGACTACGTTCTTCTGCCCGGACCGGCGCGGAGGTATCGCGTATTCCAGGCGGCGCCTCAGGATTCTAGGGGAATGCCGGCGAAGAAGCCGGTGGCCGACTACTTCCTGTAGTTCTCAGAGGAGTATCCCCGGTATGATGACGAAGTTTAGTATTGTCTGAAACGGCACAGATTCTTGAAAATAGCGGGAAACGAGACAAAGGAACGGTCAACGGTACTAGGGCGCATTGTGTGTCTTTCTTTCCCCAACTTCTTGTACGTGTGCGCAAAGGTTTGATGGATAAGCACCGGAGTTTCAAGGACACTGCACAATGGACAAGGCATTTTCTCATGATTGCTCAACTGCTCGGTAAACATGATGTCTTGCGAGTACCGGGCTCTAAAGCTAGACGCCAAGTTCCCTCTGCTTTGAACGACCCAAACTCCATCCCATCCCTGGACTCCAAGCCTATTCGACTGAATCAAACCGAATAATACGTCTGACTGCCGACCGTTACTCTTTCCGGCTTCTCTCGCACCCGGTCGGCAAAGCTTAGCTCCCAGTAGACGCGGTTCCTCGCCTTGGTGATCCAGCTGAGAAAGCAATCCCCGTGGCCAACGCCGCCAACAAAGATCTTTTCTTCAAATGCCACCTGCAGCGTCAGGCTCTTCTCTTGCCGTTCCAGCGCCTTCGAATCCCGATCCATCCTCTTGCAGCACTCCTCCAAGTCGTCTTGCATCTTCTGGGTATCCCACTCCTCTATGATAGCCGTATCTGTGAGCTTCTTCAGGGTCTCCCCGTGCTGCCGTAGATTGCCTTGGAGCAATTTGATCCTTTGCTGCGTCGTCCGCCGCTTCTCAAAGGGCTTGATGGACATGTGTGCCAGCGCCGTCTTCAGCTTCTTGAGCTTGTTCCTCTGCCTGTGGCGCAACAGGAAGCCCGGGGCAGTGATCGACCCCGGTGCGTCCCCCATGAGGGTGATGAGGAACGCGAACCAGTCGCGGTAGCGCCGGGCCGTTTCGTCATCGTTTCCGTTGCCGAATGTGGTGCGCAAGTTTTCTATGACAAGGACTGGCGGCGGAATCTCCGAGAGACGTTCTTGGTCCAAGGGTGTCGACGCACCGATATTGTGGTTATTGTTGGTCGTGCTATCCTTTATCGAGCCCTGGTTTCCTTGGTCATCGTCTCCAAAGCCATTGTTTCTCGAGTTGCTGTTCCCAGATTTGTCGTTCCTAGAGCCGTGGGATTTCATCCTTTTAAAGGGGTTAAGATTGCTAAAGAGTTTACTCAACCCTGCTTTTCCATCATCGCTTCCGCCTCGGAGACCGCCTCCCTTGGGTCTCTTGCCGGGAGGCAGAGCCAAATCATCCTCGCCGCGCCTCTTCTGGCCTCGAGGTCCTGCGTTGTCTCCCTCGTCGTCCGGATCCTGCCCAAGATCCTTAAGCCACTGGTGCACCCTAGCCTCTTCTGCCGCTTCCTCCTGTTCGTCGAGCTGTCTGCGTATGTGCACCGCGCCACTCATGTCCCCCGGCAGCCGGGGGAACGTATCCCGTTCCATCCTGAAGGTGATGGGCTTCAGCGCGGGCCGCGAGTAGTCTGCATCCGCGGTGGGCCATGCTTTATGCGTGCGCCTCGGGGTTCCATCCACCATCGGAGGTAGACGCCTCTCCACCGCCCCTGCCGCAGGCTCTTTTGGTTCCGTTGCGGGCAGTCTGGTTATTCTCTGGAAAGAGGCTTGGGGAGGGCGAGTCTGGCGCCTAGGTTGCACTCTGGGTGGCAGTGGCCCCTGTATACTAGGTCCGGTCGATTGCGTTACCATATCGTCTGGAACGGATCGAGAAATGGAAGTTTCTGTTCTTCGTCGTAAACGAACCGGTGGCTTCGGTGGGGAGTTGGAAGACATCCGCTGTTGTTGTTGCTGTTGAACGAGGGGACAAACCTGGCCATTTAGCGGCGTCGGCACTGTACCGGATGCCTCCCGCTCAATATGCTCGAGCTGGCTGTGGATCAAACCCTTTTGGGATTCCAACATGCGCTGCATAGAATTGAACGTCTCGGCAGCGTCCTCTCTATCTGGCTCCAGGCTCAACAGTATGCCGCGGGCCTCGTCGAGCTCCTGCAGCAGACGTTGAAGGCATTCAGTCGCCTTGACATACAGGCCCTTTCGTACCTCGTATCTCGTGTTGGCTCGTTCGTACTCGACTCGACGGGATGTCGCAAAGATGGACAACAGGCCCAACTCTGCTTGGGTATATTCTTGTAACATTCGAGGCCTGTGAAGATTGGGGGTTCCGTTAGATAGGGCTATTGTTAGAAAACCAGAAATGACGTGAATGTTGCAACGGGATGCCAAAAGGCGTAGGATATGGGTCGATGGCAGTTGTGGACATTTGCTACTTTAACGTTTTCCTCACGTTTAGATCTTTACGTCTGCCCAAAAAACCCTCTGTCAAAGAGCATTGATCCCTTGGCATCAGTGGTATAAGGCCTTGGCTACCAGTGGTATGCAGCATCACAATGCCCTTTCCAAATGCTGCATCCAACACAAAGAACATTATACAAACCAGAATACATGGTCTGTTTTTGAAATGAACTCGAGACGTTTTCAGTACCCGAGTCTGGCGAAATATTCAGGGGAAGACACTGTCTTTGTTGTTTGACCCATTCTTCTGATTTTCTTCGGGTTGAGCACAGCAAAACCCAGCCGCCCTTTGCCGTCCTTGTCCTCTTGAATTTTTTGTCCAGGATTGTCTTTTCAAGCTCAATCAGCAGTAAATCGAGGCGCGAATCGATCCTTCGCGCCTCAAAACACAAGGCCGAATCGCCTGGTTGTGTCGCTGCTATTTCAAGGGTTCGATTGGGCTTCGTCTTCGGCGCTGGTAAGAATCTGTACATTTTTGCTTTTCTTGTCGTAATTTGGCTCGACTAGCGGCTCGACGCAGCAGGTCTGTGGTGGCTCATGGCTTTTCTCAAGGCAAGCAATATCATCCTCGTCTGCCTTCAGCCGTGACGGCGTTCGAAATGCGCTCTGTTGAAATGTGCCGTTGACACCCAAGTGTAACCATCGGAGGTGCCCGTCTGCTGTGATGCTCGTTCCTCAGCACTCGAGTCCGTATCAGCTACCGAGGCTGATCCGGAGTTATTGCTGACACTGCTTCCAAGATGACTCGCAGCGAATGCTGGCGGCTGCTGGGGCGGTGGATGATACACAATGTAAGGAGTAGCGGGTGGCCCGCAGCAGGTGGGAAGTGAATGACCCGCTCCTGGACTTCCCGCTGGAAAAGTTGGTCGATAGTCTAATGTCTGATTTGGAACGTACCCTGACGGGTTCAATGGAAGGCCATGGCTTGCCTGGTTATGGCTGGCTTCCGTCCATTCGATATTCTCTCGGCTGAGTTGATGGCCGCCGTATTCGTGGTTTCGGACGTTCCCAGGCTGTGGATAGGTTTGTGGAGGGTTCAGGTTTGTCGGCGATACGGACACCAATACATACGGCTGCTGAGCGTCTTCTGTCGAAGGGCCATAGTCTTCAATCGATGAATCAGACGACGGGACATACACCAGCGTTCGATCGGTGCTTGTCGGACGACTTGCTGGCACGAACGGCTTGTGATTCTCAAGGCAGGGTGGCCGCCGGGGAACGAGTAGACTTTCTAAAGTAGCTGTTGCCTGTCCGGATGCTGCACTGCTGCTTTCGTGTAGGGAAAGTGATACATTGCGACTGGACGGGTCCAGTTTGCCGGTCTGAATGTACTGTTCGATTTGGTTGTCAACTAGGCCTAGCGTATGGAGAAGCTGTCGGAGTTTGTGGTTCTCGTTGGCAACGTGACGCGCAGCTTGTTGAACCTCAGCAGATGCTTCTACGCCTTGAAATTGACATTGTCGAAGTTTTTGCTCGATCTCAAGGACGTACTCCTTCTTCCGAGCCCTCGATCGGCGCTGGTTGTCCCGGATGCGGCTCCTCTCCTTGTCCTACGGTTAAGATATTGGTAAGTCGTTCCTCAGCAAAAGTAGGATGCTGACCGTGCCCAAATCTATTGGGACCAAAATAGACTGACCGCTTCCATTGGCTTCTAACTGCTTCGTTGCGCCGGTATAAAAGATAGAGATCGCGTCTTTAGAAGAATGGGTGGTATTTGTGATGGAATAATGACAACTGGGAAATTCCCTCCCGAGGCATACAGTAACAGCCAGATGCGTCAGGACGTTGGGTATAGACCACGTTCAAGACTAGGCGGGGATCAAAAGCCTTAGCTGACGCTTGTTTAATTGGAGTGACGAGGATGTGTGAATAGGCCCATCGATAGGAGTGCCGCTGAGACCAAAAATCTCCAGGCCAGGCATGGTACTGCGAATAAAAGAAAGCGCAAAGGGCTAGCTAACCATAAGCCGGAAGAAACAGTTTGCATTGCGAGTGGAGGATGACCTACCGTGGCCGAGGCCAGCCTGTTAGAGGGTAGCAAGGATGACGAGCTCTGTCTGGTAGGGGTATCTTTCAGGAAGCAGCTGGAACACACCCAGTGTATGCAACTAGGCAGATTGAGGCAAGTTGGGGCAGTCGACCAAATGGGCGGCCCAATCTGCTGATGCCGTAGACTCCTGGTCGTTCTTCCACCCCAACTATCAGTACCATGTCTGCTTGAGGGAGATTGATATAGACAAGAAGCCGGTGTGGGTAATCAGACATAAACGTACTCGATAAACACTTGTTTGGTTCCAAGAGAACGATTTGGTGTCGTTAAAGGCTTTCAAAGGGATGGGGGCCACTGAACTAAGCGAGCCCAATACCACAGCTACTTGTGGATGGAGAACGACGCGTCTCTTGGGGATCCCGGCAGAGGATTTTTGGTTGGGAATTGGGTGTGGTCTGATAAAAGACTATTCGAGTGGTAGGACCCCGTCTCCGTGATATAACGGTTAGGTAAGTCTTGTCAGTCATACCGTCTCTAAGACGATGCGAGGCGATCTTGAGAAGACTTTGATCGCGACCCATGCAAGCCGTGGTCATCGGGTATCGTCACTGTCTTCGACTGGTTGTCTGAGGACAGTTTAGGAATTGCCACTCAAAGCGTGGGGTTGGATCCTTGGAGAATAACAGTACCAGTGCAACGGTACCAGTTGGATTCGACACCGGCTCCCGTGACCCAATGTATTAGAAGCGCTGCAGCAACACTGGGTGCTAGCTACTATTCTTGCTTTTCTTGGACTAGTCAAAGTATCCGCAAGTGATAAAAGAATGCGACAAAGCGTGAAGGAAGGAGTGGAATATATGAGTACTGACGGGATCAACCGGTGTGATGCTCGGCAACCCGGTAGAAGGATGATCGAGAGTGGTAAGCGGATGTGACATTGGTAGCACGCCGCAAATACTTCCCGGAGATCCTAAACCCCTGAACCTTGGGACAACACAACCCGCTCCTGTTGGCCTTGACAGCATGGCCGAAAGGTTGCGCTCCTATGTCGCAAGATATCTGGCACCATACGGGATCGCGGGGGCTCGGATAATTCGAATATACCCTCGGTAGAACCAGCCTCGAAACACCGTTCGTCCGGAGGCTGTGTGGGAGGGGTTGAAATCTCTTCGACTAGTAGTGATACCACACGGGAAGGCCGTTTGCTGAACTTTGGTCTTCCGACATTGTGCATTCAGCGACAGGCGGGCCGATTCTACTAGCTTGGAATGGTTGTGGGTATGGTCTGGACATTAGGATAGCGGCTACAGTGATTGGTAAGAAGACTGGTAGTAGAGCATTGGCGACGACATTGCAACGAAACAGCCAAACATCGGTAATCAAATTTACGGGTGGCCCCTGATCGACTGAAGGAATCGTACCCTGCCAGTTGCAGTCATGATGCAACCGCCACAGGCAACCATGACGACGAGAGTATTTGGATGTGGACTTCTGGTCGACCAACGAAGAAAGAGAACCATCATCCTCGCTTGGCCGTATTCTCCGGATGGGGATTGTTCGGGGTCGTCTTTCAAGGTGGTGGTAGACCAACGAAGAAAGGGGACCTGGTTATGTTCTCCGGATGGAGATTGTTCGGGGTGGTCTGTCAACATGATGGCTGACCCTTGTGACGGGACGAGCGGCTTCGGTGGGATTCAAGGTCTCTCAGACTGCACTTCAACTAGGTACGATTTGTGGACAAGTCATTGGATTCGTCGTCGGCAGGCAAAGTGACAGGCATACGGTGGGATGACTTCAACGTGGCGGGTAGAGCACTGCAAGTCAGAGGCGCGCACAGCTGTGACCAGTCAAAATGTGACTTGAGCAGATCAACTGGGATGCGATTTCCACTTTCTGGAACTCCACGAGCCCACGTCGCGGTCCAGTACAATCCGCAGGCTCCGCTAGCTCCCATTCCCGCGAGCAGCAGGTATTATGGAGAGTAGTACTATTACCGCCGTGTACGTACATCACTAGTGTCATTGAGTACGTACATCCCGGATACGCTAAGACGTATAATGGGTCTTGGATTGGGGTACCTCGCCCGGGGTCTTTGGCGCTAACAATGATCAAACGGGTGAGTAAAGTGTCCGAGGCTACTTCCGGGCCCGCTTTTTATTTCCACCTCACCCACAGTAGCTTCACCCGTCCTCCTCCCAACTGCTGCCATGTGTGATCAGTCACGCCTCGTTGCGGTGCAGCTTTCTTCTTCCGCCACCATTAAAGTAACACCATCCATCCAGGCATTCATTTCACCACAACACTCACTCTCATGTTCGTACAGAAGGGTTTTCCAACGCAAGAGACATCATCGATTCTTCATGTGGCGTATCTGTGGCTCGTGCTATTGACAGCCGATAATTCTTTCACGGTGGTCTGGCGTCGTCATCTCTGTTCACTTCCCCTCTGCGCTCCGCCGGAATTCGCTCCGAGACTGGCCATCTCAGTTCCCCACTCGTATCCCGCGTCGTACGGTACATGCATGTGAGACTTTGATCTAGCCTGTCGGTGCTTCGGCTGCATCTTGGCATGACTGACGACCTCGCGGATGTGGTCCGCTGGAAGCTCATGCATTAGCCTTGCTAACACGCCAATGCCTTCCGCTGCCCATATGCGATTGCTACTGCGATTTCCACCTCCGGAAGATGCTTCAAAAAGCTAGTGGGGATCGGCATCTTAAACTCGCGGTTTGTCGTTATCGGAAAACCTGTCTAGTTCGTAATTCGTGGGCATCCTCATAACAACTGACGGCTGGCTTCTTTCTCTTACCAGTAACATTGGATCAGAAATTCTCTTGAACTTATCTACGAGG